GTGAAGTAATGATGACGTCATATGCTGACGTCATCACGTCGTAAAGATTTTATCACATCACTCGTCGTCGACGGTCAAATTTTTCGCTTGATGAGGTGCCTAAGGCTTTCACCTAAAATATTCCTGCTTCTCTGCGACGGCGAGAACGAACAAATGTGATGACGAAAACAACCCTTCACGTGCTATACTATGCTTCACTCTTACCCATTCTTTTTTCCTCCTCATTCTCGAATAACTCCTCAAACTCACTTTTCATTCCCACTCCCATGCTATGCTATACTACACAGAGTTATTCCATGCTTTATGCTCTCTCCACCTTCGTTCCTTTCTTCTCACCGTCCCCACTCTTTCTCCCTTCTTTGCTATACTACACCGCGGAAAAATAATTGGCAGATCCCGCGTACCTTAGAATCGACGTTATGCGAAGCATGCGGAGGGAAGGTGACCATCTTGCAACTTTTTTTTTATTGAGCGACACGTCATGAAATGACGCTAATTATATGTACGATTGTCGCACGCACAGACATATGTTGAAGGGCCGCAGACGTTCATATAACCAGTTGTTTGCACTTGCGCAACGATGTCAACTGGAACATGCGTATTAGCAACACTAGAAGCTGATATGAAGCGCTGATGCTCGCGAAGATGCTGGCCCTGGACACTGCTACATGAATCAACTTCATCGCATGACACCTAGCTACAATTGACGTTAACTCGACGTGACGGACGTATTGGGTAAACAGCACTGCAACCACTATTGACGTTTTACGAATATTTAGAGTCTATTTGAATAGTTGTTCCAAGACCTGGCGTAGCTCTGTGGTAGAGTGCCTGACTGCCGCGCAGAACGTTTAGGTTCGATTCCTGTTGGGACCTTGAAATTCATTATTTGCATTCGTCGTGAAGTCAACGCTGCCTATTTCAGGTTTTTTTTTTAACACTGACATTTATTCTATGCCTTCGTTGAGTCGACGTTACCCATGTCGGGTTTCGCTTAACGCTCACGCATTCAAATTGCCCATGTGTGTTCTCGTCGTTCCTGGGTAGACTTATAAGTGTCAGTCCACGGTGGCACATACCCGCAGACCAGCGGTACATACACGCCCGTGGGTATGTGCCACTGTCTGGCGGGAAGTGTTTGACGACATACGTGGCGGAATTGTGACATTATTCATGTCTTGACCAACGCGTCATATTCGTCAAACCATCTTACCCTCCCATGCTAATTTTGGTTCACGCCAAGTTAAGGGGGTGACCACGAGAGTCCCCAAACGTAATCGGCTAGATAGATAGATAGATAGATAGATAGATAGATAGATAGATAGATAGATAGATAGATAGATAGATAGATAGATAGATAGATAGATAGATAGATAGATAGATAGATAGATAGATAGTCGCTGAAGTTCGCTAAGAAATGCTTCTCATTTAAAAGATAACAAACGCGTGCAGCCGGGCACTGCAGTAGAAGTTCTGTCTTCAATATTTCCTATTATCATTTCTTGGCCAACCCCCCTGGGTGGGTATGAGCCATGGTAGAGGCCTCATCATAATAATAATCATCATCATCATAACAGTTAACAGCTGTCGGTCTGGTTTCTTCACTGGTATAGCTATCTTCCTTTGCAACACGATGCATGGCTATGCTATGCTAGGAGTTGCTCGGCACATACCCGCTCTCTGTAACGCATACCCGCCGAGTTTTGTGCGGCCACCAAGGACTTACCCTCAATTCAGACCGCTTCGACGTTAAAGTTTGATTTTCGCAAACTTTCGTAGTTTGGCCAGTTGTGGTATAACGGTCAATCTCCATTCAAAAGTCACGTTTGTTCGAATAAACCTCAGTTGAGTTTTCTCGCTTACGTAGATTTCATCTTTCTGCAGTGTCGTTGTAGACTTCGATTCGGTGTGAAAGGGAAGTCATACGGTCTGATGCATCAACTCTTTCAACTCACTCCATCGACGACACGTGCCCCCTCCACACAGTTAGATGATCTACGATATTGCTTTCGCCTCTACGAGTGTACGGCACACAATGGCGCGCGTGCTTGGTTTCGGATGTAGGCGGTAAACTAAGCCGAGCCACGACTCTCCTTACGTCGCCGGCAGTGTAGGGAATATCGCGGGCAGCGCGAGACATGCGCGGACTTCGCTCTGCGGTCCCTCAGCCGCCGCCGCTGCTGCAGCTTCTACTCTTCTACACCTCGTTGCAACTGGTGCCTGTGAAAGAACGTATAATCGGGATAGCGCGTGCAGCTAATCCATGCGAACTCAAGGTGAGATCCGCTAACCTTCTTCTACTCCTCAGATAGAAAGTTTAGTTCAGTTTCAGCTTGCTAACAATTCGGCGCTTGTGTATGCGTCTTTTATGTGCGCGTGTTTTGTATCCTTCTGTGCTCTTCTTCTTCAAAAATCGTGGCTGGCCAAATAGCCCATGAGTCTACATGTTATTACCAAGATTATCAACCAGGAACTTTGAACGCAATAGATATGTACCAGCATTCAACTGCCGGTATAGAAGTATATGTTACCGCTGGCGCTCGCAGGGTTGTCCGGCTTCCAAGCCGGGTTACATCAACGTGCACGTTCTCAGTCACAGCCACATGGACGCTGGATGGCTTCAAACCCTCGACGCCATATACGAAACGTGTGAGAAATTATTTATCTCTTGTGCTAGTCGTTTCTTGCAGTAGTTTAGCGGCTAGGTTGCGCGGCTGCTCACCCTAATGTCGCGGGTACGAACCCGGGTTGTGGCGGTCGCATTTTGGCAGTTGCATTTCGATGGGAATGAAATGCTACAGCATCCTGTACAGTGTGTTGCCAGGGCACGGCGAAGAACACTTGATCGTGAAAAATTTTTATCGAGCCCTCCACTGCGGCGTCCCTCATTATCGCGTGCATCGTTGTTTTTGTGACGAAAAACCACAGTTATTATTATTATTATTATTATTATTATTATTATTATTATTATTATTATTATTATTATTATTATTATTATTATTATTATTATTATTATTCGTGTGCCTAGCTGAGTGCCTTTTCTAAGCCAAGCTGGTGTACTTCGAGTTTCATACCATTTTCTAATAAGCATTACGATTTGTACGTACTGTTACTTTAGGAGGCATGATAATCAAGGTCAGAATTAATTAAAAAAACATCTTAAGCTAAAAATCTTCATTAGAGGAGAGAAAGAGAAACAGAAAAATGTACATTGTTTCAAACAATCATGGTACTGGATACATCATTAAAGATGCGGGCCATCCAATGAGAAAGAAATATTTACGAAGGAGAAGCTAAGCCCGTTATTAGGCGTTGCAGCGTAAAAGAGACACGAACATCACATGTCTTCCAGACGCGACGACAATCTACGACACTACAACGTCAGCCCTGCTCCAGAAATCGAGCCGGCGTTTCGTTTCCTCTGAGAACGTCTTTTTCGCACGCTGGTGGCGAGAAAGACCAGCGAAAGTCAAGGACAGCGTGCGAAAGCTAGTTCTCTCAGGTACGTGACCCGAGCTTTGAGTGAGTGAGTGAGTCAGTGAGTGAGTGAGCGGAGTGAGTGGAGTGAGTGAGTGAGTGAATGAGTAAGTGAGTGAGTGGAGTGAGTGGAGTGAGTGAGTGAGTGAGTGATGGAGTGAGTGGATGATTGAGTGGAGTGGGTGGGTGAGTGAGTGGGTGAGTAGTGGATGATTGAGTGGAGTGGGTGGGTGAGTGAGTGGGTGAGTGAGTGAGTGAGTGAATGGAGTGAGTGAGTGAGTGAGTGAGTGAGTGTCAGTCGGTCGGTGCACGTTAAGGAACACCAGATGGTCCATATTTCATCACCCTAACTATATCGAGGTTTTGGGACGTAAAGCCCCTGATATTTTATATTATACTCAGTCCCTGCGCTACGCCTAAGTGCTAACCTTTGAACTAGAATGCCATTCCCGGGAGAATGCGTGCGCAAAGCTGCCGCAAGACTGAAAGAAATCACGTCCGAAAACCTATCTGTAATCATTTCTTGTCAGAAAGCGTTCGATATCGCAAGCACGCAAAGTCAAAAAGCTCATTGCTGTCAATTCTGGCCTTGACGGACGTAGAACACCGGAGAGGGTGCGCCCTAACGAGTAGTAAATGCACGCAGCGTGCTTATACAGTATTGCGTGACATTATTGTGAAGAGCACCTATAGTTTTCGTTCATTTTCACTTGCTGAATAATAGCTGGAGCTAAAGCTCGAAATATACTTTTTTATTCACCGCGTTGCTTGTTGCATTTCAGAGTGAGATATCATGGTGAAATATTATCACATTAAAAGAAGACCAGAAAAAAAATCATTTTCCTTACTTCTTAGCGTTTTTGCCGGCTAATAGGCTACCTGAAAACATCCTTATTTATTTATTTATTTATTTATTTATTTATTTATTTATTTATTTATTTATTTATTTATTTATTTATTTATTTATTTATTTATTTATTTATTTATTTATTTATTTATTTATTGTACCCTCAGGGCTTTACAGCATTGCAGAGGGGAGCGGGCATTGGACGAACAATGTTAAAGAAAAGAATACATAGACAAGACACTAGAACGTTATTAAACACTGGAAAGCAACTATTATCAACTGCAACCTTGTTATACAGCCAGTAGATTATACAAGAAAACTAACAACAAAATCAAACGTTTACATTTCCAACACCAAGTAGGTTATCGAGCGATGTTTTAAAACTGCAAGGCGAGGTGATGGATGCAACTGATTGTGGGAGGCGGTCTCGCCATGTCCATATTTCCCCAGAAACCTAATAACCTTTTTGCGCATCGCTTACACATAATCCGTAGCATACGAGCTTTTTTAAAACAAACTATCGCGCAGCCTTTCCTGGTTCGTGCGAGTGTATATATATTTTTCTCATACTCTCAGTTGCACAATAGAGTTCTGTGTTTGTCTGTCTTAATTGCACGCTTATGTGTGACGCAGCTTCCGGTTTACCAGTTAAGACTACTTCGACACAATCTTGCAGGACGTCTACAGTTCGTGGGAGGCGGCTGGACACAAAATGACGAGGCGGTGACCCACTACACCGCCACGATCGACCAGATGACGCTGGGTCTCCGGTTCCTCAACTCGACGTTCGGACCCCAGTGCGGCGCGCCCAGCGTCGCCTGGCAGGCTGACCCGTTCGGACACACAGTCACCCAAGCTGCGCTGTTTGCCAGGGTGCGCACTGAATGGCGTTATGGCGAGTGATTTAGTTTCTGAACATGGTATAATATCCTCGTGAAACGGCAATTGCAGTGAAAAAGTTACTTCATATACAAACAGTAATCCGTCTTGTGAGCTATAGCAAGGGGGATTAGAGGTTGTAAAGGATATTCGCTCCGCGTTCTCATCACTGCATAAGTGGACAAACTGGGCGTGCCTTTTCGCACGATTGTAAGAGAGAAGAAATCATGGCAGCACCTATTCAACCAGTTCCTACTTAAGCAGTCGAAAGAGGGTTCAGTTGATTATCCATTCTCTACTAATATGATAATCATTGAAAGATCTGGATGACCGATAAGACTGTAAGAACGGAACAAAATGATCAACTGGGCTAAATGCTGTACGTTGATGTTCAAACGTCATCAAGCGAAACAAAATGCGGAGGTCAACGATGGATGGATGGATTGATATGACTGCACCCTTTCGATCGAGCGGTGGTTAGCGCCACCAAGCCGTAATACTTAGTGAACCAAAAGCTATATTTATGTTTTTTTTTCCTTTAAATAGTGAGGTTGAGGACTCGTACTTTGCAGTGAAGGGTTTAATTTTCACTCGTGCCTTGACTTTAGCCATTAATCAGATAACCTCCTTGTAGTTAATTCTACCCGCTTAAAGTCTATTTAGCCCTCCCTGTCCCTAAACGCCAGTGCTTTGAAAAACTCTGCGCCATCATCCTGACCTATAGGGTGAAGCCCTTTACAGAACATTATCAAGTGTTCGGCAGTTTCCTCTTCCTCTCCACACGCACCGCATACCGTGTCTATACCCCTTCGTATCTGGCCCGATATGTCTTGCTTAGCAATGCTCCCGTCCTGGCCTCAAAAAGTAGAGAACTTCCCCGAGTGTTATCATAGATCCTTTCCTTGACAATTTCCTGCTTAAAAGTTTGGATAGCAGGACAAGACGCCTTCTCGCTACTGAAAATTCATTTGAGCAGGGAAAGCGTTAAAGATAAGGTAAACCTGCAATGATAAGAATTTCTGAAATTTTACCTCCCCACACGACCAATGACCATGAGAGACGCCGTCGGAAACTTCGACCATCTGGTGGTCTTTAACCTGCACCGACATCACGTAGTACACGGGCGTCTATAGCATATCGCCTCCATCGATCCAAATGCGACCGCCGCTGCCGAACTGCAGCAGTCGAAGCACCGAGGTGGTTGGAAGAGACACCTGCAAGAACCATGGATGCCGTTCTTTAAAAGATTTTGCATTTATTTACTGTTAACAGTTGTTCGTTGCCACCTCATGTCGTGGTTTTTCATGGGTTATGAAAACTAACCCATGGCGAATTGTTATTCGATCCTTATTGAGCATGCGCATCCGTTTGACCTGTTCGAATAGGCTTCTCATTTGCAAGTAAGGGCCTTGTTCGGCTGCTTCTTGCGTCCCGACTTTTTTTTTTTTTTTGAAGAGGTACATATTACAATTCTTTTTGAAAATTGACCGTGCTTCAGCCTAACGCTGATTTACTTCTCTAACTCGGCACAGTGGCAGTATCCTCATGCTTCGATACTTGCAGCAATCGCACGACAGACTAAAAACGATGTTGTTGCATCTGCAGACATAAAGCGAACGCACGTTAACTAAACAGTGATCGTTTCTTTGCAGATGGGCTTCAGCAGTGTCATGCTGGGTAGAATATCATTCGACACCAAAAGCAACTGGCAACAGAACAGAAGTATGGAGTTTGTCTGGGAAACCGACAGCCGTGAACAGGGTGAGTCTACTGGCTTACAAGCAAATACTTCTCTAATTCTGCGCGACGTGCACCATCTTCCAGTTGAAGGGTGTGGACGTCTGTTAGGCACGTCCTCGATCTCCATACATGTTCATCAACATGTGGTGTCTTGCGTCACCCGTTGACTGGAATATGGGTCTTGAATGTGGTCGCTTTGTCCTGTCTTCAAGGCCTGTATAAAGGCCGCAATAACTGTTCCGTATAGCAAGTATGTGACCAGTAAATGCCCACACTAATAATCTTTGCTGCATCTACTGTTGTCATTTCCTCTTGTATAGCAATTTCCTACTATTGTTGTGTTATTCTGAATGTGCTGCGGGGCAGTAACTAAATGTCCTAATTAATGGCTGACACTGTTCACTAACCTGCAGATACCATTACCCCTCTGACGTGTTCAAGTGGGCACGCATTTCGTATGCATTGCGCAAAATCACAGCGCTTGTATAGTGCTGACACCAAGTGACGCAAATTGAAGAACTGGGATCCTGCGCAAAACCTTTGCATTCTATTTGAGCAGAAGGTGAAAGCGGTGCGACGCATATACAAACAACTTCGCACGACGAGGTCAGACATATGTTACAAAGCCAGAGCCTCAGTCCCGAAATGCCACTGTCTTCGTAAAACGAGACCTGTAACATCAGCAGTAGAAGTCATGTAAACACGAATAGAAGAAGCTCCTCTTCTTTATTCGTGTTATTGATTGCTGTATCAGACAAGTTTTGAGATTGGGCTAGTATCTTCAATAAGCAGTGCAGGAGGAGACAACGGACAAAGACTCCTTTGCCAGTTGTCCTGCCACAGCGTGACAAATTTCAGCCGGTAGAAGTTTGGCCTTTTGAAGAGGCTCTATGCATGTTGCAGGTGGTGACGGCGTGCATATCTTGGTCTGGGTGCCCGAGAACACGTACACGACGCCACAAGGGATATGCTTTGGCTGGAGTGACTGCCTGCATCCCAGAGTAAGGGAGTGTTTCGAAACAACACCCGAGTTTAAGAGTGAATTTAACTGTTGCTCATCGAGTCCACCATTTCGTGGCTCGTTTAGTTCAAGTTCCGGACGCCATCTCAGGAGTGTCAAATGTTTAACGCGCGAACGACGAAGAAGTGTTTTAATAGTGCTAAACGACAGGGTGACAGATAAGGTGATCTGCTGTATTAAAAACATTACGAGAAGATGGGACTGAAAATGTGTGTTATGCGGCGCATGAAACAATCTGAATTAATTCCGAGTGAGCGGATGCGAGTGAGAAAGTGACGTACATATAGAATGATTCAGTGAAATAGTAGTGAGCTAGCAATAGTGTAAGCTATACACCCATTTTCGTCGTATTTTAGGCTTGGTAAAAAAAAAGGATTGTTTCACTGCAAAGCCGAAGCAATCAAGGCAGCAGCAACAAATTTTAATGTTATTCGAACTAAAGCAGGCGGCTGGCTCTCTCGGATCTTATCTTGCGTAACTCGACAAGTTGGTGTAAGACAATAGATAATTTTAGAACAGCGTACGCAAAGCTTGTGAACGTTGTGGGCCTATATCATGGACACTTGCTCTCAATGGTAGTTCAAAAAAGGTTAGCGTACGACACTTGTTCAACGCAAACGCAAAGATTTGCGTTGCGCTGTTTCGAAACTGTCTCCACTACAGGGAGAGATGCGGTTTTTGTGCAGTATCTTCGCGTTCAGAAAACAGGGCGCTACATATAGTAGAATATACGAGCCATTCGCTGATGCCTGTCGAGAATTCCAGCGCGCCGACGAACGCAACCACACTTTTATAACCAAAGTTGTTGGCTGGAGCGACGCAGCCCCATTCACCTGGCGTCCCTTCATGCTCCCTCAAGAAGAGCAGAACGCCTCCTTTCTGTTTGACAAGCAATCGACGGGAGGCGTCACTGGTGGGCGCTGTTATCGCATGCGCCCTTCGTGCGACGGAGAATAGCCGCGGCTCGTTTCATTTCTGCTTCAGACGCGTTATGCCAGTGTTCGCGTGCTATTGCTCGCCGGTATAACGTGCGATTCGTGGGGCTATGTTGTCAATTTGGACTCTATATACGCAACACGAATGTGGCGGCGGTGGCGAAAACTCATTGATGGTGTTCTTATAGTCGCTACCCTAATATGGTGAAAACTCATTGATGGTGTTTTATAGTCGCTACCCTAATAAATGTCAGGACAGGTACGTTATTCAGACGACTGTTACCACGATTGCGCTTGAGAGAAGAACTGGAGAGAAGTACGAAAGGAGTGGAAAAAGATTCATGCCTTGCATGGAACAACACAACTATTCAACGAGAGACCCCCCCCCCCTCCTTCCCTCGCATACTGACACCGTATTATCGATTTCTCTTAAGTTTAACTATATTGTTAGCAACAGCCTGCTGTGTTATTTTCGCATACAGAACATCTTTCTCGGATGTCCTCAATTGCATTTGTATTGCCTAATCTGACTACGTCATAAGCTTTGTGCCCAATAGTGAAATGCCTTTTTGTTTTTCTTTTTATTTTGAATGGCTTTCGCTGTTAGAAATCAGACACTTGCTACCCCTACGTTCCTTGCATTTGGTGCACACCTGAATGCATTGGAACCTTCTTGACTTTGCGAACAGTCAAGTCAGATTGTATACGCATTACGCCTGCGATAAAGTATAAACTAACCTGGTCACCATGCGATAAGACTGGAATGTGCGGTTGCACGCGTATAAAAGCCTTTATATTTCTTGGACGGACCGACCACTGTGCTGGCTGATTTCATTGTCCTGCAGGTGATCCTTCTGGTCACAAGTTCACCCAAGAAAGAGCTTCTTCACAGGCTTGAATTTCGCGTGTTTAGCCTTTATAACCACATGACAAGAGGCAGTTTTGTGAAATATCTGTGTTTGTACTTACAAGTCTGTTATTTGAGAAAGAAATCGGGCCCGGAAACTATTTAAGTTTCTTGTTTTGTACTTAGTGAAAAAACAACGTTTTTTTTTTCATTTCTCGCTTGCAGGGATCCGTTCAGGCTGAACGTGCGACGGCAGCTACTCTTGTACAATATGCAAGACGCCAGGTATACTTACGATACCATTAGCAAGTGCCGCCTCTTGAAGCTAAATCATTGGTAATAAAACTCGCAGTAACCCTTGTGCGCTCAATCACACCCTAAAAAGTGTATGCGTTACTCTCTAAAGAGACACGTTGACTCTCTTTCAGGGGTAACGACTCCTTCAAGAGAGTACAATAACCTCCAAAGAGAGTTGATTTGTGCCTTTAAACTTTAAAGAGAGTCATATACGTAACAATTCAGGACTCAGAAAAAAGTATCAAAGTATCATAGGCATCTGTTCATTTTCTTAGCGTGGGAAACGACACGAAGGCAAAACCCTTTTTCTTCCCTTTTTTCAGTTGAATATCGATTTATACTGAACACAAAAACTCCCCGTTGGTGGCATCAGCACAAGTAATAAAAAAAATGATCACGAGATGTCGTCACCGCATGACGTTACCATGACGTCGCAGATTTTCAAAACTTGCGATTTCATTATTACTCATCAGAATAGATGATTGGGCCAGTTGGCGGTTCATAATCTAGGTATACGGCTCTCGTTCCCGTGTGCTGGTCGTCCTTGTTTGTTTGTTTTTTTCGCTAAGTTTTTCTAGGTTATTATGGCATTATAATGACGTCATTATGACATCACCAGTACGTCATCATATTGTCTCTCATGGTATTTTCGGGAAAGCGCACCGGTGTGCACCTACCGTCTTCGGTAATTAGGGCGCCCCCTGTTGGGGACATGTTTTTGATGTTTTTGTTGCGTCAAGGTGCTCCGAAGAAATAGGCGGAGTGATGCTGTGCAATCCCAGCATGCTTTGCGTGCCGCACACGTAGCAGACGATCAGCAGACGACGCGCAGCGGCTGGTATTCAATTCGCCCCTCCGCAAAACCGAGACGTTCTGCCCCTTTTTGGTTTTGGGGAAATTCTAGACTGCTCCGCGACTGCTCCGGGGCACAATTCCCGAAAACGCTGTCGGTCAAAGGTGAGTCGATCACGGAGGCAATGCAAAACTCCGTTGGGTGCAGAAAGATTTCGGAGGTGGGCGGGTCAAGATCAACGCATGAATAGAAAAGAAAATAAGATGATGTGTTTTGCCTTTGTGTCATCTTACGCGAATCCTTTGTCATCTTACGCGAATGCATAAGATACCCTGTGATTTTTTTTTTACTATTTCTTACGCATACAAATTGTGAGCGCCTCTTTGCCGTCACTCCGGGATTTCTTTGTAGGCGGACGTCTACACGAACGACACGGTGGCGGTGATGTCGGGCTGCGACCTGTGCTTCGCTGACGGCGACGAGAGGTTTCCGAGGCAGGACGCCATCTTGGCAAAGGCCAACCGGTTGTCCGCCACCCAGCGGACGCGGCCACGAGTGCACGTGGTGCACTCGACCCCCGCCTGCTACGTGGAGGTATAGGGAATGACTAGTGTTACCCCCGTATTCACAAACGCTCCTCCACTCGACTTTCACCCTTCACTTGACAGAGTTCAGCACTGCGCCACCACTCGGCTGAAAGTGACGCTGTGGTACTCAAGAATCGCGGCAGACTATCGCTGATATGCAGGGACTTGCCGTTCCTAGAGATGGCGCTCCCATCGGCTTCTCAAGTGAAGGCGAAGCGTTGAGTGAAGGGAAGTTCTTGAATACGGGGGTTAGTCTCAGATGTCGGGGAGGCTTCGTTCTTAGGCACTCTTATTTATTTACTTTATTTATTTCATTTACAGTATACTGCGGTCACAAAGGACCATGCAGGTTGGAAAATGTACAGTTTCAAATTTACAAGCACAAATGGAGCCGTAAGGCACGCAAGCTCACAGAAAAGGGAAACAAAGCAATCTTACGGCATATCTATAGAAGTATTACCAGCGCAGCCTGTCAAAAAAATAATAATAATACAGTGCTTAGGGAAAGTGACGCACACTATAAAAAGTATAAAAGTAAACAAAAAAAAAAGAACTCTCCCCGGAATACGTCGGGTGCGTAAATGCAGTATTTGCAAACTACGAAGTAACACTGCATCAATAAAACACGTAGTGAAAAAAAAAACGACGAAATGCAAAAGTGAAAGCGATGAACATTCACTGGTTTACTTCATTTCCAAATCAATAAGTAGAGCACTTTCAAATGCTCTCGCAGATTTTAAAGAAACAATATTTTCAGGCAGCGAATTCCAATCAGAAATGGTTCGTGGAAAAAAAATGAATACATTCACCGTCCGCAGCGTTGCAGTTTTTAGGTGCCTTACTCAACCACGTGATATCCAGGCTGGACACGGCCCTGCAGCAGTGCTTGTCAAAGTAACAATACTGATTTGTTGGCCTAGTTGGTACTTGCTTACTGACATGCTTTTGCCGCAAATAACGCACACACAAAGTAAAAAAACACTCAACGACAAGCACAAGCGGGTTGTCGTTAAGTGTTTCTTTACTTTGTGCGTGTGTTATTTGCGGCAAAAGCATGTCAGTAAGCTTGTCAAAGTTTCCGGCAATGTTGGCACACGTCTGCATCTGGACGTGTCCCCAAATATAGGGATTCGGAGCTTCTATTATATTTTGAAGTATCAGAGAGCAAGCCCTTCGCGTTGAAAAACGAACTGGATATGGGCGCGCAGTATCCAACAAGGAGCAAGGATTTCACGAACAGTCGTTTGTTGTTGCCGAACGGTAATCGTAATGTTTACTTCCTTGCTGTAGCTGCTGTAAAAGTGAGCGTGACACTCACGTGTGCAAAAGCTCCAACACCTTATTTCATTCAGCAATGTAAATTACATCAAGACGTGACACTATACCGTCGAGTCTAAGTGGGTTTGACCTAATATATTACGGCGCGAGCATAGTTTTGATTTTCAACAAAAATGAAGTGAAAATGCCTTGCCAAGCCCTGTAGCCTAAAGTTGTCGATGTTCACTTTTTGAACGCAGTCTTTGTTAACTAAAACCTTTGAAAAATTCGTGTTTGAAGGTTAACGCGGGTATACATCTTTGTAGCGACTGATTCTGTTGATCTTACCTGTATTTAGTGTGACAGTGTGAACATGGCTCTAAAGATCACTCAGTAAAGTCGTTTACTTTTCTTTCTGCCTCTCTTTACATTACATACATTACAATATGGCACGAAGGCCTTGCATTCGGTACATCGGAGTTGGCCTCGCTTTGCTGGAGACCTGATGCCTTACACCGACCGTCCTGGCCGCACCTGGACGGGCTTTTACTCGACCAGGCCGAATTTGAAGATGATGGTGCGATACGCTAATGGGTTCCTCCAGGCAAGTCCGCTGCTTCAAGTTGTCGTTGTTGACAATTTTCTCGGTTTAGGAAAGGGCACGAAGAAAGAAAAGGTAGTCCATTGTTGTCACCAGTATTTGTAGGCTGACTATGAAAGTTCACGATAAATGCGGTTTGGACTAGCACTTCGGCAGTAGGTTTCCTTGTAGCACAAGTGAAACACAGGACATACGTATAGACACAAGTGTATCCATGACACACATAGGCACACATAGACACAATGTGTATATGTGTGCTTACAGTTGGCCTGTATTTCATTTGCGCTACAAAGAACCTACTGAAGATTACTATAAAATTTTTGCACGTAGGTTATTCTGCAACACCAGGTGGAAGCGTATACTCCATGCAACAAGAATTATCGGAACAAAATAGTTTAATGAAAGAACTTCTGTGCGACACACACACAAAACAAATCCCATTAAGTTTCGTAAAATGAAACAGGCTCGTCGGGATATACTTGTCGTATTCACGCAACTGGGTCAATTTCTTACCTATTATGAAAAAGAGAAGATAAGTGTTGTAAGAACTTTAACATTGCAATCGCGACCGCACATCTAGCCTTGCCTGTCTTGTAAACATAGTGACCAAAGTTCTTTGGTGATACTGATGATCGATTAATTCAGCAGCCTTGTTTGGGCTGGCAGTCATTTTCGTTGATGTCTTCTCTTTCTACATTGTACGCAGCAGATTTGGCACAAATAATTTTGTTATTCTTGGCATTTTTCATTTTCTCCGAGCAGGCGAGCAAGCAGTTGTCACTTCACGGCGCAGAAGGTACCACAGCTCGAGTCACTCAACTGGGTAAGCAATGCACAATCGCATATTTCAGTTCTTTCGGAATCTTATTGCGCAGACTGTGCCACAGACGTGTTTTCAACAGGCTGATGTAAGCGCATTCTGATGTTGTCAAATTTGTAGAAGGACGATAAAGCCTGCTCAAGATCTTTAGGGAAAGCTAAGTCAACTTTTCGGGGCGGAGGATGTTGGAAATTGTATTCGGCGCCGACATGAAGATAAAGAAGAATGGTAGTGGTTTCGAGGCAGGACGAGGGGACTGAGTTTGGGAAAAAAAGAAGAGGTCAACGGTGGACTTCGCCATGGGGACGGCGGCTCGTTTTTTTTCTCCACGTCATGTCGGTTTCACGCAGGAAAAAAATGAACTCCTTGGGTCTTCATGCATTCGCCGAAGACTCGACTCGAAGGCAAAAGGCATCTGGCGTGCCAATTTTACTCGACGATTATTTCTCACGAACACTTATTTTATATATTAGGGGCAAGGCACCCTTGGGTCTCGGCTTTCCTGCGTGTCATGACATCGTCACTGTTCATCATTAATGGGTATGCGACACGAAAATAGATTAAATGCCACTACTCGCTAGCTGTCCACTCCATAATATACATACGCGTATTATGAGTTGAAGGTTCATCACCGTTACTGCTTAAACATTGTTTGGCTCAGCAGTCGTGTCAGAATCCCCGATAAAAAGTTTCGAGGCGGTCAAGTTTCTTACCTAAACCAGAGACACAAGCGTGAATATCAACGGCAAATTCGTCTATTGGAAACACCACTCATTGAAACATATCTGCAAAGTGATGGTGGATGAGTGGACCAGTGGCGAGTGGAACAGGAAAGAGTAAAGATTTCACCTAGGGAAACGTGGGCGCACCCTGCATGTTCCACCCTTCCCCGGGATCCACATTTTTAGAGACGGAATACTCCTCTGCATGCTCCTTCACCACATTTTAGATGCGGAGCATCTAATACTCGAGGCTTGTAGTGCGGCGCCGTCCGCAAGCTTCCTCCTCCTTCTTCCACCATCTGTGCACCCCTTCCTCCTCTACACACCGCGTGCGCTTCTCCTCTTCACGAACATTCGCTAGCTGTATAATGTAGCGCGCATGCGCCGTCACGCTTCGAGAACATCGGCAGCTGACGCGCGCGCATGCGCCGTCGCGCTTCGAGAACATCGGCAGCTGACGCGCGCGCATGCGCCGTTGCGCTTCTTCCCCTTCTCGAACATTCGACAGCTGACGCGCGCATGCACCGTCACCCACCATCTGTGCCGCGCGCGCTTCTCCCCTTCGAGAACATTCTACAATTCTCCTGATTCTCCAGTGGACGCGCATGATTCTCCAGTGGACGCGCAGTGGACGCGCCGTCGCGCTTCGAGAACATTCAACAGCTGACAGTGCATGCGCCGTCGCGCTGTATATATACTCAAGGTCGGCGCTCGCTCGCTCAGTTGCCACTCGTCGGTTGGTTTGTACGGCGCGTCGACGTCCAAGGTCGCGGTGAAATGAATTCCAACGAATCCACAAACACAATGATCGACGTCCCTTCGACCAGCGCCGCCCTTTCGCATACGTGTGTACGTGTTCACTCATTTAACACCCCCTCCTACAACCACGTTAACCAATTTAGCCATCGACCCAAGTAAGTCGCACTTTAACACCCCATTAACCAATTATATACTCCGCATCCTCCTCAGTGTTCCCCCGAGGGAAGCTGCGGGCAATCTTTTTTTAAATAATGGGAATGCCGTAAAGACGAAGTGAACGTGCAGCTCGCGTGGTCACGTGATGCCTTTTTCTTCAATTTCCCCACCCTGGCTTTTTCATTTAGAGTCACATTCAAATGAAACATACGAATGAGGCCATATAGCCTGAATAATGCCGCGTTTATGATGAGGTATTCATGATTACTTCTCTCTAAATTACTGCAACTAATTTATTTGTTGTGCTACGTATCGACTGAGTATCTAGTGGCGTATTTAGACTGCACTAAAACATGAGCTTGTACATTTGGATGACCTTACTGATAAGTTCCGCAGTTGACTCCGCAGTTCCGCAGTTAAGTCGTGTCAAAGCGTACTGCCATCAAAGCGTACTTACGCGAGACAGTGAAAGAGGATGCTGAGCGTTGAGATTTTGCGCCGTGTGTCACTGCGTGACGAATATGAGAACAGCGTTATCACGCCCATATATGGGCATCCGATCTCCGGTGCAGGTGAGGCGGTGGCCACACTACAGCACCACGATGGCATCACGTGAGTGGTAAACCTTTCCGCAAACTTCTGTTCTTTCTCGGCTCACGTTGGTTTTCTCTGCTCGAAAACATTGGGTGGTGCGTTCTCCGCACAGGGGCACTAGCACGGACGATGTGGCCCACGACTACGCCCTCATGCTCTACAAGGGCATCAAGGAGTGTGAGGTAAGGCATTACTGTCTTTTTGCTGATGTAACGTTAGCCGGATTCTTGAAAGGTGTGGACGCACCTAAACTCATGATATCAAGACCACGTGATATCCATGCGCATGACGAAGCTATGGGCTTGAAATGCGAATGTGTAAACGTACTCGTTATGCCTAAAAGCCATCAGCTCACAGTCATTACATCTTATGGCGAGGAATTACTGCGTAATACATTAACTTTTAGTGAGCTCAGTGGATCGACGGAAGCAACTTAAGAATCTGCTGGTGGGCTAGTTGGCACATATATTAAATATGTGTAGCGTACCAAAAAAACAAAGATGAAGCCAGAACAATACATTGGCACAGCATGAAAGCAATAAACATGCGCGCTTTGAGTGCTTCTGTAACTATACGGCGGGCAATCTTTTTCGTTCCAGTAGGCCCATCAAGGAATCCATGCTTGCGGCTATACTTTGCCACATAGCTTTACGAACCCGCTATTGCACGCACTGCTTCGGACGGAAGTATAACAATTATTTTTCTTCCTTTTCAGTTTCTTTACACTTAAGTTAGAATCATTAAAATACCATTAAGAAATCCCGAGTAATATCCCTTGTGCTTTGCTTTAATTATTTGTCCATCGGTTTCATCAGTTATGTACAATACCTAAAGACGAGCTATTCGGAGCTTCGTGCTTAGTTTCGTACATTCACAGCGAGGGCTTCATCTCTGCAGTCTTGACGCTTAGATGACATGTGAGGGTTTATTGGTCAGCCGCCACCTCGTGCGAAGGTCACGTGCCCCATGATACCATGTGGCAAAATTGTGTTCCACACTCGTCACCAGGGCTACAGGTGGCGCTGACAAACACATCCAGGTGCCAAGCTCACAAATACCCTAACAAATACCCTACAAAAAAATGAAAATGGGAGCACCTTCCATCGTAGCTCAAATGCTAGAGCATCAGACGCATAAATCGAAGGTTGCAAGTTCGGATCTCACCGACTGAAAATGTGATTTTCTTTTGTCAATTAATTCATTTCAATGGTCCGCTTCGGTGGAGCAGTGGCTATGGGCTGCTTGGCTGCTGATCCAAAGGTCACGGGTTCGATCCCCGCCGTACGTGGCGGTCACATTTCAATGGAGGCGAAACGCCAGAGGCCAGTGTAGTGTGCGATGTCAGTGCACATTAAAGGAACGCCAGGTGGTCGAAATTGCCGGAGTCCTCCACTATACAGCGTCTTTCATAATCATATCGTGGGTTTCCGACGTAAACCACATATATCATTATCGTTTCCTTTCAGTTTAGGTGAGAATAATTACGACGCCGTTAAAAAGCCACAAATAATTTCTCATAAGATTTTGTTGGCTTAACTGCTTGTCGGTTTTCATTAGTTCTGCATAATACCGAAAAATGAGCTCCTTATTTTCGTAAAAAGCAAAAGAGTAATTTCTACATGTGGCAGGTCTTCTGCAGATAACTCTGTACCGTAAACATCGTGGGCATGCCGGCGCAGTTTCTTTTGGGGATTCGAATGCATCCATTTACTCCCTGCACAAGGTTATTTTAACCGTAGTGGTCTAATGTTGGTTACATTGCTCAAGTTGCCACATTAAGTTGGTATTCTTTCTTTGCGGCAAGCCATTGCAAAGGGTATGTCTATCATCAACTGCACCACATACGCCACGCACCTTTGAACGTATGTATGTAACAAACACGTATGTAACAAACACCGACCTCATTCACGGCCAAAGACTATCAGACATGGATAGACAGATAGATTTGTGCGATTTAACGTCCCAAAACCACCATATGATTATGAGAGACGCCGTAGTGGAGGGCTCCGGAAATTTCGACCACCTGGGGTTCTTTAACGCGCACCCAAATCTGAGCACACGGGCCTACAGCCTTTCCGCCTCCACCAGAAACGCAGCCGCCGCAGCCGGGATTCGATCCCGCTACCTGCGGGTCAGCAGCCGAGTACCTTAGCCACTAGACCACCGCGGCGGGGCTATCAGACAAGGAAGTAAAGATAAAGCATGTGGTGACTGTCGTCAGTGAATTTGCGGAAGCACTTCTCAGGTCATTAATTATTCGCGTACGCACTGCATTCCTAATAAGACAATGGCAGATATTCGGATTACTCAGTTTAAGTTGTAGATTCTGTCAGAAATGGCCATCAGGTAAGCACCATGCGAGCAGCACCACTTCCGTGATAAGTGACGTCAAGCTTGTGAAAAGAAGGCATTGTCGTCTGGTGTTAGGTTTTCGTTGAGAAAAAAAAAACTTGTTTACCGTTGACAGGACAAGGCTGAATTCAACACAATCGTGGTGGTCACTATAATTATGTGAAAAACCAGAAAGTTACGCATCTTTATTCTACGCAATCATCGGCGTGTGTTCTATCCGGTGCAGTTGGTGATTGCCAGTGGGCTGGTCTCCGTGATGAATCCTGGCGTTCCCTCATCAATGGACGTAGCAAAGCAGATGGGTTTCTGTCACCTCCTCAACCAGAGCACATGCCCCTTCACTGAGAACGAACGAGAGGTGTTTATGTTATCATACAAGCATGAACTGGCGTATCAGATGACATTGTCATCATCATCATCATTATAATCATCATCGTCATCGTCGTCATCATCATCATCAGCCTGACTATTCCCACTGCAGGACCAACGCCTCTCAGGCTTCGCCGATCAGCCATGTTCTGTGCTTACTGCTGCCATGTTATACCCGCAAACTTCTTAATCCCATCTGTCCACCTTACTCTCTGTCTACCCCTCGCGCGGTTTACTTCCCTTGGAATTCAGTCAGTTACCCTCAATGACCCACGGTTATCCTGCCTACGCGCTACGGTCCCTGTTGACGTACATTTCTTTTTGTCCATTTCAACTATGATGCCATTAACACCTATTTGTTCCCTAACCAACCCTGTTCTCCCTGTTCTCTTTCTGTCTCCTGAAGTTAGACCTATCGGTTTCCTTTGCGTAGTTCGCTGCACCGTCCTCAATTCAAGTTGAACCCTCCTTGCTAGGCTCCAGGTTTTTTTTTTCTCCGTATAGGTAGGAACCGGCAAGACCTCTTCGGGTAGGTGTTAACTACCCTCCATGATTTGAAAATGCTTGCCGAATATGCTCCACCTTATTCTTATTCCTCTGTAGTCTGCCCAGAAAGCCACACGAGCCCTTCTACAATTCTTGAAGGAAACATCACTGAGCCTGTGAAACCCAGCACTGGGTGTGTTGTGTGCAATGTCCATCCCCTCCTCTCCCTTTTACTTGATTATTTCCTTCTCCACACGTGTAGGGTGGCAAACTGGACGTAGTCTAGTAAACCTCCCTACCTTTCTTAGATTTCTTTTCTTTCTCTTTCAGTAGCCGTAATTAAAAAGCCCCTAAACCAATCAGAGTTTTAAGGCAAGAGTGGTTTTTTGTTTTGCCTTCACTACCCTTCCCACAGGCGATATCTCCTCCTCGCCAATCATTTCTTCATCAAACACGTGGGCAATGTCAGCACTAAGCGTCAGGCCCATCTGGATTTGGCGCTTTTCGGCTACACGCTCCCGTCTCCGCTTACGCCATCGCAAACACACAAAACGATTGAAATTAGTTTATCGCGCATTATAGTCGTGCGAGACGAGGCAGAGCAGGCTTGCGACTGCATGGAGAGGCAGGATAGATGGCAATTCACGAGCGATGTGCTTCGCAAATGAACCAAACGAGAGTATTTACTCGCGACGCCACGTGAACAGACTGGTGGCGTCTCGAACTGATCCGAAAAAAAAAAAAAACAGGAAACATCTGGAGGACGTAACAGTCACATTCTTTGTACTTTTAGATGTTGTTAGGGAACTTTTTTAAGGTATAGCCCATATGGATAGGAAAACAACCACTCTTACAGTCAGGGGAAGCAACAGTAGCTGTAGTCTTAATAATAAGAACGGAATGTTATAGAATAAAGAACAAGTGACTCCGCAGTCTGACGAGAATATAGGATGATTTAGCAAAGTGTTACAATTCTATTATATATCTCCGCTAACTGAGCCATTTCGAAAGTATGGTTTTATCTTCCCTGACGTACTGCATGGCGAAAGCCGTAAACACAGGTTGTGAGCTGGAGCCGATGTTTCTACAAGCGGACATACCTTACCCCGACGCTATAGAACTGATTTACTTTAATCTAGTGTGTATATGCTTCGTACCCTCTCCTCCGATTCGAACGAAAGAGGGAGAGAGGGCGACTGTGGATGTGGGGGACGTTCATTTGGTTGTCGACAGTTTTCAGTGCTGGTGTACAACCCAGCGAGCGTTCCGGTCTCGTACCACGTACGGCTTCCGATTAACGGCAGCGACGACCGGACCATCAGCGTCGTGGGACCTGAGGGAGCCAAGGTCGAGTCGCAGGTACGTGTTCTGCATAATAAATTACGTAAAAGTTGGCCATTTTGTATAGACGCCAAGTGCGTGTGTACTTTTCAATGTGTCGATGCATGTGGTCTGAACTTGAGAGACAGACTGGCATTAGTAGGAGGAGGAGCTTTGCTACGTGAAAGCATAACCTTGCATTGATGTTTACAAACTGGACAGCTCGATTTATAATAAAGATAAACTTGGGCGAGTTGATATTACATCATGAATCCCTACCCTAATTCACAGAAACAGACAACCCCAACGATCAATCGACCGATTGACCGTCTAAATCAAAACAGATCAATAAGATTGACCAAATCATCATCAGATTGAATCAAATCAATCAGATTGACCGTCTAAATCAATTTTCATTGCATGCTGGATGGTTCATACTAAACTTTCGACGTGCTGCACAAGCAGAAAACAAAAACGAAACAGGAACACAGGAAAGAACGCAGCTTCTACCAACAATTTTTGTGTGGTTTCTGTTCTTTCGTTCTGCTTGCGCAGCATGTCACAACTTTAGCCTAAATCGATACTGATACAAGGAAATATGCAAGAAACGCAATTAAAAAAGAAACAAAGAGAATGTCCACGTTACTTAATAATTTCTCCGTGATTTGTTCCAAACCGCCGCAGCTAGGTCTGTCTTTCTGCTTTACACTGCAGATAGTTCCATCGGCTCCACACCGCTTTGAAGCACCGGAAGCCCTAGGCAACAATACATCATCACTGGTGTTTCAAGTGACGGTGGAGCCACTGGGCGCCAGCCTGTACCACGTTAAACGCGAACCACCCGCTTACCAAGTGGTCCCAGGCTTCCTTGAACTCGACGAGCCAGCCAGCTTCATTGAGAACGAGGTAGGCCTAGTGAATAGACGAACCATTGGGCTGTTTACTGGAGACAATGGTTCTTCAGAAATCTGAAGCAGATTAGGGACACGGAAAGATGCTGTACACCAGAATGACAAAAAATGCTACGAGCGTCCCCTAGCGGGATTCTGTTATGTTCCTCCTAAGCTGAGAGTCTACATACCTGGTACCACGACTCGTCTGCAGTCGGTTTTTCGCAGCTGGGCGACGTCTCCATGAAGACGTCAACCGGCCATTCAAATTGACAAGGAGCCTATGGTACATGTCTGCGCAAGAAAGGGGTTTTTTTGTTGTTTACCATAGCACAGAGTGCTTAACGCAGCAACAATTAGTAACCATATAAGATCTAAGAAATTAGACAAAGGTATCATCCTAAACTGTTTGGCTATGGTTCTATTCTCTGCCCTGTGTTCGTGCTGTGCAGTTTTTTTTTTTTTGCTCTTTCTACGAAGTCCTGCCAATGTCTGAAGGCTTCCCTGCTCATGGCACAGCGATTCCGCGTCGTTGTGGACCCGGAGACTGGCCTGGTGTCCAGCATCGTGCTCTTGAGGCGTGAGACGACAGTCCATCTTCGGCAGACGTTCGGTGCCTACATGTTCGAGGTCAAGGCACCGGGAAACATGAGCCCGCCGGGCCACTACACGTTCAGCGCCTACCGCGAGGCGGAGGACTTGGGGGACCACGTCACCTACCGGATCGTTAAGGTCAGCGGAACGACTTGGATTCGTGTCACTGCATCGAGAATGCTACTCGCGTCTTTCTTTGAAAACGACGTCTCGCTATGCCACCTCCAGCCCATATTCGCATGCAACGGGGTGGGATGAGTGCGATGCCCGCTTTCTAGCCGAAATAAACGGCCGATTAAACAAACGATGTGAATAAGCAAAATATCAAAAATAGTTACAGAATAGAGAAAACTCAGTAAATCATGTGAAATTCAACTTGAGTCAATGTCTCAAAGGGATCAAAAAACAGCATTATCCTCATTCGATCCCAATGCACTGGTTGAATTCTTGAAAATAAGTTAACTCCCTTATTTTACGTAGCACGGTCAATTGATATATCAGAAAACAAGTGCTGCCATATCTGTATATCTTAGGTAATTAATCAACTATACGAAAAATTGTGGGATCCGTCAGCTTTGTCTTTATGAGTTGAACGTAATAGCGATATCCTGTCCCTCTAGTGCGTACTTCAAACACTTAGCGCATGAAATCTTTTCTAACTTGCTATGCACCCACTACGTGGCCTTAAGGGAACAGGCACAGTAACCTGAGTGCCTTTTGTAGTGGGTTGGCTGGCTTTAAACCATGAAGTCATTATGATAATCAAATGTTCTGACGTCCGATGGCAACGTACGCTTGTGCTAGGCATTATTACTGCAATATGTCAAGTTGTGTTGTAAAGCATGCATGCAGGACGTGTGTGTTTTTAAAGCGCGAAAGTTGCTTTCACTGCATTTCCCGAGGAATTTATTTTTCGCTGTATTCACAAGCAGAAGCCTGGCTGCGTGATACAACACCCGCTTGCCACGCAAGTGACCCGCTTCGAACCCCTTCTCAGGCCAGGAACTTTTTTTTTATTTATCTTATTTGCATCTTGCCCGATTTTTTCGATCACGCACAAGATGATGATTTTTAGCTCACGATCAACGACGCCGGTATTTGTGCGAAACGATCTCTTTAACGTTATTGAGTTCATAATCATTACGTGATCAATGTAGCGAAGATTTGGTTACTTCCCTGTGCGAATTTGAGAGGCTCAGGTGAGGACCACCACACACACACACACACACACAACACAACAGCATAGGTCATAAATAGTTCCGTTCGGTGCTTGCTGCGTCTGAGTGTTGAAAAAAAAATGGGGAACATATTGTCACATGGCTGTGACGTTGAACAAGGCAACAGCCAGCAGGCTCAATACTCGCACTTTTCATTTGGGCGATCCTGTGCCCGTAAACTGAAAGGACGACGTACAAGCGATTCACACTGCAAGTTGATGGTGGCTGATGGTGACGAATTTTGAATATATTCCTTTTTTTTATGAATGAGAACGCGAGCGTCAAAAACCCTAAAAAAATGTCGTGGTGCATGCATGGGAATTCATTGAACATATGGTTACTACCACTACCACACAGAGTAGCAAGTCAGTGATTTGCATATAATGACTGATTTCGCGGCTTTTTAATAAAAATAACTTTCGCTCTCTCTCTCTCTTAATACCACTACCTTAACACAGTGATTTTGGTTTCTATATCAAGAGGATGGCTTCGCACTGACGTGTCAGCACAAGTTTGACATCACGGGAATACTGCAACACGCTTCATACCATAGCAACAGCTGCCTGTTTTCTGTCAGCCTCACGTGGTTCAAGTAAATAACGATGGGAGAATTATCGTCCAGAGACTATGACAGTAATTGGTATGATTTAGGTTACGTGCAGGAATTCAGGCCGCAAATATCGCAAACCCAGTGAACAGTGTTGAATTGTGACAATGTTCATTGTTGTGGGGCTGGCTTGCGGATGCTGGATGGTGAACTTTAAAATCAAATTAAAATATTTTGTACGCGTTAATTTTCTGGCTCCGGTTTTAAGGAGCCATGTCAGTGCACACTATAAAAACGGAAGATACCCCTTTTGGGGTACTTAAAAATTGTGTCAGTACTCATTTGAGTGCGTATAGTTACCATCTGGGCAAAAATTTTCAGATCAGGTGCGAAATCTGGTGGGAATGTTTGTTGTCACTGCAGGGTCCCGTGGTGCAGGAGATCCACCAAATCTTCAACGGCTTCATATCGCAAGTCATTGCTCTTCACAAGGACAGCCCGTACATCGAGTTCACCTGGACTGTGGGGCCGCTTACGAATCTGTAAGACGCTAAATGCAAATTACAGCATTGACGTTTGAGTGAATCGCAACATTGATGCTTGTTGAAGTTTCAATAACTTCGCGAACTGTAAACGAATGTCAGCTCGTAAACTTGCTTACGAGGGATTCTCTACTGATTTCTTCTGTTTTTTTTTTAGATTGAAGCCTTCCGTTGTACAAAGCAGTACGGGCTGTGACGTGGTCAGTCGCTTCGACGCCGACCTCAACAGCGAAGGATTTCACACTGACGGCAACGGTTGGCGGGACATGCGCAGAACGTGAGTACCCAGTTCTAATAAAGGAAAACATGCTTGACAGTGACCGCAGCGTGGCTGCTTGGACTAGTTGGTACAGCATATAATTGTCAAGCAAGACTTCTTTTTTTTTTTCGTGTGGAATGTTTGAAGAAAATGGGAGGGACAAGATGTCACTCTGTCCTATCGTGTCCTCTCTTCTCTGCCAGCAATCTGCGTCCTAAACAAAAAAAAATATTTTTTTTTGCTTCAAGTGTGCCACGATGACAACTACAGTACAACTATCAACCAATAAGAAAATGATTACTCACTAAATAATGTATTGGTTGTATAAATATTTACGTCGCTCAAGAACACTCCCATTTACTGACAGACTTCGCACTCGTACATGTTTAGGTTGCAGTTACAACATCTGTTTTTTTTTTTAGTTTTACTTGAGTTCATGCAGAGATAATTAGACAGAACACAGCTATTACTCTTTATCATTTTTTTTTTGCTCAGCAAGGCAAGATGATGACTATTTAAGGACTGCCTGGTTAAATACCCGCGCTTTTCGGTATTTTCTTGCACATCATTGCAACAGCCGTGGGGGAGATTTGAACACACGGCTTAGAGCGCGGCATTGACAACGACGCGACCACTGAACTGCCCCATGACAGATGAAGGGGCGACATAATCGAGGAGGAGGTAAGTTTATTTACAAAAAGGCAGAGAGGTCGGCCTGAGCGATAGCCTGCTCTAGCCTGCTACTCTACACTGGGCGAAGGGAAAGGGGAAAAGAAAGATTAATGGATGACGATGGTGAGATAGAGAGGTGAGTATTTAGTGTTCTTTCTAGCTGAGACACATTTCATAGCCGCGCACATAGTCCAGTTGTTTCCAAAAAGGTTATAACTGCTCTTGTGACCGCAGTTGCACTGTTGGTGTCTGGCCAAGGGCCCAACATGGTCTCATCAGTTAATGACCTACTGCGATATAGTTCAATGAAATCAGTGTTTGTCGTTCACGTGCGTATGCTGGGCAGACACAAAATATGTGCTCAAGTGTTTCTGGCACATCACAGTGTTCACAATTAGGACCGGTGTCACTGCGACCGATGATATGTGCGTAACGTCTGGTGTATACACGCTACACCAAGACGAATGCGGTGGATCATACTTGTGAGTTGCCGTTTCAATTTAGGGGGCATGCGGAACCTCATTTCCTGGTCCCATCTGTGAAGTCGCTGGTGTCGCCGTTCCGGTTTGGTCCAGTGCTGAAGTGTGTAGCTGTGCATCACGCAGCGAAGCAGGGCGTTCGTGTTAGCTCGTGAAAATGCAATGCGTACTTCAGGGGCACTGCTTAAGGCATTTTTAGCTTCAGAGTCTGCCTCTTCGCTTCCTATCACGCCGCAATGAGCGGGAATCCACTGGAAAGTTATAATATGACCATTTGTCGAAGCAACCTGAATAAATTCTGTGATTTCTATTGCCAAGCTGTAATACGGACCTTGCTTCATGATGCAATTAATGGTTTGCAAAGCGGGTTTGGCATCACAGAAAATCGTCCAGGCTCGAGGTCGCTCTCCGGAAATAAACCTTATTGCTTCCCGGATAGCGACAAGCTCTGCGGCAGTTGATGTGGTTTTATGGTCCACTTTGAATCGTCGAGCGATATCCATGTCTGGGATGACAAAGGCTGCGGCGGAGGTGTTTAGCGTGGTGGATCTGTCGGTGTACACGTGCAGAAAATCACTGTACGTTGTATAAATGTTATATAGGGTCAGTTGTCTGAGGCCAACAGAAGAAATGAGTGACTTCTTAGTGATTCCATGTATCGTAAGAGAAACAGGTGGTTTAGGGAGGACCCATGGAGGCACTGCAGGGGCATTTGGCGGAGAAAACCTTGATGGTATATTATTTTCATGCCGCGATATTACTCTTGGGAAACTGCAATCTGGGTGAGAGGCGGGTAGCACTGACAGTGGGAGCTGTCTGTGTCTGCTCAGAAATCGGAGGTGAACTCTAAGTGGCTCGCAGAGCATGTATACACTGATGGGATAAGCCCGAGCCTCTGCGATTGTCCCATTTGTTGAAGTACAGCATCTTCGTAAGCATTGAGCTTGAACAGTCTCTAACGTCTTCCCACAACTAGGTCTCATATTGGAGAGCACCGGCATGCTGTATTGAATGTATCCCACAAAAAGAGCATTGTACAATTGAAGTAGCGATTATTCTGACGGGCCCCATCTTGCTCCTGCTACGTGGCGAAGAACGAGAGCAAAGCTCTTCAATTTAGATTTAAGTACTGCGACATGCGTCGTCCACGATAGATCTCTGTGTACGACAACCCCAAGGAACTTGTGGTGCGTTACAGCAGGTATTGCTGTCCCATTAATGAATATCGGGTATTTCGACATATGTTTGCGCGTGAACGCAAGCACTGCGCATTTGTCGATTGAAAAAGTGAGCCCCTGACGTCGTAGATATTTGTATGTGATCGTCACTGCACGCTGTAGTCGAGCTCGTAGTTGCGGACGAGTAGTTCCAGATGCCCATATGCATATGTCATCAGCGTATGCACTGATCTTTACCGTGCTGGGAAGTTCTGCTGCTAGGCCGATCATTGTGACATTGAATAGGATCGGGCTGAGAACTCCTCCTTGGGGAACACCACGATGAACCTTATATCGATCGGTGTCTCCGTTATTTGTCGTCATGTAAATGGTGCGGTCCCTAAGGTAGCTAAAAATCCAAGCGTACAGTCGCCCACCTACAGTCGCCAGTGAAGTCGTTGAGTACGCTTAGTCCATAGTTGCATATAAAATTGGCCAAATCCCTTCCGCGATAATTCGTTGTACTGCTACCCCAGAGAGGATGATGTGCATTAAAATTGCCGATCACAATTTGTGGCCTTTGTGCTGCTTGGAGAATGGTTCCCAGGTGGAAGCAGTCCATCTGTGCGCTTGGCTGTATGTATCCTCCTATTACTGAGAATGTCCGCTTTTTATGTGTTATAGTCAGGCTCACGTAATCATTGCTGGTATGCGACGCGACTTCATGTCTCAAGAACGTCAAATCACGGCGTATACAAACGGGAACTTTGCTCGTACGTTGATCACTGCGGGACCAAATCTGGATATATCCAGATATACGAAAAGTTGAAACCATATTCGGTTCACGTATAAGGATAACAGGAAATTGATATTTAAAAACCCATTGTCTGAAGCCTGACAGACGACCGCATAGGCCACGAGCATTCCATTGCATAACAAGCGACTGGCGCGTGCGTTCTTCGAACATCAGTGCCATGTTCACTTACTGAAGAACCAGTAGAAGAGGCTCCAAAACCTCAAGTAGCTGCACAGCCGCCTTAGCAGCGGGAGTGTTTAGGCTGCTGAGAATCTTACGCATCGAATACATCAAATTTTTAAGCATAGCCTTGACATTTGCGTTGGCCATCTTCTTGTTTTCTTCATTGGGGGTAGGGGCACTATGTGATGATGGCGCTATCGTAGCTCTTGACGGTAGTGAAGGCCACTGAGTCTCCGACGTGGGGAGAGCCAATGACTGGTTACATTGTACTTGCGTGGACTGTATTGGCATTTGAGCATATGTATCCTCCTTTCTGGGCGACAAAAGTAGGCTAGTAGGTAATGAGGGCATGATTTCGTGTGTCGAATTCGATAAGCTATGAGCACTGGAGCACTGCTGCTTCGTTCGCGTCGGTGTCGCGAACGATGTTTACGGCGCCGTACAGCCCTTGCAGCTTCTCTGTGAGTGGAGTGGTCCCGAACCATCTTCTTCAGGATACTAATTTCATTCCTCATTTTGGGACATTCCTTTGATGTTGCGTCGTGGGCGCCTGAGCAGTTTGGGCATTTGGCCACAGCATTGCAGTTATCACCATCATGAAGGCCACCGCAATGCTTGCAGGTTACTGCACCCTTGCAAACTGCACTAACGTGCCCAAATTTAATGCATTTATGGCATTGCAGAGGTTTTGGTACGTAAGGACGTACCGAGTGCCTCACGTACCCAACTTTTACATGTGTGGGTTTTAGTGCTGGGTACCCAAGCAGCTTGCGTACGCAGGACGTTGGGGCGGCGGTATTGCGCATGCGCGAAACCCCAAACAGATGCGTCGCAAGATCGCTGGGGCGCTGGGGCCATGCGTCCGCGCGGTCCACCTTCGCAAGAACTCACGGTATCCGCACTGCGTATACTCTAGCCGTCGAGTTAAAATAAGCCAAAATGCGAGCACTTATAGCGATTACACGGTTTCAGCCAGATTTCCAAAGCTAGAATGGCCTGGAACATAGAAACTAAAAAACATATGGCAGCCCCCGACTAGCTGAATAGGTGGCGCCATCTAGCGCGGCCATATTGAAACAGACAACCACAACTTTGTTATTGCAGAAACATTGTGCATTGTACATCTGGTGCAAAAACTGCCCTGCGACAATATTACAAATGAGCAATCTTTTTATTCATTTTCACCTCAAAAACATTACACGTAAGCTGACATGTTCATGACTGCGGTTGCACGAAGTGTCACAAAATGTCGATACTGTCCTTACAGTAAACTTGTATTTTTCACTTTTTTGCGTATACCAGAATTCTGTACACAATAAATAAGTCCTCTAATCACTATTTATGTTTAAATTAACATTTTAAATCATACAAAGACTTAAATAGTACTTACGCGACAAGGCGCTATGGCTCTGCGAGCGCCTGTGAACTTCGTGCGGCTTGCGTTTGCGTGTGTGCCACCGTGGCGCCAAGTAAAAGGCATTCCGGTTGGGTATGAATTGGGCACGCAACGCCGCGCGCTCCCAAGCCCGCATCGCCCCAAGAGAATGCGTACCCAGCACTAAAACTCCCTACTACTTTCACACATCGCGTGCGTCCAAAGCGGTGGAAACCAAGCACGGGAGCCGACGGTGACAGCAGTTTCTCGAGACTCGAGTCTGTTATCTCCTCATAGACATCGTATATAACTCCTGTTGTCGTTTCTTCGTCATACGTGGAGAATGCGCGAACCGGAATGTTTCCTAATCGAACAATCGCTTTCAGTGTGTCCAATAAAGCCTTCGTAGTGACCTCCACGGACAGTATGTTCTTTCGAGTATTTATGCGTATTTCTACGACTTTCCCTGGAGCAATGAGCTCAAAGTACTCTGACAGGCTCTGGCTATTTATAGAGTTCAAGTTGTCTGTCTTCGATGTCGGCACATACGAAATGGTGTACGACCGCATGCTACTCGCATTTGTCTGTGCTTGCCGGCCAGTCGGCGATGTCCGGCTGATTTTCCTCTTCAGGCGTCAGCTTGGTACGACCACGTAGTCACTGTCCGAAGCCATATCTTCAGCGGAGGAGTCATCAGAATTCTCAACGTGGACCACGCTTGGGCCGGGGTGAGAACTTGTGTCAGACGCACTATGATGTGGTCGGCCCGGTCCCGGTTGCTGGATGGGGTTTTGATCCCCCATTCTAAGGGGGAAAGCCCCTCCGAGGTGTGTCCAATATTGGAAAGTCTAGGCAAAAGAATTAGAAAACTCACAGAGCTCGAAGCAGAGGCTGTTCTCTGTGACAACTTCTTCTTCCTCCCCACATAGACGAAGATCACATATAACGATAACAGGAAATTGATATACATAATCGGGTCATCGCATTGCTTCCGTAGTCTAAGGCATTTGTGATGAATGCGTGTTTTATAGTCTCCAACCACTCTTTTTTTTTCGAAAGTACGAGAGAGCGACCTCTGTTCGAATGGGTCAAAACGACACTAACACAAAGTCGTACATATGACCCTTTTACATTCAGACATTTTGCTATATTATGTTTAGAACAAATTAATAACTGACTAAATCCGGTACGTTTGCAATTACATTTCTGGTCCACGCATAGTCATGAGGCTACACAATCCGTCTAAAAAATTAACAGTATCTTACGGACCGACAGACGGACGGACGGAGAATTCAGGGTTTACCAATGAAATCCTCCGAAGCGTCGCTCCACTCATCATCATTCACTTCGTGGATGTGCTGCGATTTTTTTTTCGTTCATGATTTTTGTTTTATTTTGTTGTTTATTAGCCCAATATTTCTATCTGTATCGCACGCTATCCTATATATCTACCGGCATGGTCGGCACGGGCTGTTTCTCTCTTAATAAGAACAGAAATGTCTCGAATAAAAATGCATGTTCACGACATAAAAAACAATGTATAATATGTTTCAAAACGTGAAAAACACATCGCTAATAGCTATGAGACAGATATCCTTAACATCGTGAAAAAATACACTGCGAAAAATTGTCATTTAAATCCTGATGACCCACTGCAAAGCAATTTATTGAGTCGTCAGTGCACACACGAAAGAATCTCCGGAAAAAAAGAGTGATCAGTTTATTTACTCACAAAAACGAAACAGTTCAGTGACTTCCGTGCCACATGTCGTGTTTTATTGTTTTTTTTTGTCTGCACGCACAGAGTAACATTTCACAAGGACAAGCTTCCGATTCCTGCTAACTACTATCCGGTCACTTCCTGGATCTACATCGAGGTAGGCGCAATCTCAACATCCCATGTGCCCGCAGCTATCCCTTATATGCGTGCTCACATGATGCACACAAAAGAACATGCGTTTCTTACTTTTCAATTGAAGGACATTCCCATTTGTTCAAAAGACATTGAAAAAAAATTGTTAGACGTCTGTTTTAATGAAATTAACATTGTTAGCCGCTGAAGTGTCACCTCTTTAAGCTGTAAACCTGCTACAATTCGTTGTGATAACTACACAGTGCAATAATTTCTCAAATTTCGCACACGAAAATTCCAAACAACGTACGTTTCGGGTGCAATAGACATGCTGGTGTTTCGTTCTGTCCCTCTTCAATTGAAATTTATTCTTGCCATGCAGCAATTTGAGTTAGTTTGTATACATCTTCGCACCATGCCGAGTGGCCACTTTCTTACTTTAAATCTTAGGATCAGAAGTAATATTATTTTTTAAAAAGTGACAATATAGTTAATAAATCTACGTCTCATTGCCACAAGATTTTAAACTTTTTTGTTTGTAATGCGGCAAGTTGTATCGAATTCGGTGCATTGGTCTGAACATCCTATTGATTTAGCGTCGTCAAGAATTGTGCTGAATGCCTCCCGATGCATGAAATGTAAACGTCTGAATGTTCGGACTGTGACCGAACGCGCCACGTTCGCGCGTGTTTAACGAAGAAACGTACGCCAAGACCCCGTGACTTTGACTCTCTTTTCACATTTCACTGCATGACAAATAAGCTTGTACGTAAACTTTACCGCACGGAAATGCGGTGAGGCAAGCATATTGCGTGTGATTAACCTCTTCGTGCACACGTTGTGCATGATTCGCCGCAAGGCACTTATGTTGTGCGACAAAGCTTACAAAAAATGAATAACACACATTGGCTTCTCCGCAATAAGAATCTTAATGCTAGAAAGCCACCTTTCAAGGCATATTTTTTATGAGTGCGAGGAATTAGATAGTTGCGCGTCTGCAGCAAGCCTTACGGACACTGTCTCCCATTGCGAATGCCCGGCAGACTGCGTCGGCACGGCTGCTACGGACGCGCAACTAAATCTGCCCAATGCCACAAGTTCGGCGAGGTTCGCATATCAAGAAGCACCGAGCCTCAGGCACCCACTTGTGGTGACCGGGCGCCTTAGCTGCGATGCGAGTGGATGTATTAGAGGAGGACGTGCTGCCCATTACGCGCAGGACGAAGCCAAGGACCTGCAGATGCTTCTCATCCCCGATCGGTCACAAGGCGGAACCAGTCTTCGGAAGGGACATCTGGAGCTCATGGTATGCAAATTCGCCCTGCGATCTTTTTGCGACTGGTGGTTTAGGTCTTTTTGCGACTGGTGCCATGCCCTGAAGTCACTGCGGCTAAGGGTGTGCGTTTCTCGACTATGCGAAAATCAGTAAACGCATAAGAGAAACCAACCTTGAAGACAGTCGAGTTAGCACCTTGCACAACTTTTTTATCTGACATAGAATCATTTAATCTGTAGTCGTGAAGCGAGCGCATGCGCCTTGCGAATCGAGTCTCGCAAGCTCACTGTGTATTATCGACATTCATATAAATTAAAAAAAATTACACCATCACCCGCTAAAGGGAACCATGTGTAGATGCCAAGCAGCGGGCGCTATCACTTATACACTGGTGGTGGCGTTGATGCTGATGCTCACCGCGGCGTTGCACAGAAAATAAATCTGGGGAGGCGTAAAGCACGCAGGGATGAACCGGTGTTTCCTCCTGGGACATGCCAATCGCTGCTAATGGGTGGGTACTAAGGGACAGAAGACTCCGATTGGACACAGAGACTCGTAGTCTGCTTTTAGTTAACGTGCACGCTGCGAATTTTTATTGTTTGACAACGCACACTACCTTGAAGGTCAAGATTCAGCAGGGTGGCCAGTAAATGGCTGAAATGGCTGTGCAACGCGAGCAGTCGGTGTTCTAAATGCGAAGCAGCTCTTTGTAGCCCGTGTCCGTGCGAACGCACCGCAACACGCGTCCTTCGCCGCAGGTGCTGGAGCGGTGCCAAGTAGGTCACGCCGTTGCTGCGCGTTGACGTCACTATCTCCCTCACCTGCCGCGAGCTCACCGCAGCACCCGCAGCTGCCGCCTCATCCGTTCGTCCGCAACACCTTCCGTTGCCGCCACTCGCTCCACTACCGCGACCGCTGCTCGCTTCACCGCCGACCAAATGCCACGATAAGGAGAACGTGTGTCAAACTAGTCTTTGCAAACTTCGACGTCGAATGTATGCAGAAACCTTTCGGCGTGCGCTTCACCGATCACAAGGCCGTGGTAGTCAAGGCGAAACGCGTGCCAGCTGCGGTCCAGCACACGTGTCCACGCTGAAGAAACGACAAACCTACGCCAGCCATCGCTTCACACGTATCTTCCTACGCTCACCGTAGCACCCGCGTTAGCGCCGTTCAACCCTTGACGCCAGCCGTGCGCAACGCTACTGCTTCGCATCCCATCAGGGTTCCCTTTGGGAGGATGGAGTAGTAGTAGTAGTAGTAGTAGTAGTAGTAGTAGTAGTAGTAGTAGTAGTAGTAGTAGTAGTAGTAGCAGTAGTAGCAGTAGTCTGCTGCACTCGGTGGCGATAACTGAGCGAGACAGTTCGCGGCGCGGGCAACGCAGCGCGAACCAGCTTAGGCAACAGACCAACCACTCGTCAGAGTGGAACCCCGAAATCGCCACGTGGTTGAAGTAGTAGGAGTAGCAGTAAGTGGTTCTTGAAGGAAAAAAGCTGATTTCTGTCTGACGAATGCAGCGAGATGGCTAAGCTCCTTGTAGAGGATGGGGGAAGGGGATAAAAGGATAGTAGAAAGAGTAAGATGAAAAAGACGGAGCACTCGCCACACACGAGTGTAGAAGGAAGAGAGAAGACATAGAAAAGATATAGGGGATACATTCGAAGGAGTCCGAGGGCGGGGCACTGATCGGCGAGAGCTACACGGCGCCAGGAGATCGCGGATTGAGGGCCGATCGGCGAGAGCTGCGCTGGTGTCGGAGATCACGGGCGACACAACCGTTCAGCACGGAATCCTCCAAGCAAGTCCCGAACAAGATCTGTAGACCGGGTGAAGTGATGGTTTCGAGTGTTTTGAGGGAAGAGGGCAGAGACGAAGAAAGTGAGAGTGGGAGACTGAATAAGAAAGTTAATAAGAAATAAGAATAAGAAAGTTACCTAAATGATGATGATGGGGATGACAATGATAAATCACGTGCACTCGTGCGCTTACAGCTTCGTTGTTTGCCGGTCTTTATGACGTAAAACTGGCTGCTTTTTAGGGGCGAAGTTCCTTATGCCGTGGGGTTATGCGTCCGCGATGTATGCAGTAGTAGTAGTAGTAGTAGTAGTAGTAGTAGTAGTAGTAGTAGTAGTAGTAGTAGTAGTAGTAGTAGTAGTAGTAGTACTAGGTAGCCACCTCTCGTTTAGTGCTTGGAATGTCCGCTGGATGGCCGTACTTCTATATGATGAATATATGATGAAAAGATGCGAGATGGTGGTACTTTGAGTGTTCACTAGATGGACGGACGGACGGACAGACAGAAAGATGCACGGACGGATGCACGCAAGGAAGAACACATGGATGGACGATCGCATGGTCGGATGGATGGCCGGACGCATGAACGGACGCACAGACCGGTGGACGCACGGACGGATGGACTGATGGATGCTTTGCCCCACTCATTCTGTCCGTGGATATGCTATGATTGATTTTTTTTTCTTTTGCACCTCACACTATCTTCTGGCGTCTTTTGGCTTAGCCAGTGCCTCGCACTTGAATACGTGACAGGTCATCATCATAAGCCCGCTTTTTGAACGCACCGTACTTCGCAGGTACATCGGCGACACGCGACCACCGACGAGCTTGGGAATCCCGAGTTCCTCCTCGAAAGCGGAGGCGACAACCAGGCCTTGGTGGCGAGAGGAACTCACCGGCTTTTCGTTGGTCCACGTGCCGAGGTCGCCAGCATTATGCGACTGCAAGCACTTCAACTCGTCTATCGACCCCTGCTGGTCTTCGCTCCGGCCGGATGGAGACCGCGCCAGGAAAAGGTACGAAATTAATCATCAAACTGGCACTGTAACGTGATTTAGTAGTTCACTTCTGTACAGATAAGTACAATAATTTCTTATATGAATCACTTCAAGATATTGCCACTTTAAATACCTGGAATACAAAATCACATTAAATAAGTAATGTAGTGTAGTGCACAGTACATAGTAGTGAAAGATAGCGTATAAGTTTTTCTAGCCAGATTAGCGTCTCTGCCTTTCTTACCTCCATAGTATTTTTCTTACAATAGTAATTAAGGTATTACCCCACAACCCTGTGCTCTTCGTTCGAAAGAATGCTAGATTATTAACGTTGAGGTGGTTCTTAACTTACCCCTGAAAATAAAAAAAAAAGCTATCGCGTGATTTTCTCCTGGCGTTTCTCCTCTTTCTGGCATAATACGTGATGCTATGAGTTTGTTCACGTGGTGTCATGAGGTAATAAGCTATACCAGTTTTGAATGGTCTCCGACCCTGCATTGCCATGCAGTCGCACACCTGTTCTGATTCGTCTCGCATGACTGTAGTAAGCAACGAACAGATTTCACTTCGCTTTGTGCGTTTTCAGCTGCGCAGGCAGAGATTACACAGTGCAGTCGAAAATCACGAAATAAATGTTTTCGCTCGAACCTCAGCCTTGTCAGGGGCCCTGAAAGTATATCTGAAATGTGAGCGCAACGTTTAGTGCGGGGGAGGGGGGGGGGGGGTACGCTTACCCACTGGTTTCTAACCTGTGGGGGCGACGGCCCCCACTGCACCCACCGTTCCGGAGCTCCTGAGCCTTGTCACCAGTTAGTGCGACGTCACAAAACATCCCCAACTGCTTTTACGTATACGGGTTCTTTCGATAATAGTGATCTAACTGCTCAAAACCGCGCTGATTTGTTATGAGATCATTGATGTATTGGGTTGGTACGCTGCCTCTCGCGCTCTGATTACGAGCTGCCTCTGCATGTGGCGACTCTGAGCCAGAGGAACAGAGAGGCCAACCGAATACGCCATGACTTGTTGCATGGCTATTGTGCAGGTGTAGTCACCTCAGTCTATGGTGTGCTATGTACCGTCTTTTCCTCCTTTTCTTAAATTATTTGTTTGGAAGGATGTAACGTTTCCCATAAACATGTGCTACTTGACAATTTTAAAGAGGGCACGAATCCTCTGAAATGTTATGCATAAGTAAATAAGTCATAAGTAATTAATAAATAATTCATTTGGATAACACGTCACACTTCTTTCGCCTTGCAGTTTTCGGCGTTGCGACAGCCACTGCCAAGCACAGCACACGTACTAAATCTGGAAATGCTCCCTACACACGAAATACTTCTCCGCCTCGAGCACCTGGCTACCAACGACACTACTGCCAAGATCAGCATCACGGTGAGGGGAACATCATGCTTAAACAGTGTCAGCCGTGTGTACATCGGTTACGATGCAGAAATGTAGAAGCTCACACGATAATTCATTTCTACAGACAGAGTAAAGGAGAGCAGCAGGCCTCTACATTGCGTGTTAAACTGTTCTCCGATATTGTGTAGTCTAAAAACACTCACAGGGTCCATTATGCGAAAGCTATTTTTGCATTTTTCTTCTTTGTCGATGCACTCGTCCTCCGTGATGGGGACATGGCAAGCTTTCTGCATCTCAGATAGTTCTGCACAGCCTTCGTGATCAGCTCACATTTCACCAGCGACTGTGTCATGCGATGACGTCATCATGTGGCTTCACATTGCATGACTCCAGGGTGCCGTTATGTGACGTCACAAATGTCGGAGATTGGTGACGTCACGATGGCGCCAAAAATTTTGGCAGTCTGTGACGGCGTGATGACGTCATATGGGGAAGTCATCCGGCAATGATGACTTTTTGCACTGACTCCACAAACGGTCAATTTTCACTCTTCGTGAGGCTTTGCCCAATAAAAACCTCCCGAGAGCGCAAGTCACGGTCCTCCACCGTATTCAAACATGCTCTTTCCCTAGATCTCACTGGCTGGCGTTTATTAAGGGAGAGCCTTAAAAAATGTGCCCTGGAACGTTGCCAACTATAGCCTCCCCCTCCTTAAAATAATTTTAAATAAAAACGCATTTGCTAAATGTAGCAATGCTGCTAGTGACGCTGGCCACATTGTGCTTTTAGTTGTTTTGTTGCCTGTGTACATGCCCGGTACGAAAGTTCTTATGCTTCCTTGCCTCGTGAGCGCACATTTTGTGTTCTTCTGCCATGAGTGACACAGCGGACGACGTGAAGAAGTGGTACGATATTGCGCTAGTAATGACGTTGATCGGCTGGCGCCGGCCGGCCCGACTCGCGAGGCACGCCGCACGGTGTGTGTAGGGCATCGGCGTTGAGAGTAAGTGAACTCTAGCGGGCGTAAATATATGTAAAAAACACGCGTTGTGAATGAGTACTACAACGAAAGAACGTTTAATATTGCTAAAATGTATTAATCTTTCAATGCTCGAAATTTTTCTCTGACTTCTAGACTGCTGGGGACGAGAGTACCTCGTTTCGCTGCGAAGGGAGATCGTTGAACGTCCTTTGCGAAATGCTCCATTCACCTTCGTTTTCGTAAGGGTGGCCGCGTGACACCGACCGCATCTTCATGTCGTAAGGACGAGGGAGTTAAACGGTCTTCACGGGTGCCCGTGTGACAGGGGTATCACACTCTCTCAGCAGTGACAAGATGGCACAGCGGCGCATAGCAACAGTTGCGCCGCCAGAGCTGTGGATTCTTCCCCTTGCACTCTTTCATCAGTCACGTGACTGCTTAGGGTGTGTGAAGAACAACAATTAAAAAATAGAAAAAAAAGGACATGGCATAGTCAGTCGAATGGCCGCAGGCTTTCCTCGAGGCACTTTGGAATTTTTTTTTCTTTACATGAGGGTCAGTTTTCCCAATCTGCCAAAATTTTAAAGCTTGAGAATTGGTCCCACAAAACCCCATGTCGGGGTGGCTGTGAAAGACTTTCTTCACAGCCACCTTGACATGGGATTCGAAGCACCAACTAGTTCCCAGAAGCAGCCCATCTGGAAGGAAAACAGCTAGCTATTGCTGCCTGGGCAGAAAGAGTTGCAGCGCACGTGGAGCCACGCTGAAGATCGTGCTGTTCTGTGTGAGTGAAGTTAACTCCTCCTCCGTGAAGCCTCTAAGGCTTTTTGCCTTGCTAAAATGCGTACGTCGGTAAGGTCGTCAGTTTAGAGCGCCTCGAGGATTGGAAAGCTCTAAAAGGTAACCTCAACTTACCAAAGTGGAGTAATTTATATGACAAGCGAGTAATAAAATTCTGCGGCAAGTAAATCTGGTATATAGTTTACTCCGATAGAGGTTAAGACCACACGTAATTTCAAGTACTTTATTTTTCAGATACTTTTTTTTCTCGAGAACCGGCATCATCACTTTACTTATGATTCATTGAGCATGCTTCATAAACACTTCCGTTTATTATAAATCGTGGCGTGTACTGTGATACCATGCTGCTAAATTCTGCATCTGATCTGTCAGTTCTATTTTCCCCACTGTACTGAAAGCTAGCCACCTTTGGCTATTGGTTCAGGCGTCTGTGTGTTCATGATTATGTAAGGAAAGAAATGAAGCACTTTCGAGCAAAACAAAACGAAGGAAGTTGACTCGTTGATGGTTTGACTGACGCAGCGTCTGCTTTTGGGTCGTCGCCTGGAGCACGTCCGTCCAGTGACGCTGGGAGCCAATAGCTTCCTTCCGGGTCCCAGGCGCCACCGCTGGCACACGCAAGAGGTGGAACAAAAAAGCGGGAAGCCATGGCATTCCATCGATGACGTGACAATGCCAGTTCCCGAAATGAGTACAGAATCGAGCACGGGCGATACGTACGTTAATTTGCGACCGGGTGAAATCGCCACCTTTTTGGCAAAGTTGGTTGTCAAGTGAGCGTGTCAACGTTGAACAATTAGCACGGTTGGACAATGTTGCCACTTGCTCACTTTTTAATTAGCACTTTATTTGATTTCATTTTATTTACCATCAAGGCCATATGGCATTAGAGAGGGGAGTGGTTACAAGTAGATGAGAAATAAAAATACAGCGTGACAATAAGTCAGTCAACAAACAAAAATTCTTCATTATACAATATTAGTTGCATAAGGGCCTTGACTTCAATACAATATGAATATAATACATAATAGTACATACCATAATGCATTGTACACTTACTAATTATAAAAAATCAGGTAATGCTTGATGTAAAAGATGGTTATTAGCAATAGCTACTATGTCCTCAGGTCGATGGTTCTAATCTGCTGACGTAGGGGGTTTGAACGATCGATAAAAACACTGGGAGTTGTACAACGCAATGCCAACCTTATGATGGTGGTCAATACGATAGGATATGCACTGAAGATTGACGATTAGTTGGTCATAAAGGGTTAATGATGGAAGAATTTGTGAAATGTGGCCAAGTGGGATATTTTACGAAGGGATGCAAGTGACGGGAGACCTATGTTGGATTTCACCGAAGTTATACTGTCAATGCAATTATAGTTGGATAGTATTAAACGGGTGGAGTTATTCTGTACAAGTTCTAGTGAAGCGATCAAGTTATCGTGGTAAGGATCCCGCACACAAGAGGCATACAGTATTCGAGTTTGGATCTCACTAATGTTTTATATAAGATCAGTTTTAGTGCTGATAGTGCTTTTGAAAAGTTACAACCTATGTAGCCTAACATGCGATTGGCATTATTAGTAATGTATTCGATGTGAGCTGCCCAAGATAGGTTCGTCGTGATAAAAACACCCAAGTATTTATATGAGTTGACCGGATCGAGTGGGACGTTGTTAAAGTAGTATGTTAGCGGGGTATTGGGTGATCTTGTTACGCGTATTGCCTTATATTCGCCAATGTTTAAGTTCATTCACCATGTGATGCACCAAGCTGCTACGGTGGATCAGATTGAAGGAATGAAATGTTGTTATCACTGGTCATTTCATACAAAATGATGCAATCATCTGCAAAAAGATGAATGTTAGAAGACGTAGAAGACGTGAGGTCGTTAATATAAGTAAGAAACAGAAGCGGGCCAAGGGCGGATTCTTGCGGTACGCCTGAGTGGACCACTGCAGATGACGAATCGTGATAGTTAACAATAACGTATTGAATTCTGTTACATAAAAAACATGCAATCTACTTGAGCAAATGATTTTCAACGTTTATTAGGCTGAATTTGGGTAGTAGTAGTTGGTGACAGACTTTGTTGAAAGCGTTCCTAAAGTCTAAGCAAATGCAGTCGGTGCATAATGAATAATCCAAGATATGATGATGCAGTTTGTCAGTGGATTATATGAGCTGTGTCTCGCATAAAAAATGTTTGCGAAAGCCATGTTGTGCAGGTGTAAAAAAAAAGTTGGTTTCAAGAAAGTTAATGACGTTGCTGAAATTACATGTTCTAATAGCTTACAGGAAGTGCTTGTTACAGAAATAGGGCAATAATTATTTGGAAAGTGTTTATTACCCGACTTAGCAGCGTGCTTGATTGGGCTGGTTGGTCAGTGCTGCGTATGTGTATTCTTCTCGTTTCGCCTTTAGCGCGGTTTTATCCTTCGTCAACTTAAATAGCGAAGCGAAAAGTGTTTTTATGCATCCTGGTAGCACGTAGTGCGCTTTCCTCTCAGAAGACAATATTCTTGACAATGCAATTCTGAGATGAATGTAATGCCCTTATGTGATGCAAGGACATCCTTTTTTTTTTTCATTCAATTGTGATTGGTCATTACATGAGGTGCCGTGTTACTTCGCGCTTGCAGTTCTGGTTGAAACACTGCAAGGAAATATACAAACAACATAGTGCTAGCATCGCCGTGCAAAATCAAAACCTGAAACTGTACAAACCGCATGTAAGAAAACGCAAATCAGCAGCATATAAACGATGTTGTGCAATTAGGAATAGCAATAAGAATGTCAAAATTAGGCACCGAGTGGCTGTAACTTTTCTTCGAAACTGGGAAGTGAATTTGTATCGTAAATATTTCAGAGCTCAGTTTTCTCAACTCTTGACACAAAGTCTAACAACGTATGGGTGGGGTGCATGAGCGTGTGCAGGGCTCCCCTTTAGGGGTGGCAAAGGTTCGTCGTAGCCCCCCCCTTTCTATCATGTCAATGCATGAGGCTGACTTTGCACCCCCCCCTGCCACCCCCCCCCCCCATGTACATGCCTATGGGTGGGACGACCGACGTGACACTGTGCCTGGAGGCCGCAAGCAGAGCCAGGGATTAATGTTGAACATACCTTTATACAGTTCATAAACGTTAATCATTAAGTGGAAGCTTCAAGGAATGAAAGAAGGGTAATAGATAGAGGGTCTAGTTTTCCACAACATAATGAATCAAACAGACAATCAAGCATTGAAAAACATAGCAGACATTATTTGTAGTTGTTACCTTAACAGTATAGTGACGTAAACTGAAAGTAATTAAAGGGGTAGAAAAAGCTACTTCAAATCATCCATGCATGACAAAAACAGAAAACGTTGGTTTGTTTACTTCTTTCGAGAAATGGGAGTATATTATTTTATGAATTCAGACAGTGCTTTCTAAAGCGGCCCGTTTTGAACTCTCCCTTGTCTGTGTGGCGCAAGTCGTGTAACCTAATAGCATTTCAGTGTTTGTCGGCCATGTACACTTAAGAGATTATGTGTTCATATCTTATTGTGCTATTTACGATTGACTGCCATTGTTTTCTCTTGGGAGAACAAGCCTGTCAGCAGCCTGACGTACCAGTATACATAATTAGTACACCTAATTGATAAGCATCCCACAAAAATGCATTTCGCCACGACCGTAGAATGCCATACGACGTTCAAGGCAGCGATTGGTTCTGCGCCACTTACGCTCTTAAGAGACAGAACATCTCCTGGCAACCTACTTGGCTTAGCCTCCCTCACCCTTTCGATAAATAAAAGTTGTCACTCACTCCAGCACAGAAAGCAATAACTCTGATGGATGAGACGAGTATAGAGAAAGTGAAAAGGCAAAAAAAAATAGAAAAAAAAACAGACGAAGATAGAGAAGTTATTGGGAAAAATTCCTACGCGAGGCGAGATTTAAACCCGTGTACTAAGGATCCACCTGAAGACGAGCATTTTAACCAGTTGACTATCCAGGCCCGCTAGCAAAGCATAGCACAGCCATGTACAGTACAGTACAGTACGAGTGTAGGAAAGGGAAGTGAGCAGGAGGAGGACATATGTGAGGGCGAGGATGAGCTAATGGAGGAGGAGAGTGTAGAGCATGCCAGGGAAGGAAAAAAATAGAACGAAAGGCAGAAAGAGATAGAAAGCTAGAAATACAGAGAAAGAAAGGGAAGATAGAGAAAGAAAGTTGGAAAGATTGAGAAAGAGAAACAAATAAATAGTGATTGGAGATACATACACAAAACCAGAGTGAACAGAGAAAAAGAACGAGAGGCAGAATGAAAGAGACAATTAGCAAAACTGAGCAAAGCAGTGACAGCCAGGACTACTTAGGTGCCCATCAGCTCCACTCTATCTTTAGCATTGCGCCTCCAGCACAAGCTGCACAAATTTTTTTCTTGTAGTGCTGCCACGGAAGGGCACTAAAAAGTGGTTTTGCAGAGTTCTGTTGAAAGCCCTCTGACACCATGGATGTGCTCATTTTGTAGGTGGTACATCGGTGGGCATGTGTCGCAAACATCTGTGCACTTGCACAGCGCGCCGACTCCCTATGTGCTTTTCTTCCTTGCTTCGACTACGGGAGTTCCCCTACACTTCAGCCTCTGCTGATAGTTGCTGCGACAGTTGGCGCAAGTCAGTTCTTCTGTAAGAGGTCACGTGCTTTCCGTACACGGATTTTGCGGGTGTCAGCTGCATGCACGCTTTTGCCAGCCTAGCCAAAAACCATATTGCATTTCAATTAAGCATACCAGGACACAATCCTTAAATAAAAACTAATCAGTCCCTCAACAAAGGTGCGGGAACTAGAGAATGACGTGAGTGCCTTTTTTGTAATTTCATGAATGTTATATTGAACAGCTGGAAAGTTCGAAGCTCTCAGTGGTGACAATTAAGAACAGAGTACTGGAATATATCTGAACATGCAATACTACACCTGAACTTACTTAGTGCTAATTCTGCAGATGGTTCCACTTTTAGGAGTAAAAAGGAGACAAAAATCAGTAGGTTGGTAATGACCCTGCATACACTCCAATGCAAGAAGCTTGGCGAGTGATGCCCTGTAATCCTGCCAGTTGAGAAATGTCAACTTTCTAATTTAGTTATTTACACATTTTATGGAAAAGTGCTTGGATGATGCAGTCTGGGTTACCACACTCATCTTGGAAAATCGGCAAGCATAGGTACTATTAGAGTTATTCAATCTTTTAGTCTGCCGTTATTTATCAGTTTTTGTTGCTCTTTTACAGCACAAACATGTAATGTCGGAAGAAAAATTAGGTGATGTGCCAATCAAGCGAATGAGAGAATGCTGTACAACACTTTAGACAATGTTGATTGTCGAGCTGATTGAGATAACATCACGACACCAAATGTTTGTGCAACAAAATCAGACGTCAATGCCATGTCACGATTGTTGCCTTGCCGCTGGCATTGTCAGAGCAGCGTTCTTGCTAAGCCCTGCTTTGGACAGTAAATGACTTGGGTCTGTTTCTTCTCCTTCTTACAATGTCTCTTACCAGAAGACTCTTGTGCTTTTTCTCTGCAAAATGTGGTGCATATGAAAGCAGGCAAAGGAAGGGTGCTACAGCATTCAGTATTTTATTGAGCTCTGTTCTGTACAATAATCAAATACTACCTATAACATCAATCACACGTATTTCGTGTAGAACTTCCTGTCGTACTTGCTGATCCACCGAGCAGAGTCGTGCATCTTGTAGTCTATGACTCGCTCAATGCTAAATGGATTGATGTTCCTCCTCTCCAGCTCTTCCTCTTCAAGCTTAATTTCTTCGAGCAGTTCGTTGGTGATTGGCATAGCATCCACAGGAAGCTTGTGACACACCTTAAAACAAATGTGCATAAGACTAAACAGGTACAAGAAAGTAATCAATACTGCTTTGATGCTTTTTTTTTTTGCACTTTATCACTTCTCGGGCTAATCTGCTGTGACAACTAGTATGCGAGATGAACATATCGTTTTCACTTAACTTCAGGCACTTTCAGTGATGTGCTGTGGTGTACCCAATAAAAATATATTGCACTAGATCTTAAGGCTGGCAAAGAAAAGCTTAGACTTACAGCTAGCTCATAAGCAAAACGCTATTGCATTTAAATTACAGATGGGTGCCTTAAAAATAGATCAGAAAAGGGGTTGTTCATGACAAACTTGAAAAATAGTGGCCCCTGCTGCTCGAAAGTACCTCTTGACTCGAAACCGGCAGCATATAGGCATGTTCCCCAAAAACAGTTGTGGTCAGCGACTGTCTAAGGTCTTACGAAAATTTTCATTGGTGATTTATGAAGCATAAACTGTATTAAACCCTTGGCCCACAAAGCCTGCTTGGCTGCTACCATCGACAGAAAAACTAGACATAACAGCCATGCAGTTTAGCTAGTATTACTTGAATTATTAATACTAATTATAACCAATTGAGGCAGAGCAATATTCTGTTGCAGTTATAACAAACTAAATGTAACAAAACAATGAAAGAAAGCTTAACAGAACGCACTTACCTGCTCTAAAAGTGGCTTTACTTCCTCGAACTCCACATAGCCACCCATCTCGATGATGATGCGCCCCGCTTTGATGGGTGTCACATAGTGATCTATGGCACCTTTTCCTTTGCCCATTCTTTTTCCCTGACCCTAAAGAAGAAGACAGAGCTCACAACCAGTGAAACTAACAGTAGGTACTGTATTTACTCGCATAATCCTCGCACTTTTTTGGGCGGAAAACCGATGCAAAGTTGGGGAGGTGTGAGAATTACGCGGGGGAAAACTTTTTATGAAAACAGTACAGAGCGAAAAAGAAAACGAAGTGGCCGCAAGTCAGGATTCTCACGCCAGAACAATAAAAGCACAGGTTCAACACAAGGCAAGATTCATTTGAGACACAAAAGGCACAATCAAATAGTCGAGAATTAGAATACCGTGCTTAAAGCTTGTGGGAGTTGCGGTAGCGTTCGTCGCTCAACAGCAAAAGGTAAGCGAAGGACGTCAGTATTGGGCTGATGGCCAATTAACAGAATCGTCCGCAGTTACCTTCTGAAGAAATAAAGTTTACCATCAATCTCAGTCTTAGACACACAGAAGGCCCAACACGTCTTGGTGGCTTTCAGCTGCCGTCACCAGTAGCGAACACAAAACTCGTCTACTCCAAAAGGCCTACCGGCGGCCCTGATGCCGTTGTTTAGTGCATGATCAATCACTTTCAAATTGAAAACAGCTGTGTAGTCCGTATTGTTCCATAACGTAACAAGATTACTGACACAACATACAAATCACGCCGCAACGCACACTTGCCACTTGAGCTTGGATTGGATTGAATTTCGGTGCAATAGCAGTACACTCTACGCTTAGCAGATGGCGCCAGACGGCACACGCTATCAGCATCAGTGGCTGGAACGAGCAGACGACATTATTGTGACAAATTTCCGGGGTGCAATAATTACTCGAGGGAAAAAAAAGAAATCGTATTTTTGTTGGGCGATGTCGGGGGATGCGAGAATAAGGCGAGTGCGAGGATCGCGCGAGTAAATACGGTATAGATAGACGATTCAATATAAGCATATACGCTTGGACATAATAAAGACGAATAACATGAATAAGTTACCAAATTTACTAGCATACGTATAATGTGTGTCCTTGATAACAACACGTAGTGAACATACACTTACCGTACACCGAGACATAAGGAAGCTGTTTTGTAGTCAAAATTAAGTTGAACTGCACCTGTACTTCTCAACTGGCCACATGAGCAGCAAAAGCTAAGATCTAACGCTACACATGTGAACAGCCAAGCTCAGCGGGCAAGAGAAAATTTAATGCAGTGGGCATTCTCAAATATTCCTCATTTCAACTCAAATCATGATTTGGTTCATAGTGCTTAGTTGGTAAATTTTGTTTCTTGAAATATGTAACTACGACGGCACTTGAGAGGTTACTGATGATTTGGGAATGAGTGTAGTTTAAACTGACAACTCCCAAGTTCTCATCATAGGCCACTAGAAACAGTGATAAACTCTACTTTCAGTTCAGCTACAGTAAAAAACTTCAAAGTAGCCAATCAGTTGTTGAAGAGAAAACAAATCAAATTTTATTTCCCTTACTAAAAGAATATACCTATCCTAAACATGCCCAAGCTGAAAAGCTGACAGAAGAAAGCATGTAAATCGACAAGAAATTATCCAGAAAATTCACTACTATGGTGAAATTTTAAGCAAGCACTTCTCTCCCTACTTCCCGAGATTGCAAATATGCGGCCTTTTCCACTCTCTCCCCACTTTCACCGTTTCATTCACTGTTTTTATCTGTCGGACGATAGCGAACAAAAACGGTGAATGCATTTCATTCAATAAGCATGTCATTAGAAGCGCGGGTGTGCATTCTTTATTAAGGGCTCTTTGGCTGCTATGTTGGGTGCAAATAAGAATTAGTAAAAAAAAAAAAACATTCATTGCGGCATGCAGACAGACAGCAGATGCACAGAAAGGAGCAACACCTTTTTGGTAATAGGCTTCCATGGCGGGTCAATCCTCCACACGGCAAACATCCTAGAAACGTCGAGCTTCTTGTTTATGTTTAGGCGAATCATATCGATGTGACCTGGACGGAGGAAGGCACCCGACAAGGCCTGGAAATCACAAAACAATAAGCACTGCTTAAAGCCCTGTTGAGCGCTGTTTAAAAAAATTCTGCATGGTGAAAGAAAACCCTGTAGCTCTATGCATGCTTTCACATTCTGGGTCAAATTACTCATTTTCAATACCTGCAGACACTCTACTGCATGTTTGTGCAAGGAAACAGGGTGGCCTTGTCGCAACATTTTTTTTTTTAGCCTAAATTATGCTTTTGTTACGTACGTCCGGTGTTGTCATTGGTCGCACGAGACATGCCAGGGGCACGGCAGTCTAAAAAGTGTAGACAGTCTGGAATGGTTAAAAGCTTGTTCATTCCTACTCCGAGGTTGCAGCCGAACTGCCGGGCAAATGGTCGGTGGCTCGTTTGTAACGAGCGGGGCACAAAAGAGGAGTTGACGTCCATAGATACGGGGTACAGCTTCACTCAAGACGTTCTGGGGCTTGCTCGGGAACAAAGGTGCGCTTGGGATACAACAACTTTGCAAGACCACAAAAAGCTGATAAATGTCGACATATTGAATGTTGTAGAGAATTTCGCACATAAACTTTGTTTCATAGCACTCAAATCTGCCCAGTGTAAGGATACTGACACGTGGCTCAATAATAATGTGAATTCTGCATAACCAAGTAGCATAGTTTACACACTGCACTCTGATTTTTTCTCTTTTTGTTGTACTGGTTCTGAAACTGTGGGTGCGATGCAATGGCAATAACCTTGCTATGCCACTCGGTGTCGGAGAACACAGGAAGACGTGCCTAGAATGTCAGAAAGATACTGCATGGAATGGCAAGCAATGTGGTTTCGAACTCTGGTATAGGGTCCTGAATTGTCTTTTAGCAAGGTTCTTCAACAATAGCTTTGGAAAGCAAAAACAAACACACAAAAGCTCAGCATAAAGATTGCAGAAGTGTCAGTTTGAGCACACCCAGAAGAGACATAAAAAGTTGGTAAAATCTTTAGGCTAGATTGTGTAAAGTGGACTGATAACACGCACTAGCCTGCAGCTTGCTCAACACGATTCTACTGCTTGCCGAAGTTTTGCTCCGCATAGTGCTGCTATGTCTGTCCCCATATGAATGCTACAATCACGACGCATGAAAAACTGTTTAGTTCAGACAACCCAGTAACACTTGCAGTTCATAAACATGCAATAGTTATTCTCTTTATTGTTGCCAAACTACAAACTGAAGCTATAGACTAAAGAAAATTCTGACCATAAATATATAATATGTTCCATGGCAACTAAATTTTAAAATTTTTTTTTATTGAAATCCAAACAATTTCGGCTTAAGTTTATAAATAAGGAACAAATAATATTTCTGTTCTCAAGTATTTGGATAGCAGGTTAAGTACAACATGAATTACAACTAACAGACAACAGAGCCAAGGAAAGCATAGGGGGTGTTATTTGTAGGAATTATGATGTAAATGTGAAGAAAGTGAAGTGGACGAAAACACAAATTGCCGCTGATCCAGCATGCCACCTTCGAGCAATGCGCCAGATGCTCTACTACCCAAGCTACAATGACGTTCATCGTCCAATGCTCTTTATGCGTTGGACATATCTGCATTTAGGCGTGGGAGCCTTAGCGCCGCTAGTAGCCACGAAGCCGAGTGTGGAAAACTCCTCTCTTACCTGCTGGCGTCACAAATCGAGTGATCTTTTTATGAGCTGACAGCTTACCAATGACCCCTCGCATACTGCCTCTAGGCAGCTCTCATTGATGGATAGAAATTTTCAGCATGAAACTTTTGCTGTTGGTAGAGCCCCAACGTAGCTTATGCTGATTCTCTCTCTTCCAAACCTACGCATATACTTACGAGTGTGCCGCACTCACAATTATGCCGTACTGGTTGTATAGCAGGCGGTTGTGCACAAGCTCAGCCCCACGAATGGTGGCCAGGTCCTTGAACATTTTCGGAGGCCGTACGCCAAATGGGTACGTTGGCACCTTTTCAAGGTTGCGTAGCTTTCTCTCCTCCGGGAATTCCACCCCTGAGAACAAAGTGGCAGTGGAAGCAAAGTCAAGTGTAAGGCCTAACGCATGGGTGGCTCTTTTTAAGTGTGCTGCGTTGATTAACCCATTGATACCTTTTTCACATCTTAAAGCGACCCTGCAACGCTTCTTGAGCATGGTGAAAAAACGTTGCTGGTCGGTAGTTAAGGTTCGGGGAACAAACGAGCGAAATATTACAGCGCAGCATGCGGCCTGAAATTCCAATTAACTCTCATAGACAGCTAGAAATTGTTCCTTCTTCTCTCAACAAATGATGCTATATATCTAAACGACCACGCCATATGCCCAAATTTATGGCTATTGGCTGATTTGAGCATTGCTGGCTTTATAGTTACCATAGCCACCACAAGATGCTGCCCCGTGCCTGTGCCTGTCCCGAACGTCACAGTGAAAGTAAGCCACACTTTGGAAAAAAGGAAGAAAAGAAAAAGTGTTCAAGCTCATGACGTAACTTTTTTCCCTATGCCATCCCTTCCTGCTTAGCTTCCAGCGTGCTCATCGGGACGAGAGAAAAGAGAAAGCAATTATAGCATGCGACAAATCTTTGTAACTCTGCTCATACTTGCTCTAAACACTTTAGCGGCAGTCTGTTCTTGAGGCAATGAACTCCTATAATAAAGTCATTAGATGAGTACTTGAAAAGATGCTGCAGAGCCTCTTTAAAGACAAACACAGGATGGCAGAGCATGCTTATTTATTATTTAAATGTATATATAGAACCATACATTACTGTCAGCGCCACCACAAAGATCATTCAGCCAAGGTGACCACACGATGTCCAATATCAACATCAACATGAACAATTAGTGTGGTTTTTAGTTTTGCCTACACTCACGGTGCAAACATGTGCGGTGAAGGGAAAGGGAGGGGGGCTACAACATATTGTGCTTCACTTGATTGGTTGAGCTGCAGCCAATCTGGCAAGAATGCCTGTTGTTGGCGTCTCCTTCTAAAAAGTGCGCTTGACTTCCCACCTTGATGAATTTGCCCTTAGGCCGCGTTTACACTGAGCATTCCAGCCGCCGAAAGTGCTCCGAATCCGGTTCGGCGGCGGCGAGATCCGCCGAAAGGGCCCTCTCCGCGCCGATCACTCTCGGACCGATTTTTGCGGCGTCTGCCGCCGAATCGGTCACCGCGGACCAATAGGAGCGCTAGTCAAGGAAATTTGAAAAATGGCGGCCAAGCCCTACTCACTTGTTATGCCGCAGTGCACGTAACTGAATGTTGAAACCAATGGGAGTTTAACCTACTCTGTGCCTACTTCGCCTCCGTATTTCGTGAAAGAGGTGACCGAGCTTGCTGTTGGCGTGACCGAGCTTGTTGCGGTCTTGCAGAGCAAAACGAACCCACCAACACTGCTGGCGTCGGTGGTTTTTCTGCTCTTCGTGCATCACAAGACAGCCACTTGCCAGCAAAGTAAGCAGTACTGTCTTTTCTTGCTTCTTGCGTACGACAATCGTCGAAGTATACACCACCGGATAGCGTAGTGGCGTTTGCGAGCCGTGACAACAACCGGGTGACAGCGCATCCATACCGCGTTCGCCCCGTAGTAGATGGCATATTCCGCGGCGCGGGGTGCGTCCAGTGCGAATGACGCTGCGTTTCAGCGGCAGGGGAATTTCGGTCGTTGTAGAAAGCGAATGTTTCAGTGTGAACTAGGCATTACTGTCTGCGTCCATGTTCTTGCACAAAAAATTGAGCACTTATTCTAGGCAATGTATGAACAAACTGCTAATGTGTAGTGCACCAGAATGCTGTCTGTATACACAATGTATGCACAATGTTGATGTGCAAAATCTTTTTTTTTTTGTCTTCCTGCATATATTTCTATGTCCGTGGTTGAGGTTATTCACTCAAGAATATGCAGTGGTATTTTCACAAACCTTACAGCAGGGGGGGCATGGTTTCAACTTTATTTTTATTTTATTAAACACATTTTCAACATACGTCCAACTTTTACCAAGTGAGATTCACATGTACGCTACCTTCGAACGTTGGAGGCACTTTCCATAGCTTCAAGCCTGCACAGGTGACCACTTGTGGAACCCGGGCTTCAGGAAGCGAAAAAGGAAAGTTTGAGATGTGAAATTCGCACACAAAAAAAGAGGTGATTATCCAGAGCTTCAAATCGGCCTAGTGTTCATTTCAGTACCCGATGAATAAATTGACAAGGCAACAACCACCCCAAAGTCTGGCAACTGACTTATGCAATGCCGAACAGAACCTTGCCCCCTTTAATTGCACAGCAGCGCACGCAGCAAGAGAACGCGCCCCGACTTCTGGAACACTCGTTTTATGTTCATTTTAATAATTAAAACGGCCAACGTAGCTCACGCACTTGCAAAATGCATCACGGACGACACCAAACCCTCACAAAGAAGCCACAACTACAGAAGTAAATTTATTCACTAAATTTAGTGGCAATCTGGCAACAACCACCCCAAAGTCTGGCAACTGACTTATGCAACGCCAAACAGAACCTTGCCATGGACAAAGGTCTAGACGAGCTTTGTCGTCAGTGTGTGCTCTGTTTCTCGTGTAGTTTTAATTTTTTTTTACCCCCGTTGTTACGCGGCCATTTTCGATCGCGATCGAGCGATTACGATTGGCTTTTTCGAACGTCATGTACAAACGAGCCAATAGCGACCGAGAAATTCGATCCCGATCACAGTCGAACTCAACGTCCGAACACATTATGACACCTTACTCGAAACTGAGTGATACATATAACACCGCTAATATGCGTGCAACAAACAACGGAAATTTCGCGTTTCTATAGGCTACTCTACAAGCACACTCCCAATGTCGTCAAACATTGCAGTAGAGGACTCCAGAGATGCATATATCGTGATCGGCAAGGTATCCGGAACGAACACTTCCTACATGATTTACTCGTCGCGCTAGTGGTATAATGCCACAAGAACTAAAGGAAAACGGAGCGCACTTACTCTTACAGCTCACGAGTTGTGCGGTTTTTGACGCGAACGCGAGCCTGGTCGACATGGGGGCCGCCATGTTTTTTACTGCAGTTCCGCAGTCACTTGGCGTTGCTTGGACAAGCAAAACCATCAAAAACTAATTATATATACAAACTATAACTAAATAATAATTACTATAAAAATAAACAAAAATGTCACGCCTTATGCGTGACCTTTATCTTGTCCAGTCGGCTTTATTCGCGTTTTAAAAAAACGTTATTATCATCATCACCGTTGAGAGTGCGTGATGTGTTTTTGGTTTTTGTGTTATAGTTGTTTCATTGCGCAATGGCGCAGTTTTTCTCGCTGAATTTGCGCTCGCGTCGCAATACTCGCGCAAGCACAATTGTTTGTTGCTGCAGCAACCGGGAGCGGCGCACTGCATTGTGAGACAGCTATTTCTTTAAATTTGTTGTTGTCAGGCGCAAAGCCACGCAACAACTTCCGAGGGGAGTGCGGAAAGTAACACGCATTTGTCTTTAGCGTGTGCTCTGTCTCATTCATTGCGAAAAAAAAAAAAAAAAAACACTCGCATGTGCTGCTCACCGTCGCCGCTGTTGTTTCAGCGGGGCGCGAACAGCCCCGAGCGTCCGTGAAAAAGGCGTTGTTTCCCTGCAGCGTCGTTGCTTTTGCCGCACGCAAATTCTGTCTGCGGACGTTTGTGGAACCGTCGAACCGATGAGGCGCAGGTATGCCGTCCGAACCACGCTGTCAGCCTAGCGCGACCAATTCCCGCAGCGCGGCCTACGAAGAATATCTGCGCAAGCTGAAAACCTGGGAGACCAGCGTCAAGATGAAAGACGCCCAACTTCGCGCCCTGAAGTCCAAGCTCCAGCCAGCCACGGTAATGTGGCATTCCTGCATCCATTGCGTGTGCCAGTCGGTGTGGTTTTGTTTTGTGCCGCCGCGTACCACGCGACAGCGTGCTTTGCCCGGGCACGCTGTCTGTGCGACTGTTATTTCCGCGGCCCGTCACGTGAATTAGCGGCCTCTATAACGGGCCCTCAAGATCTCACTGACATAATTGCAACCTGGCACTTGCGCACTGATGCAGCTTGTTTGTTTTCTGAATTTTAATTCTTTCCGAATCCATTCTTCGAGCAAATTGTGAGCTGTAGAGAACGGCTTAGGTGTGCTGCCCACGTGCGAACTCTTTGTTCATTGTTATTGCGGCTTCCATAAAGTGACGTGCCGCGCATCTGATAACCTAGTAGTAGGTGGTGAATTTTACCTTCTACCCGTTCCTACCTTCTAAAATTTTTTTTCCTTCTTATTTGGAATTTCATTTATGGTCACAAGTGCGAATGGTACACCAAGCCCAATGTGATGTGGTCTTTCTCTCATTGTTTTGTGCCTTGACGAAAATCTGACAGGTGGTCGGAATCGCTAGAGCCTTCCACTATGGTATTCCTCATAGTCGTATCTTAATTTTGGGATTAAAAATCCCAACAATGGTTATAATTTTGTGCTTTAACAGTGACCCAAACATTCTGCCTATGTTATGCCATGGAAGTCAGGGTAGTGTATGGCAAGAAAAGAATATAGTCAAGTAGCAGTGACCCAAACATTCTGCCTATGTTGTCTCAGAGAAGTCGGGGCAGTGTATGGCAAGAAAAGAATATAGTCCAGTAAAATACCACAGCCTGTGTAGACACATTACACCGTTAAAAAAATGTTCTAATGGTGTTTGCAAGGTATATTTGCTGCCTGATGGTGGCAAGAGTGCAGGGCGGCTTGATGTTTATGCACCCAAAAGCAGCTGGTAAGCCATGTATGTTTTGTGCAACTACACCTGTGTTAACATGCAATAACTAAATTGATACTAAAAGTGTCAGCTATTTTTGTTGAAAGAGTGTAAACACCGAAATGGTATTGTAAACTGACTGCAGCATGAGCTTAGCGTGCTTGCAAGAAATACAGTGATGAATATTGACAGTTATCGCGTTAGGGTCAAACTCTCGTTTGAATATCCATTTGATGTTCGGTGGCACTTGTATCACGTGTTTATCCAAGCGAGAATACTTTCAAATGTTCTCTTTCTCTCAGGCACTTGAGTGAAATACACTGCTGCTACTTTTTCACGAGGCGAATAGTTGAGTTCGCATTGCTGTAAACTTGATGGGCATGTATTACTTAACTATTGTTTTCTATAGCGGCGGCTGCATTTCCGATGGAGGCGGAAATGTAGGCCCGTGTACTCAGATTTGGGTGCACGTTAAAGAACCCCAGGTGGTCAAAATTTCCGGAGCCCTCCACTGCGGCGCCTCTCCTAATCATATGATGGTTTTGGGACGTTAAACCCCACAAATCTATTGTTTTCTATATTATTTTATTTTCTACATTTGAGTTTTTCTTGTTTTCGCTGTGCTATCTTGTTTGGTATGCACACTTGGTACAAAAGTCCTTGCATTGGGAAATTGTCTGCTAGCTTGTTGCTGTTGGATGTGTTCATTGAAACACACGTGTTCTTTTTTATCCAGGAGCCCACGCCCGTGAAGAGACTCGCGTCATCGGAAAATGAAAATACGCCGTGTCCTGAGGATGAAGGGTTGAGAGGTTCAGAGTCCACGGTTGCATTAGAAACTGTGATAAATGTATGTACATAAACATGCCACCCTATGTCAGTATTACCAACAGTGTCCTTTGCTTGTGTTTACTTCTTTATTCCTAGGATGAAAGCACGTCAGAAACCAGTGGGAGCGAAGACGAGCAGTTGCAGGCTGAATGGAAGCGGCAGCGTGCTCTTATTGAAAAGGAAAAGGTCAGTGTCCGACGCATTTACATTTCACATGTCTTGAAGCGCATCCAGGTGGCTCATACCTTTGTTGCAGGCGGCTAATACCTCTTTACATATTGTGTTTGTACCTAATTAGATGACATTTAAGCAATGAAAAGCATGAAGGTCGCTTTACTCGCTGTAGCCGCAGTGCTTCTTATGCCAGTGTTTTGTTGAGTTGCATCAAATCAGACGCTTTAATGTGCTAGCTTTATACCATATAATGTTCCAATTTGTTGTTGTCGCCTTCATTGCTTCTTTCTTGTGTTGAAGCTGTGACTTTTTATACCTAATGTGCCTGTGTTTCTGTATTCGTAGTTGGTTCAAGACAGTGCCAATGTTCCAATGAAGTCATTTCTACAGTTGAGAGAAATTTCCTTCTTGAAATAATGGTTTTAGCATGAGACATCTATGGTTTGCACACCATCAATCACTGTATGAACAGTCGTTTCATAATCATATTGCCTTGCAGTCGGACATTGCCTTCAGGGAGATGCGGGTCGAAAAAACTCATGTTTTCTAAAAAATTACCGATTCTTTTTTTTATCTGTTTCGATAAGATTGGCAATGATGAAAGTACTGCTCCAAAAGAGAAATGCTGCTCCAAAGTGTAATATTTGCTAGTACAACTCCAAACCTGCTCTAAAAGGATGTTGGCAAACTAAAAAGAATGAAGTTGAACCATGGGACCATTGTGTGAGGCTAAGTGAAACCAAAAGGAAGCTGTATACACTGTCATCCTAGTATGCTACTGAGTGGCGTAAATCCAGAAAAATCTCAAGGGGGGACACATATCAGGCCATGGGGTCCAACTCGTATTTTTAATAGGTGTTCTATTTCTATTTACAGGGGAATTATTCATGCTTTCAAATAAAATTTAAAAAAACTGAGCATGGGGTTCGAGCTTGAGCAATTGCATTGTTCTATTCAGTCTTTTTTAAAAAGTTGATTGCTCTGTACTCAACTGTTAACTCTGTAGAGAAGCCGCCGAACACTGAAGTGGGTCAAACTCTCAAGTGTTCTCTAGTGGGTCTACCCAAAAAGGACGCCGCTCGTGCTGAGAGTCCGTGCTTGGCCGTTACTGTCGCCATTGTGTATACTCGCTGTGTGCCTGCTAATAAACGCCATAACAAATTGGTGGAGAGTGCTACGATCCCCTTCGATGCCCTTGGAATTGTGCTCACGTACCCTGCAATCTACCATGTCCCACGACGCCTCTCAGCAAACGCCTCCTCCCATGCCACCCCCTTGTCCCGGTGTCCCCAGGATCCGAGATCCACCCATCTTCACGGGCGCCGATGGCACTGACGTGGAGGACTGGCTCGCCATTTACGAGCGCTTGAGTGTCCCCAACAAATGGGATGAGGACGGCAAGTTGACAAACTTGGTGTTCTACCTTGCGGGTGTTGCAAGCTTGTGGTACAACAACCACGTGTCCGATTTCGCAACCTGGTCCGATTTCAAGACCGCTATCACCAACGTTTTTTGCCGCCCTGCCGTTCGTAAACTGCAAGCTGAGCAGCGCTTATGCGAACGTGCTCAGCAGGCCGGTGAATCAATCACCAGTTACATAAAAGATGTCCTGGACCTGTGCAAGGAATCCAACGACAGCATGTCCGGATCAGGCAAGATCCGAAAACGTCATGAAGGGCATTGACGATGATGCCTTCACAATGCTGCTTGCCAAAAACCCAGGCACAGTAGCTGAGCTCATCACGCTGTGCCAGAGCTACGAGGAGCTCCGCCAGCAGCGTTCGATGACCCTGTCGCTCCACACCACGAGATGCAAGGCTTGCTGGCTTGGAGGCGAGATGTGATCAGGTGGCGCTGCTGGCAGACCTCAAGTCCTTCATACGTGAGGAAATCGCACGCCAGTTCTGCCTCCTTCTCTTTGCCCCCCCACCGGCTGTTCAACAAACTGCAACTACTATTCTTCCACCCATCCGCCGAGCGATTGAGCAGGAAATAGCGGAGGTCATGTCTGCGTACCAACCACAACAACTTCCGGCCCCTGCACCCCCAAGTTACGCCCAAGTGGTCGCCAGGCCGCCTCCAGTCGTTCAAGCGCCAGCACCACTGACTTACGCCGAAGCTGCCCCACGACCTCCGTCCTTTGCAGCGGGTATGCCGGCTGCGTATGTTGGCGCAACCCCTCAGCCTCATTTTCAGCCCACCATGCAGCCTTTCGAGCCACCGTTCCGGGCTAGACCCACCCCAGCGAACCGATGGCACACACCCGACAACCGGCCCATCTGCTTTGCTTGCGGTTACGCCGGTCACGTAGCCCGTTATTGCTCTCGAGTACAGCCGGCTCCCATTTCTTCTCCTGTTGCTGGCCACCTTCGACATCCGTATAACGACGAACTGCCGTCTGTGCCAGTGTCTCGCCCAGGTCAGTCTCCTCAAAGGTCGCCGTCACCACGACGTCGGTCCCTGTCCCCCATGCGGCCAAGTTCGGCTGCTCATGAGCAGGAAAACTAGTCGTCGCAGTCCCAGAGGCAAGGACTGCGATGCTATCGCATTGTGAAAGCCCTCAGAGCCGCCCACCTAATGTCATTGACGGGCTTGTGGACGGTGTTCATGCATCTGCTCTTATTGACACTGGAGCTGCCGTATCAGTTATGAACGAAAACCTTTGCCGCTTGCTTCGAAAAGTGACAACGCCAATTTCTGGGTTGTCCCTTCGTACCGCTAGTATTCATCCTACAGCAGGCTGCACAGCTCGCGTTGTCGTTCAGGACGTTCTGTATGTCGCCCAATTCATCATCATTCCTGCCTGCTCTCACGACGTCATCCTGGGATGGGATTTTCTCTCCCGCAACAACGCCATCATTTATTGTGCCGCCGCCGAAATTGAACTCTCGCCCTTCTCGCATTTGACGCCAGAAGACGGTCCCTCGACACTGAGCAAGATTCTCGTGAAAGACGATACTATAGTGCCTCCAAGCTCAACGACGGGTGTATCAATCTACTGCACTGGTCTCTCCGACACAATTGCACTCGTTTTGCCATCCGACCGTGCTTCCAGAAGGAAAGCGTTGCTAGTGCCTTTCGCGACCGTGCAAATCGCCCAGGGCAACGCTGCTATTTTTGTGACCAACCCATCCCCGTACACTGTTACCTTGGTTCGAGGGGAATGTCTCGGCAGAGTGGAACAAGTCCTGAACATACCCGAAGACTCGCGCTGTCCCGATTCGCGTACCATCAGTGCTGTTTCTACTTCTGATCTATCATCTCCTGATATATTTGGCCCATACATTGATGACAACCTTACGTCAGTACAGCATTCCCAGCTTCTGGACCTGCTGCAAGAATACCGTTCTTCTTTCGATGTCGGGCGAAGTTCTCTCGGTCGCGCGTCCACTGTTACACATCGTATCGACACTGGTGCCCATCCACCATTACGGCAACGTCCATACCGCGTGTCGCCTGCTGAACGCCGGGAAATTAACGAGCAGGTTGACGATATGCTCCGACGCGACGTCATTCGGCCCTCGGACAGTCCATGGGCGTCTCCTGTTGTTCTTGTTGCGAAGAAAGATGGTTCTGTGTGGACTACAGACGGCTCAATAAGATCACTAGCAAGGATGTCTACCCACTGCCGCACATCGACGACGCAATTGACAGCCTTCACGGAGCCCAATTTTTTTCTTCTCTCGATCTGCGCTCGGGGTACTGGCAAGTACCCCTGGCTGATGAAGCTCGACCGAAGACTGCCTTCATCACACCCGACGGCTTGTACGAATTCAACGTCGTGCCGTTTGGTCTGTGTAATGCACCTGTGACATTTGAGCACATGATGGACACCGTTCTGCGCAACTTGAAATGGCACACATGCTTGTGTTACCTCGATGATGTTGTTGTCTTCGCTCCAGATTTCTCCACGCATCTCCAACGTCTAAAAGACGTTTTCGCACGTGTGAGCAATGCCGGCTTGCAACTAAATCTGAAGAAGTGCCGCTTTGCAGCACGCCAACTCACCATCCTAGGGTACGTCGTGTCGAAAGATGGCATTCTTCCTGACCCAGTCAAGCTTTGGGCCGTGGCTGAATTCCCCAAACCTGCGTCCGTCAAAGAACTGCGTAGTTTCGTGGGCCTGTGCTCGTACTTCCGACGCTTCATACGAAACTTCGCCACGATCATATCACCCTTGACGAAGCTCCTTGGAGGTAACGGGCCCCTTAATTCGTGGTCATCCGAGTGCGACGATGCGTTGGCAAAGCTCCGCCATTCGTTGACGTCTCCTCCCATTCTACGCCACTATGACCTACGGCCCCAAAGGAGCTGCACACGGACGCCAGCGGTGTAGGCCTCGGCGCTGTCCTGGCGCAGCGCCAACTCGGATTCTCTGATTATGTCCTGGCATATGCAAGCCTTACGCTCACGAGAGCCGGGACAAACTACACCGCCACTGAAAAAGAGTGCCAGGCGATCGTCTCGGCCTTACAAAGTTTCGACCTTATTTGTATGGTCGCCCTTTCGATGTCGTCACCGACCATCATGCACTATGCTGGCTGTCATCATTGAAGGATCCCTCAGGCCGTCTCGCCCGTTGGGCTCTTCGCTTACAAGACTACGACATCCGCGTGCTCTACTGCAACGGACGCCAGCACGCTGACGCCGACGCCCCCTCGCGCTCCCTTCTGCCTGAAGCTGACGTGCTCTGCTCAGTATCTTCGGTTGCTGCTTCTGCCATTGATGTTGACGTCATTGCTACCGAACAGCGAAAGGATAATTGAATCGCCCCACTGATCGACCTGCTCTCTGATCCATCCGCAATGCCATCCACGCATGCCTTGCGTCGTTGAGCTCACCATTTCGCCATCTGTGACGGCCTCCTACACCGACGCAATTACGACGCCGATGGCCGGCAGTGGCTACTCGTGATACCCCGCAGTCTGCGGTCGGAGATATGTGAATCCTTCCATTCTGATCCGCAATGCGCGCACTCTGAGGTATTCAAAACCTACCATCGCATTCGACAACGCTACTTCTGGCGCGGGATGTACCGCTACGTCCAACAGTTCGTTCGCTCCTGCTCTGCTTGCCAACGCCGCAAACCGTCCGCACACATGTCACCAGCCGGTCTGCAACCGTTACCTTGTCCTGACCGTCCGTTTGGGCGCATAGGTATCGATTTTTATGGACCACTCCCTCTGACGTCCGCTGGCAACCGCTGGGCCATCGTCGCCGTAGATCATTTAACGCGATACGTCGAAACCGCCGCTCTCCCTGCGGCTACTGCGCGTGATGTTGCGTCCTTCCTGCTGCATCGATTTATACTGCGCCACGGACCACCCCAAGAGCTTCTCAGCGATCGAGGCCGTGTCTTCTTGTCGGAAGTCGTCGAAGCCATTCTGACGGAGTGCCATTCTGTCCACCGCAAAACTACTGCTTACCACCCACAGACGAATGGCCTCACCGAACGCTTTAACCGCACCCTCGGCGACATGCTTTCTATGTACGTCGCTGCCAACCACACTAATTGGGATACTATACTGCCTTCGTCACCTACGCCTACAACACCGCCCCTCAGAGCACGACTGGTTTTTCACCTTTCTACTTGCTGTACGGAAGGCACCCGTCGCACACCATCGACACGATACTCCCGTACACGCCGGATCCATCTGAGTGTGCACCTATTTCCGAGACAGCCAGGCTTGCTGAAGAGTGTTGCGAGCTGGCCAAGACATTTACGTACGCATGAGCAAGAGCGGCAGAAGAGTATTCGTGATGGCTCCGCCACATCTGAACCCATGTTCCTTCCTGGTTCCCTTGTATGGCTCTCAATCCCGACCTCTGTAGCTGGCCTTTCTTCCAAACTACTCCCGAAATATGAAGGTCTCTACCGTGTGATCGAGTGCACATCTCCAGTCAACTATCTTGTCGAGCCAATTGAACAATATTCGGACATGCGCCGTCGGGGCGCTGACATAGTCAACGCGGAGCGCCTGAAGGCTTACTATGACCCGCTCGTAGTGACAAGCTGTTAGGTCGCCAGGCGGCTCCCTCTTCGACCCAGGGGTAATTGTAGAGAAGCCACCGAACACTGAAGTGGGTCAAACTCTCAAGTGCTCTCTAGTGGGTCTACCCAAAAAGGACGCCGCTCGTGCTGAGGGTCCGTGCTTGGCCGTTACTGTCGCCATTGTGTATACTCGCTGTGTGCCTGCTAATAAATGCCATAACAACTCAATTATATCACGTGCTAAATCTAAATCTCAAGTAGGACACTTGCAAGGGGTGTCCTCCCCAGCCTGAGCACCAGGAAAGTCCGGACTCTCTTGACCCCCGCACCCCGCCCATGATTTACGCGAATTATACTGCTTGTATATTAGCTACATACCAGCATATGGCATGTTTAATAATAAGGATATTTATTAGATGCTCAAGTGATATTTCAGACCAGGAGTCGTTAGGAACATTCATCCGCTCCGAAAATACCAATAGCAACCCTAAGCTATAGCATTTTTTTCCTGCTCCAAAGACATCTTAAGGACTGCTCCAAAGCACCATTTTTTTCTGCTACAAAATCTGTTCCAAAAAGCAAAATGTCACTTCAGTGACTGGATTACTACCTCTACTGTTATGAACAAATCTGTCGAGACTCAACTGGAAATGCTTTAAATTGCGTCTTAAGAGCACAAGGTTGCTGTTAAAAGGTCAAAAGGGTGCAGTCTTCGAGCTCCTTGCCCTGATAATGCGCTGCCGCTCGCCATTGTCAATCGCATGAGGCGGAGAGCGGAGCCTCACTCTTCAAATAACAACGGTTTTCCATGCTGCTGCAGCGCAAGAAATAATAATATGAAGCACGCCTTTGTTGCATTTTTTTAGCACTGTGACTGGCTTTTAAATTACGTGATACGGAGCGGGGACCGCCATTGGTCGCTACACGCCTGTATGTACTGTGAAGCCTACTTGCAGGGTTCGTGTCTCGTCAAGCAGCGCAACTGAACAACGCTTTTCTCGTGTGTCTATCACCGTTATGGATGAAGAAAGCCGTAGCTCGCGCGATACAAGAAAGCTGTTGTGGCAGCGCGCTCTGTAGGGAAGGGCTACAAGCAACTGATCCAATTTGCGGCAATTCTTGCTTGCAAAAGCAGTGCATCAAAGTCATTCACAGCCATCAGCTAGAAAGTCCGTGATGCGGCAATGGATGCCATCTGTGCCACTCATGTGAGGTCGAGGGATGTACAACAGCACGTAGCCCAAACACGGCCACAATGGCTTCGGCACTGTTGCGTCCCTCGACACTGGACTTAGTTTAGATTTCGAATTCTTGTCGAACTTCTCCCTAGCTTGCAGTCAGCGCGAGGCTCTGCCAGATGGAGCGGAAGATGTGGCAAGCGTTTCGTGGCCTTGTCTGTGAGCGAGATGTCTGTGAGGAGTCAGCTCAAAAAAGTCGTCAAGAACAAGCTTACGGTGCTGGTACATTTTAGTGGCTGTGACCACTACAAGGATTGTTATTTTTAGTTTGTAAATTCAAAAGTTAAAATTAAAACTTGTTTTTCTCAGAACACAAATTTTGCCCCTCCCACCTTTTTTTTCAATGTGCCCCTCCTTTCACCGGTACTTCTGGTGCTCGGCTCTGCATGAAATTTAGCCCAAATATTTTTCAAAAGATGACAAATGCAATTGTCTAGATTAATTTTCAATATTTTTGTTATATAATAAAAAGTTGTATGTAAACCTTCACTAGAGTAGATGAAAAATGAACTTTTTCATGTCTATAACATTTTTCGTATGTGGTTGCTAATTAGTTATTTGCATTCTACACTTTATTTGAAACATTATGAACTATGAATGGTAACAAATTATGGTTGGTATGTGGGGTTTAACGTCCCAGCTACCAACATATATGATTATGAGGCACACCGTAGTAGAGGGTCCCGGAAATTTTTACTACCTGGGGTTCTTTAACATGCACCCAAATCTGGGCACATGGGCCTACAACATTTTCACCTCCATCGGAAATGCAGCCGCCGCAGCCGGGATACAAACCCGAATCCTGCGGGTCATCAGCCGAGTACCTTAGCCACTAGACCATCACGGTGGGGCGGTAACAAATTATGGAAGTTCAGTGATGAAAGGGGGGGAGAAGCATAAGGTTATCACTTTGTCATGTTGCAAAGCTAAAATTATACAACTTACAAAAAAACTAGTTCTACATTTGAAATCAGCATAAAATGTCCTATAAACAGCTTGAGTTTCAAGGTGAATATTAAAAAAACAAGTGTCTTCGAGTTGCATCTCCTCTTAACTATGCAGCACATCTGAAGGAGAGTGGTCATAAGCATGACGATTATGACGATTATGTCATGGAGTGCTTACGAGATGTCAGCATCAACAATGTAACAGGGCCGCTCAGTACGGAATGAATGAAAAATATGAGGAGGAAAATGTTATTGCTTAAGGTAGCATATATACATTACCGTAAGTAAACAAAATTCATTAAATCAAACTGCTGCTCGTATGGAATGGCGTCTAATATGATTGCTTTCGTACTTGAAATCTGTGTGCATCGTTATCTCAGCATAAATGGAACTCGTGTTTAATAAAGCACATTTTGCTGGTCTCATCAGGTTTCATCTACCAGGAATCTGGTGTTGTATGTTCAGCTGAGATTACCAAGTTCTAAGTTCTCAGCCTGCTCTCACTGTCAGCTGCTCTCACTATGATGTATCGCACTACAAAGCACCAATAAAACCGATTGGAACAGGTGTTTATATGTAGCATTCAATGCTGATACAATACCATTCTGAACGAAGACACTTCAGGAATAATTTAAGATTTTTTGAGGTTGAAAACATCAGTAAACTAGTGGCCTTTGTTTCAACCAGTTCTGAGCTGTCCCATCAGTTAGACATTAGCAATCTTTTATTGGTGGTGTAAAACACAGCACGGTACTCTGAAAATCCAAGTGCTTCATTGGGCCAGTCTTGTTTGTGCAGGGCAACAGACTCTTCAAAGACGGCCGCTATGATGAAGCGATTGAAAGCTATGGCATAGGCATTGAATGTGACCCAGTGAATCCAGTGCTCTATGCCAATCGGGCCATGGCATTCTTGCGTAAAAACATGTGAGTTGCTTGCTTATATCAGCAATTTCACATATTCAAGAGGAAATAAACAGGAAAACTAAATCAGCTTATAGTCTGGAAAATTACCTAATAGAAAAAAATTGGAAAGCATAAGTAAGCAAATGCATGATAGGAAATGGCTAGTATAGAAAAGAGAAAATTGTGTCAAGTAAGGAACAGTGAGAAATTCCAATACAGTAAAATTTAAGTAATGGCATATTTAAAAAGAAGGTGTGGCATGCTAACCCTCTGCATCTCTTATTCCTTAACCTTCTTACGAATTTTAACCCATCTCTAATGAAGACTGTCTGAACAAGTCTTGATTTGCATAGGTTCATTTTGCGCAACGTTCGCACGAATTATGGAGAATGGACTGTTCACTTTGCTGCTGTCTCATTGTGAAATGCACAGCCATTTGGGTCAAAAACCTCGGAAAGTCCATCGATTTAGCCATTAAATGAAAAAATAAAGCCTTCTTTATATGACACATGTGTCATGATGTAGCATTGAAATCGTTTTCGCTCTCATTATTTTTATTTAGCAGAGTGTTACACATATTTCCCTATGCTCATTCTTGTATATGTTTACATGCCTTTGGTTTGTCATAAATACAGTAATTGCCAATGTATTCATGTGTATTTATACATTTGTTTATCCATACTTGCACGCCATCGTACATATTTTGCAATCAAACTTGTGCATCAATACGACACCAATTAAATCTTTACCATGAGATCTCCTTGTATTTATTTCAACTAAACGTGCAATCTTCAGCTCTAAGCTCAGTCCCTGTTGGCAGCAAGTTGTCTTTTTGTCTACTTTCTTGTCACCCATGTCACATTTATCACAATACACTGAAAACAGTACAATTAACATACTTATGTCTTCGTTATCTGTCGGTTTTCATTATGGATATATTTCAGCTTCTAATGTAATTTTTATTTTTAATAAAAATTGATTGATTCGAAATCGTGTGCAAACTTCCCTTGCATTCGCCTGGTCAGGCTCGGTGCTGCTGAAGAAGACTGCTGTAGGGCCCTGGAGTGGGACCCAAAATATGTCAAGGCCTATCACAGGCGGGGTCTGGCTCGGCAAGGCCTCTCTAAGAGGGCGCTCGCCGCAGAGGACTTCCGCATGGTGCTCTCCCTCGAACCAAACAACAAGGAAGCAAGGCAGCACCTGACTAAACTAGAAAAGGTAAAAAAATGGCAACTGAAATAATGATTACTGCTGCACATGTGAAGGCGGGAAGGGAGAGAGTGAGAGAAATATAAACGTTTATTTAGAAACAGTGTTCCGAGCGAGGCCCGGTATCACCCTAAGGTGGGAGGGTTCCCTAGTCCAGGAACCCTCTGGCTTCGACTGCCCTCTTGGCCCTGGCGACTAGTTGTCGCTGGTTCTCCAGGTCCTCGAGGATGAGCTTGGTCTCCCACGCTCCCATTAGGTGGTCGTCATTTATTCTTGGGGCTTGGTTCCGCTCCAGTTGCACGTCGTCGTTTGCATGGCACTGGCATACCAGGAGCAAGCGTGCCAGAGTGCCCGGTAGGCTGCAGAGCGGACACATGTAGCCGTGTGTCGTTGGGTAGAGGTGGTGCATTAATATGCCATGTATCTACGTGTTGCTTTGCAGGCATCTTAAAATCTCGCTCTCTTCTTTGGTTATTCTCGGGTGGGGTGGAGGATACACCCGTCGCTACAGTTTGTAGTATTGAAGTAGCGACGTGTAGGTGTTTTCTACTGCCTCCATCTCTGCAGCCACTGGATCGGGTATCCTTTGGTCCCAGGGCAGCCCGGCTGACGTGCTCGCGGGCAGCGGCATGGGCCGCTTCATTTCCCTCTAGACCCTCAGTGTCCAGGAACCCAGATTACGCAGGTATATGGAAGTGGAGAGCTCCGCCGTTGCAGGATATTAATTGCGTCGGCTGAGACGCAGCCCTTCGCATGATTCCGGCAAGCGGCTTGCGAGTCAGTGAAGATCACCGCGGCGTCATTACATGTTGTGGTGGCGAGAGCGATTGCCGCTTCTTCCGCTGCATCTGATTTGCGTGCCTTGACTGTGGCCGACGATAACTCTCGGCCTTGAGAGTCTACGACGCTGATAGCATACACGTTTCTACGGGGGTACTTGGTTGCGTCAGTATAGCGGGCGTTCGGGTCTTGCCTGAACTATATCCAAGCCAGTAAGAGATAAACAGAGATGACAGAACGAAATTCCGACTATCAGAGGGTGTTTTGTTAATGGAATCAGCGTTGCTGTAAAAGGGCCAAGCTTTGCTTTGTGCATGTTCATGGTGATGAAATGCCATAAAGTCTCTACACATTAGAACGTTACAACACACCAGCATAAAGTAGTTGCTACTTCGCAGCTGGCTATGAAGTTCACGCGTAATGTGTGTAAAGTGCACGCTTGCTACATAGTATTCTTCTAGCAGCAGCTCTGTCTTCAATGATGCATTACTCTAAATATGGTCATGAATAGTTTGAAAAGAACAGGATTATCTAGTATGTATATCTGATGCATGATTGCATGATAGTGTATGTGTGAACTTGGATCAGTGTTTGGGTACTAATAAAGTTGGCAGTAATAATAAATGTAGCTGGTATCTTCGAGCATAGATGAAGAATGGGGGAGGGGGGCATCTAGGTGTATTTCTCAAAAGGGCCATTACACGGTCACCCATCAAATTGTACCTTTTACCGAAAAATAGAAGTAGAGGGTCAATTGTGCACATGCATATGCGAAAAATGGACTACAAAGGAATATTCAATCTCCAAATCGAACTCCACCCATTGCAGGCAACTGTGATTCTACCACAATGTGTGCGACATCACGTGGCTTTATGGGCGAAAATTGGGTATCATGGTCCCTTTCACAGATAACCACATGAATTTTCTAAAAGAATTATTACAGCGCAGTGACTGGGGAACCCTTGTTTCAGGGCTAGTAATATTCTCTCGTCGTTGTAAAAGCTGAAGGTGAGGCTCACATGTAATTGCCAGCGGTTAGTTTTTGTTGTTGTTGTTATTGTTGTTGTTGTTGTAAACTGTCTTTCTCTGCTCTCATCTTTTTTAAGGAATTGAAGAGTGGAGGTGGTGACACGGTCGCAACAGAGCCTTCCTCGCTCGCCCAGTCTTCGAATGCCAAAGAACCAGCAGCTCGAGCTGAAAAGCCGCCGAAGAAGGGCTCTGCCACTGGGAAGGCATCCCTGCCCATCAGAGCGGTGACCGCAGTTAAAGTGGAACCCCTGAGCAGCCCTCGAAACAGGAGAGCAGCAGAAGTAAGTAGTTTGTGAATACTAGTACTATTGCTGTTCAGGATGCTGACTTGCATTGTCAAGCAATGGCTGTCATTTAAATTTGTAGCCAAGCAACATTCTCTGCTTGCAAACCACGGTGGTCCTAAGGAGTGTGGCTTGTTGGGCTTGTGGTCACACACTTGTAAATGAAAAAAAAAAAAAAAAACATTGCCAAATGAAATGAAGCACAACTGAAGGAACACACAGAATGCTAAGCAAAAAAAGAGGTTAATTACCTCGCATATGCCTAATGTTTCGGTGTGTTCGAATTGTACAATTTTAATCTTTCTATAGCCTTCATAACTTCTGTAATCAAAAGATTCTGCCTATGTATCATGACGAAGGCTTTGAAAGTTCACCCACCATTGGTTTCTCGTCAACTTCTCTTTATATTGTGTCGAAGCACTAACACCTCCACTTGTTAGCGTTCATTCTGTGTGTTTCTTTGCTTGCTGCTTGTCTCCTTTTGAGCTGCTTTTTTCTATTTACATTTGATGGCTTTCTTTCCAAGTGACCAGTTTTCTGACCTTCGTTACCCATTCTAATATTGCCTAAACCAGTAAAATTATGGTTTTTCATTTGCATGTAGTTCAAGGATAATGCAGTTTGGGTATAGTCCTATAATTTCATTCCTTTGTAGCCCAATTACGAAGCCTAAAGACATTGACTCGATCTTATGACTGCTTCAGTTGCTGACACTAAGGTACTATGACCTAAGCTAAAAGTGCTCATTGCAGTTGTGTCAAATGAGCAGCATCATTGTACAGTCGAACTCCGCTACAACAAATGCCGCTTCAACGAAACTTAAATTCATGGTTCCCTGACAGCAGTCGATGGGAGTCAATGCATAAGTATATATCTTCTGCCATCCCGCTTCAACGAAATTTCACGATAGTATAACAATCAACCTATATTGAGAGACCGGTCAGCTCATGCGAAGGGATGGTGACTTCTTGACACACACCGTGTTTTTTGCTGGGTCAGAAGGTCGAACAGCTTCTCTAAACATTACACAGGGTAGTGACAGGTGCAAACTGAGGGGCACCTAGCATCGCTTGCATATCATCTCTAAAAATACCAAGCCCATGCGATTTTTTTACCAGAGCGTGGCAGATAACTTCAGAGGCCAGGGACCCTCAATTTCGATTCTGGTGATCTCCATGGAGGCGCTGTTCAGACGTGAAAAAGGCCGACTGACAAGTTTGTGGATAGTTCGCGAGCAAGTTTGTGGAAAAAATTGGGAGACCCTTAAGCTTTGCCTTTAAGCGTTGAACGCGATAGTGAAATTCGGTCCCTAGTGCACTTTTCAACCGCTAAGTGCATACTTATTCATATGTTTTGTTACATACACAAGCACGAACACACACACTGTTGATTGGACCGGCGTGCGCTATTATCGCCGAATGGGCTCGTTTTCATTGTGACACCTGTCGAACAAAATGCATTAAAGGAGCCCTGAAACACTTTTTCAAGTATTCAATTTCAATTCCAGGCTCAGATATTTATTGCTATACAACAAATGCAATCTTGAACATGTGGATGCATTTTAAGAACCTGAAAATGCGTGGACGAAGTCTAACGTTTGCACCACCAGAAACTGCCGCTATTCAGCATTCCTTCACACTGCTGCTGGGTGCAACCACGGAACGATGCTTTTTTCCGATTCCAATGCTTATAATTTTGTTCGCGCTTGGCCAGTGTGGTAACTTATCAGAGCGGCTTATCAGAATAAGGCAAAAGTCACTGCTCTACGATACCCTGCCTCCGTCTCGGCGTTGTCGGATACACTTTGACGGCAGACAGCTGCTGGTGTTAACGTGTTAATGCAACTGTTTGGTTCTTTCACGAAAGCAGTTTTAGGCGTGGTTTAAGCATGCTTTTCATCATGGCCTCGCTATGCATGGGTGAGAACCGCGTGATGATGCTGCGGGGAAAGAATAGGAAGCAGCAGACACTTTTTGAATTTCGAGAATAAACGTTCCTTTGTTTTGATAGATCAGACCAGGTATATTTTTTCGATTTCACTTCAACGAAATTTTTTCCGCACCCTCTGTTTCATTGTAGCAGGGTTCGACTGTATTCACACATAACCTTACGTCTACATGCCATCAGCAGATTTTGTTGCAACGTTCTGCTTTCAGTTAGGTGAGGCCTACCTTTAGAGACCCACTTCAGCATCAGTTGAATTGTTACCATTTTTTTACCTATGTACTGTATAATTTGATCGTCTTTGGTTTGAGTCCATCTTCAATAGACTTGTCCCTTCCTGTTTGCAGAAACCGCTGAAGAGGGTGCCCATTCATGATGTGCCAGGTGGAACACCTTTGAAGAAGAGGTGGGTGGCAGCAAGGAAGACGCACGAACCGGAGCTCCCACCACCTGCGCCGACTTCGTATCAGTTTCAGGTTGACTGGAAGCAGCTCGCACCATTTCCTGAGCTGCGCTACAAATACCTCCAGGTGCAGTCTTGTTGTTGAACGCATGGGTTCAACACTCGCTTTGTCTGTCTTTGCTTTGCATTTTAGTCGTGTGATGCTTTGAAGCTACAATACAGTGTACTGCAGCTCCAATGTAAGTGTTGGAGGAACATGCTTTTCTATTTACCTTGAGCACCTGGTTGCTTTCTCTTTTTCTCCACAGCAAATAGACCCGAGCAAATTGGAACATTTTTTAAAGAGTCGATGGAGACTGAGCTCTTTTGTGACATCTTATGCATCCTGGAGAACCAATTTGTGAGGTGTGTATGGGCCGTTGACTGGCATGACAACTTTCATTACCTGTGTGCATGGGCGTGGCTAGCGCTACAAGTCGCGCGTGTGCTCGGGCATGTTGGTAACTCGTGTTCACTTTAATCACGCGCTGGTAAAAACAAGGATGGAAAGGGTCGACATGGACAGTTACTGCAGCCACGTCATTCTTTTTCGTACTTGTTCTATTGTTCGTTATAAAAGTGAACACGAAGTTAGAAGATGTTTTCAAAGAGGCCCTGATCAATTTTTGAACATCGTCGAAATACACTACCAAGTCTGTTGCCAAAGCTTCTATGAACATGTGAGCCAAATATTGTAGCACTTCACGGCAGCGGGAATATTGTAGTTACAGTTTCAGGGATAGCCTAGAAATTGCTTACTGTTGTCTCAGGAAATCGCATCATAGGAGAAAAGGACACTGTGAATGGCCGATTTGAGCATTCTTGCCCTACATGGTTACCACATTTGCCACTTGCTGGTGCTGCGTTTGCTCGGAACAATATGCGCCTACCATAGCGTGTTGAATTGCCCTTGTGCATCTGATGCTACATTTGTCTGTTTTCTTTTTGTTTGATTTGCTACCAATTACATTTATTGTACTGTTTTGAAACCAGTCTATGCCACCCCCCCAACGTAATGCCTTCGGGCCCTTAAGTTGTAATACTGTATTTACTCGCGTAATCTTCGCACTTGCATAATTCTCGCACCCCCCACATCGCCCAACAAAAATACGATTTCTTTTTTTCCTCGAGTAATTATCGCACCCCCGAAAACTGCCACAATAATGTCGTCTGCTTGTTACAACCACAGATGATTATAGCGCGTGCCGTCTGGCGCTATAATGATGTGCCGTCTGGCGCATCTGTTACAACCACAGATGATTATAGCGCGTGCCGTCTGGCGTGCCGTCTGGCGCTATCTCTTAAGCATCAAGCGTACTATTATTGTACGGAGATTCAATTCAAGCCAGGCCAAAGTGGCAAGTGCGCGTTGCGGCGTGTTTTATACGTTGTGTTGGTAATCTTGTCACGTTATCGAGTGATACTGAAACTACACGGCTGCTTTTAAGTTGAAAGTGATAGATCATGCACTAAACAATGGCAACAGGGCCGCTGGAAGGCCCTTTGGAGTCTAATACCCGTGCCACACGGGCAGAGAAAATGGCATTCACTCCCGAATGCCTTCAGATTTATTGCCATTCGCGGTGCCACACGGGCGAACGAAATGACATTCGTTCAAATGCCATTCGTCACCAAATGCCTTCACCACGACTCAGTTAACTGAGAAATGCCTACTCTCGACGACACAGCTCGCGAAGTGCGATTTACCTTAAAGTAAATAAAACAAATCATATTCCGCTAAAATTAAAATTTCCTGTCTCTTATTTGCACTAAACTCTTAAAAAATGCTTTGAACGTTATACGAAGATCAGGTTGAAATGGTTTGAAATAAATTGAAGTTCAATGCCCTGAAGCTGGAGCATAATAACTCGTCTCTGCTCCAGAATTATTCGCTCTTGAGCACGATGCTTTGCACGGAAACACACAAGTGCTGCCGTGAAAAAATGAACTCTGCGAACATCTGCTGAGAGATGCGACAGGTGCGATGGATGCGACAGGCGCCATTTTCTATTTACGCTGTGGATCTGACTAGTGTTGGCTTAGGTTGCTACGGTCGGCTGCAACGTCGTAAAACAAAGCAAGAAACTAAAACTTAGGGCAGCGTATTATGCTTATTTCTACATTTAATGATTATCTGATGTGTATGAAGCTTGTAAACGCTTGTTTATTTTTTTATTGCTATTCACCCAATGCTCACTTGGAAGGTGCTGCGATCGACATCATCAAGTCAAATGTCATTCACTTTGGACGTGTAGCAGCGCCGCCAAAAATAATGTCATTCGGGAACTGAAGGCCTTCGCCACCGAATATCATTTTCTATGCCCGTGTGGCACGGGTATAAGAGTTTTGTGTTCACTACTGTTGACAGCAGCTGAAAGCCACCAAGATGCGTTCGGCCTGCCGTGTGCCTAAAACTGGGATTGATGGTAAACTTCATTTCCTCGGAAGGAAACTGCAAGCAATTCTGTTAAATAGCCATCAGCCCAATACTGAAGTCCTACGCTTACCTTTTGAGGGCTTCTGTTGAACGACCAACGCTATCGCTATGCCCGCAACGCCCCCAAGCTTTGCGTATGGTATTCTAATTCTCGACTATTTGCTCGCACTTTTTGTGTCTTAAATAAATCTAGTCTTGTGTTGAACCTATGCTTTATTGTTGAGGTAGGTTTTAATTAGTACTTCTCAAAGCATGGTGTTAGGTGCTGGTGTGAGAATCCGATTTGCGGCCACTTTGTTTTCTTTTTCGCTCTGTACGTTTTAGTAGAAAGTTTTCTCTGCGTAATTCTCGCACCCCCCAACTTTGCATCGGTTTTCTGCCAAAAAAAGTGCGAGGATTATGCGAGTAATACGGTAAATGAAGTGAAATGCCTAGGTAGAATTGCACAGTAATGACGCTAACATGCTTGTGATCACACCGAATGCGAGGCACACTTTCAAAGGTAAAAACTCCCCTATGCACTCACCCAAGACGAGTGGAGGGCCAAAGCAGTCTCCTTTTTCTTTTCAGTTGATGTATTGTTCCGGCCCTGCAGCTCTCTGAAAGCTTTCTGCGCCTAATGTGTTTTAGCATTGCCTCCAGGATGGGAGGCACATTACTTAGTTTTGCACTGGCCTGCCGATGACCCATAGAGCTTCCTGTAAATACACTAGAGGGAACTTTGGAGCTAGGGTGTACGGGAGCTGCAACACATGGCGCCTCAGCCAGCATGGGAATGATGAGTAGTACACGGATTTGTCTAAACTTTGCTCCTTCGGCTCCGTTCGGTATCTCGTGGCCTGGAGCTACTTTGTCTAAAGATGAAAATCAGCAAATCTTCTGCAGTTCCACTTCACTAGCTTAACCTTTTAGACTCGCCTATTCGAATCGGTTCATGAAGTTCACAAAAACCATTCTTTTATACAAAAACAATGCGAAAACATAAGAACAAACGAACCCACAAGCATGAAGATTAGGCACAGACGTGTACTACACATCATTCTTATGGTGGCCGAATGATCGTAGCACCAGAGTTCCCTCTAGTTAATTTCAGGGAACGCTCTGCATTGGACCTAGTGGCGATGTCATGTGATGACATCGATGCATCTAGCAGCATGATGACGTCTTCAGGACGTCAGCAAATTTTGGTGGTCTTTCACGTCACGAGGCCGTCGTATGGTGATGTCATCGAGCGATTTTTTGCATCACTCGATGCTGACGCAGTCGATGAGCAACCCCAACACATGACGCCGGTCAATTTTTCATGTTTGATCGACATGTAAGGCCTTCTTACCCCCTTAAAACATAACGCACTCAAAGTTGTGATGCATATTGACGTAGCATTTAGCCTTTCTGCCTCCCCTTTCCCCTTCCCATATAATTTCAGGGCACACGCCGGTAAAGAGAGAAAAAGCACTTCAAGCATTCAGCAATTCTCAGTTACTCTAGTTGTACATGACGGATTCGGAAATTATTTGTGGTGATCGATTCGTGTGACAATAAACTTCAATGCTGAAGTCGTTTGACGAGTACTCTAAGAAGCGTGGCAGGGCCCCTCTAAACTTTGCATTAGAGAGCCACATCATATTTCAAAAAGCTCCAATATATGTTTTGATGTATTTTGAATGTTGTCAAAACTTTCCCACATATATGTCACATGTAAAAGAACACGACCTGCAAGTATAGATATTTGGAAATTTTTAAAGGACAGGTTAATTTAGAAGTTAAAGGGGTGGTGCCACCACATTCGTGGCATACGTAGTTCTTTGCTGTGTTTCCTTTAGCTCCAGGAAGCATGATACGCACACCAAGATTCGTGTATTTTCGCTAAATATTTTAATATTGCTCTACTTATGTGAACCGTTTTCGGTTTTGGTTTCGCGTTGCCGAATTGGGCAGTGACGTCAATGCATACAGAGGAAACCCACAACCGGCTTGGGATAGCCTCGAAATTTGGTGTCGCCACCCCTTTAAGTTTGTCTCAGAAGTGCTACACATGAAGCATTTAAAAAAATCAGGGCATTTCTTTGCAAAGGAAACGTTACGATGGTTTGTCTTTTTTCTTTCTTTCCTTCTATTTTAGGGATGGTGTAGATATCCACCCCATTTTGAGCAGCCTCCCAAAAGTGGGCCGCTTCTCAACGTTAGTCATGTTCCTTGGAAGTGAAGACAAAAAGCGTAAGTTGCGATACGCACATACAGTCAAATCCCGCTGCAATGAGGTTTCTGCTACGATGAAATTTTGGCTATGATGAAAAATTCTCGTTTCCCCATCAGCAGTCTGTAGGAGTCAATGCATAAATATTCTCGCTACAACAAAAACTTTTTTTTTTTCTGCCGTTCCACTTCAACGAAATTCGACGATGCAATATCCCGGCTCGGATATTTAATGCCAGTGCAGTAAACACAACCGTGAACATTTTGATCCATTTTCAGAACATGAAAATACACCGATGAAGTCTAAAATAGCCGTTGGCACCACTAGAAACTGAAGCTGTTTACCAAGCATGGGGGCCACCGCTGCTCGGTCGTGATGGCAATAAGACTGCCCTGCATTTTGCCACGGGCCTGCTTCTCAGCTGCAGACAATCTGAAGCTGAAGCTCAGTTCATTGTTTCCTTCACGCAGCTGCTGGGTGCAATTGCGGAACAATGGCTTTTCCTATGCCAGTGCTTTTGGTTCTTTCTTGTCTTTCTTATCCCCTTCCCTAATCCCCCAGTGTAGGGTAGCCAACCGGATCTTTCTGGTTTACCTCCCTGCCTTCTCCCTTTTGTTGCTTCCTCCTCCTTGGTTCTTTTCGCGCTTGGCCAGTGGTGTCACTAATCAGAGTGGCTGTTTGTTCGTGTCATCAACAAAATCAGCCAGCCGCGAGTGGTGGATGATAAGAATAGCATAGAATAAGGCAAAAGTCACCGCTCCACGATACCACCCCTCTATCTCAACGTTGTCGAATGCACTTTGACGCCGGACAGCTGCTGGTGTTGCCGCGTTATAGCAACTGCTAGGTTCGTTTACGAAAGCGGTAATGGTCATTGTTTCAGCATACTTCTCATCATGGTGTCGCTATGCATGGGTAAAAATGGAAAAGGAAAGGCTGGAAAAGGAAAGGCAGCAGCCAACACTCATTGAATTTGAGACATGTTGCCATGGCTCAAATTGCCATGTTGAGCCACGTGCCGCCAGCAGCAAGAGTCTGGAGCCACGCTGGCGACGCTATTATGTACACCGTAGCTGCGTCGGTGCCGACGTAAAGACTTATCTGTCACCTTGGCTACCGCCCTCGTACCACTCAGCGAGTGCGTAGAGTGCCGCAGTCTTTTTTACTTTTCTATATTGCTCCCTACGCCTTCGTTTATTCCCTACGCATCCTCTCCTTCTTCACAACGGCCTTGTGGCTCGCTCCCAAGCGGCGCACCCAGCGCGCCTCCTTTTCAGATGCGCACTCGCTACTGCGTTTGTCTCAAAGATTTTGCGGCAACCGTATTATAACCGGTCTTTCATCTTGGGGGACTGCACAGTGAGCGGTATGTGTATAAATGTGATTCTATGGGAGGGTAAATGGGGGTCGAAGAAGACCGCATTCTAACCCATCCTTCACTGCAAGCAGTCACGTTTCAAGTCGTCTACATTGTACAAGCGTCACTTAGCAACTTGCGGGCCACGCAGCACACAGTCAAGTTGATATATTCGAAGCGGAGGGCGCCAGCTGCAACTGGTGTAGTCATTTTTTTTTTTTTTTTCGCTGATGCTGTCTGTCTGTTCACTTTACTTGCTCCACATGTGTGAGCAGCCAACTTCATGCGGATCAATATGTGTGGAGGGGCTAACGGCATTTCCTATTGTCTAAGGGGCTCTGTAGCCTTTACAGTGCTGAAAGGAACTTCCGAGACGGGGATGTAGGTATATTTAAAATTTCTCTCGGCAGTGTCATTGGGTACAGCCTCAAGCTCATCCGCGTCTTTACAGAGCGCATGAGCAGCCGGTTTCGCTCTGCAGGTCAACACCTTGTGAAAGTTTCACGCTGTGATGTGGTGTGTCAAGAGCATGCGCAGCTTAACAGTCATGCTGAGCACGCGACAGCCCACAACTGCTGCAAGGTATCACGCCGTAGAGCGAAAACCAGCCGCTCTCGTGTGCTCTACACAGTCATGGATGCAACTGTGAGACACATATGTGCTTTTAGCTCTAATTTCCTGTTGAATTCGTTATGAAATTCGTGAAAAGATGGGAAGGTTTCCGTGCAGCTCTCTGCGGCCCTACATGATAAAAAGGGGCAGGAATGCATGTTTATTGCGTGAAACAGTGAGAAAGTGTTTTTTGGACCAGATGGATAGCCGTCTGTCATGAAAGCCATTGGATAATGCCGCAGCTTGGTTCGCCAGACTTCACTGATCCTTTGGGCTTGATGTCATTGTGTGACAAATAACGTTTTTTTTAATTTTTATTTATTTCAACATTCGGGATGCTGAGGGCCGTGGTTAAAAAGCCTCTAATGGGCTTGACTGGGACCACGACCCCTTACAAATGGGCAGCATAGGCAACACTTTTATTGCAGTGACAATGTACAAAAAATTTGAGCAAGCATAAAGCATAAAGTATAATAAGCATAAGCATAATAAAGCATGAAGATTGAAAAGTAATAAACTCAAAGAAATGACCGTAATTATTTCCTTACACATACGATATCAATAAGAGAGTGTAACGATGCAAGAAAAGAAGATCGCAAGATTAGCACCAAAGTAAAAAAAATATGGGGCATGTGCCCATACGCTTACTACACTTACAATCAGAACAGTCACTCAAATGGAAGACGATATGGCCTTCAAGTGAAACGGCAGGAGGAAGCGCAGCATTTCTTTGCCGTAGTTAGTGCACGTGCGCGGGATAAGCCATGTGTGATTGAAACGCGTGTTATAAAAAACTTTGCGGTGGTTTAGGTTGGCAATGGTTCCTAAAAGGTTGTCGCCTTTTAATCCTGCCTGGTAGCGTTTCACAAGCATTGCGCGGTAGTATTCAGGTAGAGGTAGCAGCTTCATGTCGTGAAATATGGGAGTGGTGTGACTGTGATATGGAGCATTTGCAACGGCACGAACAGCCCCTTTCTGTATGACGTGCAGTTTGCGGATATCCCAAACCCATCTGGTACCCCAAACCAGATCTCTGGTACCCCAAACCATCTGGTACCCCAAACCAGATGACAGTAGTTGACGTGAGATAAAAACAGGGATTTATAGATGAGAAGTTTAACTGCCTTAGGTAGCGAGAAACGCACCCGGGATAATATGCCCGAAATCCTTGATATAGTGCCACATAGTTTTTCAGTGTGTGCGTTTCAAGACATGTGATGATCGAAAATTATTCCCAGACACTTAATGCGCTGTACTATCTCAAGTTCTGAACTGCCAAGTTTTAATGGGACACGACAAGGGGTTTGTTTATTTTTCGGCCTGAAATATACAGCTTTTGTTTTTGATGTGTTAAGTTTTAAACAGTTAACGCATGTCCACGTGGCCAACTTCGCCAGTACCTCATTTGCGTCATTAATTAAGTTTGTATAATTTTCAGCAGTAAGAAGCAAGGTTGTATCATCAGCGTATATAATACATTTTACAGACGTGTCAATTTTTACAATATCATTTATGTATATACAAAAAAGCAGAGGCCCTAATATGCTACCTTGTGGTACACCCGCTGAAATTTTTAGTAAATTGGAGGTACAATTGCCGACGACTACTTCCTGCGGCCGATACATTAGGTATGATTCATTGAGTTGTAAGAAAGCACCTCGAAATCCATAGTGTTGGTTGTAGACCAGCTCCTTTATCTTAATTCATTTTTTGAATGCAGTTGTTTTGTTGATATTCATTATATTCCTGGCTATCTTATTGCTTTTTCTTTTTCTCTGCACATGGGTGCATATGTATTGTATTTACCCAAACGTAATGAGTTTTTTTTCCCCTGATTTTCTATACCCTCATGTTCCGATCATTTAGCGAAATTTCTGTTGTCTAAAAAAATGCAATGATGCACACAAGTCCTTTATTTTTTATGCATTTTTTTCTTGAAAGTTTGAACCTCACATTGCAATCGTGGTCACATTACAATCGAGTAAATGCGGTAATTATTAATTGCATTTCAGTGTTTTTTCCCAAATAAACCTTCAGCTGTAAGTTGGCATTCGAGGTGCTTTCTTTTTTTTAGTGTTTATCTGTTATAGTGCCGTGATATCCTTCTGGAATCAATACCAATGTGCTCATTCTACTCTCCTTGTCAAGTATGTACCTGTGCCATCGCATGAACTGGAAGCTCAGGAGCTTGATTTGTCTTCGTAACAAGACCTTCTGTTTCCTACATTTCAGGACTGGCGAGGCTACTAGCCATTGCCTCAAAAGTCGATCCTGGTCTCGCACTCCACTATGGATTGTGATGGGAGAGGTGGAGAGTCGTTATGTTGCTATAAAAGCACAGATCATACTCATTGTTGCCACGAGTCACTCTGAAAGCTTCATGCAAAATTTTTTTTGCACTGTAAAAAGAATGCAAACTCCTCACCACAACATTGTTGCACATTCTTTGCTCACTGCTTTGTAGACTGTTGGTGTTTTAAATAAATGTGTTTTGAAAAATCGCACAGCTGCAAGGCTCATTAATATGTCTGTGGGCTCGGATGTTGCCTCTCTCTTTCTCTTGTGACTGCCAATATCTCACACATGTGCAAAGAATGGCATTGGTAATGTACAGGCTACTAATTATGTAGTAGTTACTAGACGTGAATTTTCTTAGAATGTGCATAAAAACAGATTTTCACATCTTGGACAAAGACGAAATAAAAGTTCGTATGTGGTAGTTCATGGCTGATCCTTGATATAATAAAGGCAATATATCAGAAGAGTGTGGGCATGCTTGATTTCAGTGGAGTATTTTACCACTATTTGGCCTGAGATTTCGGTACAGGTGGCAGCATCGTCAATGCGCTAGTGTGAATAGGCTATGCGCAAGCAAATGCATGCAGTGGAGCTTTTTTCCGAGCAGCGCGAGCAGATTGTCGGCCAATAAAGTGCATTGACTGCGGCCCGCTCGTGGTATACATGTCGCCCATTGCAGAATGGATGCACAAAGCTCGCTGAACGTTGCTATTACTTGTGAGAGAAATGCAATCTGCCCGTGAAAGGGACCTCCGCACCTGGTCTGCATTTTCGCACTATGTCACGTTTCTCGTATTTTCACTTGTAAGTGTTGAACGTGGGTTTCGCCAGCTACGCACTGCTGTACTGCAATGGGGATCCATTTTTTGCCTTATGCATGCCGGTCTTGGATAGAGAGAAACAATTCTATACTTTTTGGTGATGAATTAAAACTGCGAATACGTATTCACATTTTTTCTTATACAGTTCTCCATGAAATGAACAGAGGACAGTTGATAAGTTTATTCAGGAAAGCTACGTGGCTGTCAGTGCTTTAGCGTGCTTGTTAGGCAACAGTTCACACAGCTTTCATTGATTGATGGCATGATAGTGATGCTAGAAAGGTTCGGTTATTTGGTGGGACAAAAGTATATATTTTTTTTCAAGCGAATAATGGCCACTCCTTCCCCCAGTCACAAAAGTGTTCAAGATAATGTAAAAAAGAAAATGACATTTTGTGTGAAATTATACGACTTAAGTACGAGGCATGCAGCCTGCATTAATTTTGACCGTCTGGATTCTTCAAATCAAACCCAAATATAAGCACACGGGTTGGCTGACAAATTTCGCCCTATGTTAAAGTTGCGTTTAGCGACTCACAGTTAATAACCTTTGTGTCAATCCATTTTCTGTTCTTTTCAAAGAACAACAAAATGTCAGAATTTACTAGACAGAGATATTGCTGTAGTGCAGCTAGGACTGTACAATAATAAGTTATATCAAGCACAATTAAGCCTCATCTCGTAACCGATAAGTAGGGCTTCGTGTTTTCGGAGTTTATCTTTATTAAAATCGGAGGGTATTTTTGGAGCTTATTTCTGGAAACATAAATTCCGCTTTTATTGCAGTCTTTTCCGATAAATAGGCAAGTCTCTTAATTTTGGCACTTAATTTTCATCATAAGTTGTTGCAATGTGGTCTTGTTATTTCATTTTCATTTCATTTTATTTACTACTTCACACAGCAGAGGGCATGGGAAGAAGAAAGCTCAGCACAGCTTGACTGAGCTTCCCAATGAAATTGATTTGCATTGTTGATAGTCCTCGTGCTCCTTTCTCCGATTTTTTTTTTTTATTACTTGCTGTTAATTTACCCTGTCGATTAGGCTCTTCACGGGGCACTGCTGTAAATTTGTCGTAGAGGTGGCCTTTGGAGGGCAGGAGCTAGTCAAGCTACTCCTGAGCTTATTCTCCGAACCTCCCTTACTTTGTTGATGAAAATTACAGGACCTGATATTATTACTATTCTGAATACTCCAAAATCTTGTATGAAATGATATCTGACGGCGAAAATATGTGAGCCCAGTAAGTGTATTTTAGATGTCTGAAAGGTTTCACCGCACAAACGTGTACACACAAGCACAAAAAACTTCAATATAAAACATTTGCTCTTGTTCGTATACTTTACGAGGTTACTGCCATTGATGGAGGTGCACTTGCTTTGATGACGATTCTTAGCTTTGAAAATTCCCTTTGAACATTCAGAAAGCGTTTTAAAATCTGAATTCATCGAATAAACCTGAATCGCCAAAAATTTTACCGGAAAGTGTTCATGGTATTTTTTGGATAATCAGAAAAAATCCTGTAAATGCTTCTTGCGAAGATTAATCCGAAAGCATGGAGTTTTGCCGATAAGCCTAAACTTCGTTTATTACTGACTCGCTGAAACGCTGCATTAATATTTAATGCTCCTCATGTTTTGGATAGGTGCCAAGCGCACTTTACGATGTCCTTCAACTGCAAAGTGGCGCACCGAAGTGATCTTAGCGAATGGAGGTTAGGACAACAATACACTGCACTCTTGGCAAATGCATAAACTGATCTCATTGCAGTGGGTATACAGTCGAGCAAGGCGAAATGTGTCTGTAGGTCGTGTTATAACCACGAGCAGTTAAACTTGCGCTAACAGAGCGGGGCAAAGCGCGCTTTGAGGATGAGTGTGACATACGTGCACATGCTAGCCTTACGTGGCTAGCATACTTGTAGGGAGCAAGCCAATAGCCACCAGCTGGTGACTTGATCTCGGGGCAAATAGCAAAGTTGAAAGCCTGGAACGATCGTAGCAAAGAAAAAAAAACATTTTTTTTGCAGGTGCATCAGAATTTATGCTCTCGTAACAAAGTTGTCATATACGTAGTCAATAAGTTTTTTTTCGAATTTTTCTGTTTTGCCTGCAGATGTGGCACCTATAGCTACTGTAATATACATTAACCGAAACTGCACATAGCATGTTTCAAGCAGAAGCTGCACGCTCTGTGCTCTGAACAGGAGAACCATCGAAATACTTTAGCATTCTCACGCACACTGAAGTACGTTCTGATGAAATGCGCTAGTTAGGTTTAGCAACTGGCTGGTCATAAGACATTGTGAGACGGTTGCATTTGGTAAGCTGTTGCAGACCTTATCAGCGGTTTGATAGATCAGGTGCATGGGCCAGATTGACAGCTGGAACAGCGCAGCATGAATCCGCTTGTGGTTCTGTTCTGTTAACAGTCTTGCTGCTTATGGGAATAGATGAGGCAAAAGTCTTTGTTGATTCAAAGATCAGTGTTCATCACCTCACTATCAAACGTAAGTACGCACTGCCGTATGCAGTTGCTTCAATAGGCTGAGCTCATATGATTGATGTGGAAACACGCTGAATATAGTTACTGACCTGAACGATTGCGAAGCGGGAAGCGGTCATGACTACGAAACATTAAGCCTTCTTATTAGGTTTAGTGTATACCTTGGCGGAAAACGTGGCACTTTAGTGATAGCATTTCTGCAGCGTCGTGTAGAAACTTGACCTTGTCATGCTGAAAGCTTGGTACTCGTCATTGTGTCGTGCAGAGCCACAGCAGCCTTAAAAGCATGAAACAGTGACGTGAGCCTGTGAAATTATATTACTAAGTGACAGTTTTAGCAGTCGCAAGGGATTTTATAAAGTACTCTTTAATATTGATTTTTCTGTGTTGTTTTGCTTGTTTGTTTTTAAAACTGGTGTGGCGAGCGACTCCTCTGCATCACCTGCCGTGCGGTGGCGTTCAAAGTATTGTGTGCCCAGCATTCCACATATGTCTGTGGGTATTAAAAAAAGAGGTCACATTTTCGTGCAAGTCTCAAGGGTAGTTTTCTAATTGAAAAGAAAATGCAGCAGCATTGCTTTAAATAGCACCCTTTGTGTCATTTCGCTGGTGACAGAAAACATGCCGAAGTTCCTCCAACGATGTGCATATTGCTAGGTGTGCCTTTCAATAGAAAGCTTTATAAGATCGAGGATAGTTAGGATTGCCTACCTTCATGAATTCCCTAATAGAGCTTGTAGTTCACTTGAAATCGCGCTTAATTACATCAGTTTAATTCTGCCTTTGAATTGTACATCTGGGGAAATTTTGTAGAAATGGTTGACTACCTTTTCAACTTTTCATGTATCTAAATATACGAACTAGTTGTTCTGATCAGTTCTTCTTGGGTTTCAGTTATGCTAACACAAGAGTTAGCACTGAACTTCAATAACAAAACCAAAACAGTTCTCTTACCCTAGAGCAGTTAGGTTTATTAAGAATCTTCAAGTGATTAATGCATACTTGTGCACGTAAGCTGCCCTAAGCAATTGATTACCCCCTGCCACACTGACACACAAAAAGACATTAGGTTCATTGTACTACTGTCTTAGAAAAGAATGTTTCTACAGTCATGCCACTTGCAAAAAAAAAACAAAAAAAACGCCAGGCCTGCGCGAAAGGCGCCGCACAGTTACAGCGAAAGGTAGAAGAGCAGCCTTTAGAGCCTTTTTAAAACACTCATTGGGCAACTACTGCAAGCACACTTACTTAATACCCACTAGGGCATTAATAATAATTTTTTGGGGTTAGTAGGCCAGCGTTCTCTATGCTATTTTTTGTCATTATTCTGAGAAGCGTGGTATCCGCTAAACACTTGTAAGAAATTTTGTGCCAATCGTTCGTGCAGTGGCTGACGACGATGAGGAATTATGGCTGAAGTCGGTACGTGCCACAGTTAATAGGGGAACAAGAACAAGCTTTTGTAATGGGTCGGAGCATTGGAGGGCCCACGCGTTATGCTACTCGCATTGCACGACGACTGGCTGTTCTTTCGCTATTTTGAAACAATTTATAAGTCGTATTAACGGAATTTCCTTTCCTGACATCAAGCCTGCGAAAGGCAAGTTTGCCAACAAGTCACAAGCACCGGCATAGCTCAGTGGTAGAATACTGGGCTGGAATACTCAGCAGATCCGGGTTCAAGGACCACTGTGTCATTGGTGCTAGGTTTTTTTTTTCTAATTTCGCACGATGTGGTTATGGACACCGGCGGTTACGGACAACTGCGCGAGACCCGAGTTGTGATCTCAATAACAGCTTTCACTGTAAAAAAAAGGACTCTGAATCACATTCACACCGCGGCCCTTCACAAATAATGTGCACATACTGTAATCCTGATATATTAACAGCACACACGACACTTTTATGCAAGGACACATCTTAGAGCAGTAAACATGAAAGACCCAGTTCGTAAAACATGGCCGCTATGCTTCGCAGAAGAAGCAGCCTACCCCACAAAAAGACCTAACAGGTGCAGGCAGAAGACTTAAAGCGAACATGAACTATGCCATGCATCAGAGTTGTATACACGTAACAGGCGCACAATGGAAGACGCACATCAAGCACAATTCAAAATGCCATAGCGTTTAGTTGTGTGCATAAACAACAAATTTAGCAGATTTAATGAATAATCACATTTTGAAAACGGAAGTTCAGTTTGGGTGCCTGGTTGTTTTCATAAGGGTGGTAAAGTGTGAGTTTTAATATGTTGCATTATTAACCTTCAGAGTAAGCAAACCTATGATATAAGTTTGTTCAAACAGTAATTTTAAGAAGCCTGTTCATAGAGTAAGGCTTATTGGTCGAGGCCTTGGTTGGAGTAGGGGGCATGGGATGGGCAGGCCCTTTAACCATAATTTAATTTGAGCCCAGTCCCCCACTCCTAATAATAATGCTTAAACAGCCTATCTCACTCAAATTTAAGCAGAACACATGAAGACCTTCTTAATGAAGTAGTTGTGGTTTGAATTAAATGGTCAACTTCACGCCAAAATCACCACCACACAGAAGAAAACACATAGACGGGACGGGTGCCTATTCACAACTGTTCATGTATTTACAAGAAGTCCCTGAAGGGAACCCTGATGGGATGCGAAGCAGCAGCATGCAGTGCACATGGTGTTGACCTGGTTGAAACGGGCGTCGAAGCGGGTGCTGGAAGAACGGCTTGAAGCGAAACTCGGTGTAGCGTTTTCTGGAGTAAAAAACGTTTGTTTGAAATGCAAAGACACAGGAGGAAGGACGTGTTGAAGACGCTTGCACTTGGCTTTCTCAGCTCACGTAACACCGGTGTTACCCACGTGACATCTCTATTCTCGAACACAATCGGCGTTCTTGACTCGCACCTTGTTGGTGTGATTGGTCCTTCCACTACCGACGCTTGGGCTCGCGCCTTGCCCATGTTTCAGGCGCGACATCACTATTCGCAAACACGATCAGCTTCGCTAACCCGCAATGCTGGCGACGGTCGGGAAATGTACATGCACACTAGCGGGAAGCATGCCCCTGCGGCGTCCCGCCCGTCAGCGTGATTGCATGGCAAGCAGCAGTGCACTGTCCACATCTCCAGCGCCGCAAGACCATGGCCGGCCTAGATGACGGCGCACGAGCGCGCCTACCTGCGGCTTCTTCTCGCCGACAGATGGAGAGAGGTGGCGCGGATGAGGAGATTATGCCGACGTGAGGAGTGGGCTCGAGCGCTTGCGAGGGTGAAGCAAGAGAGATGACACGCAGCAAGCGGCGACAGGCTAGGGAAGAGAGTGACGTCACATGCACGCACTGCGAGGGAACACGTGGCCTACTTGGCAGCGCCCCGGTGCGGAGGGACAGCATTACACGGGCTAGTCAAACAGCTGTTTCGCATCTAATAAACAGTTTTAAGTGGGCGCCCATCCTGTCTACGTTATTCACTTAAAAAACAGCGCCAATAACGAGGGACAAGAGAAAGAAGGAGACAGACAGCGGCACTGTCTCTTGTCCCTCGTTATTGGCGCTGTTTTTTAAGTGAATAATGTCGTACCAACTCGCCCAAGCAACCACGTTAGCTGTCTACGTGTTTTCTTCTGTGTGGTTGCGATTTTGGCACAAAGTTGACTTAATTCACACATGTACCGACTAGCGGAACAGTGAGTTTTACAAGTTGTAGTTTGTTAGTGAACCCAATCTTCTTCTACTGTAAATATTCGTTAGCAAAATGGAAGTTTAGAGAGGTGGCAGTGCCTTTACAGGAATGTCTAAGTATAAAGGAACATTGCTCAAGGAAAGTTTGCAGGACCCTTTTATCAGCACTTGTTGAAACAGAGCGTCGCAATGCTCAATTAATTGGGCTTGCATGACACTTGCACAACCTAGATACCTCACCTGCAAGAGAATCTAGAGAAATTATGATGAAGTAAACCCAACAAAGGCCTTCTCGTGTCACTTGTCCCCGAAGTTCGCGCTACCTAGCAGCTCAATGGAGTAACAACTAGGCCAAACAAGCACTTTGCCAACAAAGGCATGTGAAAACATGTTCTGCATAACTAAGCAGTGCAGGCAACGAGCGCCTTGAAGCTGCGCACTGGACAATGATTTTGTGCTGTCACTCCCAACCAGCAGTGACTACCACTTCGTAGCACTTGTTCACCGTTAGCTGCATTGTTTAAGCTTCTCCACCAACTGTGCATCTTTTATTCGAAAATCCGCTGTTGATTAGGGTACCTAATGTCCTAAAGGTTACAGTGCAGATGTGTACGTTCTTATTTCGTGATATATCGGCTGGTGAGGACAATTTGTCTTGTGTGGCACTTTGCGATTGGAGCAAAGTGTGCCGAGACTGCCTTGAAAAGATGATGGTTGGGAGAGCCGGTGAATAGGCGCAATTCACAGCAGCACTCCTGACAAACCTCAAGGACAGTGTGCATTACTTTGGTACCTTCTGGTAGTCTAGTGCAGCATTCCACTTCTCCCTCTTCACCCTTGTGCCATTCTCTCCATGCCGTATGTTTGCTTTCATCTTTTGCTGCGTTTTTTTCCTAGGTTACGACAGACGATTCATGCCGATGCTCAATGCATGAATCAGCGCCTCAAAGCTACCCTGTAAATAATGATCTTCTCCTACTGTTGCTCTGTTCTCGCTCAAACCCCAAAGAAAGCTTTCATTTTATAGTCTATGTCTTCCCATGCAACAACACAACACGCCTACCAGTTCATTCAAAAGAAATGTGAATTTGCATCCATTTGTGAAACAATTTACTGTTAAAAAGGCCCTGCAATTCTTCACCCTTGCCCTGCAATCCTTCACCGAGTAGCCTTGGAATGGATTCAGTAAAGAAGGCGATTACCTTACGAAGTGGCTGTCGCAAAAAATTTCAGAATCCATTTTAGAAAAACAAAACAGATGAACCCAAGGCGGCCCAGGCAATAGCATAAATATGCCGCTTAACCTTTTTAGTGACACAGTGAATTTACAAAAATTTGTCGCATGCTGCGATTGCATTCTCTGTTCTCTCGTCCCGATGAAAACGCTGGAAGCTAAGCAGGGAAGGATGGCACGGGTGAAGAAAATACGTTACGCACACCTTTTGAATTGAGCACTTTTTGTTTCTTCGAATGCTTGGCTTTTCAGTGCGATTGCGCGTGCACAAGCAGATAGATCACGGCCTCCCATAGTGGCGCCACTAACTCCTGAGCATGCCATGCTCAAATCAACGAATGGCAATACTTGCCCACGATGCAGCGATTTTCGAATATGTAGCATCATTTGTTCAGAGATGAGAAAACTGATCAGGACGTCTTGAGGGGCTAGTTGGCTCATTCAGTGCAGGAAAAATTGAACTAAATATAAAAGAACACCACAAAAAAGAATGTAGACCTGGTCGAGCGAAAGTTGCGCTCGATCGGTTTTATGTTCCTTCTTGGTGGCGTCCTATTTTTTCCTGCATAGAAGACAAAGCAATTCTTAGCTAACTTTGTGAACTTAATGGAAATTCCAGGCCGTGTGCTGCAGTGTGATAGCTGCCTAGCATGTGTTCGAGAGCCTCCACTACCGATCGGCTGTTTTCTGCCCATGCTCAAAAAGTGTTGCCGGAGCCTTTCAATGAGCTACATGCATCGGTTTGTAGAGTTCTTAGCAGCAGCTGTGCAAAGCAAAAGTTCAGAGAGAACATACATGGCCTTCATGCCGCAGCCACTAGTTTAAACCTTGAAACTGATTCGAAGCGACTTTTCGACAATTTTGTCTAGTAGCTATTGGCAGGAAGGCATAGCAAACATGTAGCGCGTCTTCTAATTGAGAGTTTGAGAATGACTGCTCAATGATAATGCCACTCCTGTCGAGAATGGCATCCGGCATTTCATACCACTTAACCAGCTCATAAATTCTTGCATCACTGCAATGACAGCTAATCCCATTACGTGGCGTCAACAAGTCTAGTTTGAGCTATAGGCTTACTGCGATAGACATTACGGAAGTGCCAACATTACTTTTATGATGAGTCCCTGAACACATCAACTTATTATAAGATGAAGTGCAAATTAACTGCACTTAAAGGCCAGTCGATACATGGTATTGCAATAGAAGCGGTGTGGAAATGGGATGGAAGGTAAGAATCAGCACTTGAGATTGTTTGATTCTTACTCTCCATCCTGTTTTTATGCCATTTTCATAGCGAGAACATTATCGATTCACGCAAAAAAAAAAAGCTTTTTTCATTAAATTCATTAGTTCACATTAAGAAGAGTGATTATTTTGCATATTACAGTTGTTTCTATTAAAGGACAAAAAACTGAGCAGGTTTAATGCTCAGCAATGAGCGTTAAAAGAATGATTTTAATTGGTACTTACATTGGCCAACAATTACTAACGACACTATGTAACAAGAGCTTTTATTTAAAGAAGCTTACAGTATGTGTTAAGAAAATGAATTAATGTTATACACAAAGACAAGTTAAAAGTAGTCTACACAACATGAGTGAGCTCACTGTAACAAACTCAAATGGCAGGTTTGTTGATGACGCTTTCTGTCTCAAAACATGCGGAACAGAAGTCGACAATGGACGACTGCAGTTCAGCTTTTATTCACCGAAAATATTTTTGTTGCCATAAAGCGGCAGTGAGCTCAACTGGGCCGCAACAATGAAGTGCAAACAGGCACACTCTCCTTTAAAGAAGTAAAAAAAAGTGCACTTGTGTGTAGAGCATGTTTTTTTTAGCTCACACGCTGCAGAAGTGTTTACAGGCAAACAACATTTCAAGCCTTTTAACCACACTTCGCTTAAACAAGGTCTTACATTCAACTTTGCTTACGGCACTTATGTTCAACACACACACAAAGAATAAACACTTGTAGGAAAAGTTTACATCATTTAACTATTAACAAGCCTTTAAAATGTCTTATAGACAGTCATATAACCATGTAACTTGAAGAGAGTACCATATGTTTTTCTGCTGTAGTAACTAACAACTGGTGTGAGACTGCATTCATATTGTAGTACGAAAAGTGCTCCAGATCTGCCAATGGGTGACACCACTATTATTAGCAGAGCCAGTCCACCACATTGTGTGCGGTGTAACTATCCCTGAATCTGAACAACAGCAATCTTGCACCATTCAAAGCTTAGTAGTAGCACTATTACACACACTAATACATCTTTTCTGACAGTACTGTTTGCTTGATGCGCAGTTAAAAGAAATCTGACCTTGCTTGTTACAGTTTATTGATTGGTGACCATATACCCTTTATTGTAAGAATGTGCTGATATACCATCATATATTATTATTAAAGAAATATGGCACGGTGGGATCTTGCTGACATTCACTTAAGTAGGCAGAGTGACTTTGAAGAAATGAAAAAAAAAAAGTTGAAGAAAAAGGAAAAATTGGTGTTTTTGTAAAGCTTCTCTCATTCCAGGTAGCACAATTTTGTTTGTGAGAATGACATTATTTTGTGCTTAAAGGAGCCCCAACATTTTTGCCACAGGGAGACCAAGCTCTGTTTCGGTTAAACTTCCACCTACTTGCACTTCAGTCCTTCTCCTCAACACTTGTGTACACTGCCTACACTAATCAACCTATTGCAGATTTAAGTAGCGATTTTTACCAGTAGCAATAGAGGAATAAACGAATCTGCCAAAAGCGCTAGCTAGCATAAGAAACCCCCAAAATTTAACTAAATTCTGATCATTTATATTGAAAAAAAAAATGCTCAGCTTTTAGATTTTTCAAGTATCCCACGAATTATGTAGGCAATTTACATGTTATGCAACAATGGTTCCCATGTACCAATTATTCTATGTATCCTATTACATCATAAACAAAAAGATTATAACATAAATGATGATATTGACCAACAGTGTGAATAGGAAGACATAAGTTAAACTTTATTTTTCAATTAAGGACTTCCACACATGAAAACTGAAACAATGACCCACACATCCCATGAAAAATACTCTTTCTTATGTGTCATATTAACAAATGGTTAAAACAATGAGATAACAACACCACAGTTAACACTGCTTTCTTCTGAATGAAAAAAAAAGATGAATGAAAAATGAAGAAAGAAGGAAAGGTCCCACAAATCTGGACAGCTAGCATTAAAAGAAAATCACATTGTCAGTACCCAAAATGAAAAATGTAACCCCTACAATCAATCGCTTAACAAACATGCCACAGTGGACAAAAAACACGTGACCAGAACTTGGACGCAAGCACAAACAGAAGTTCTAGCTGACGGAAAGTCTGGTGCCAGCACAGTGACAATGACACCTTCCAGTAAAGGCAGTGTATCGCAAAATGGACCAACGTTCCAGTTCCTCAAGCTGCCAGCTCTTACCATCCAATGTGCATTTTTTTCTATCTGCCTTTCAGCTATCCTCTTTTGCACCTATGGCATGCCAAGTAAATGCCTTAAATCTTCTGGCGGAGTCACAGCATGATGACCTAACCGGGACATCCGCGTAGTAGCTCCCCGATGATGATTGTGGTCCAGTTGACATAAGCATGAAGTAATGAGAAGTGACAAGCCACTGCACAGCCCTAAATGTGCGATAACCGGTCAAAAGAAGGACCACAAGTGGCCAATGTTCAGAAGGGACAGCGTGTAGTAGATCGCAACGCACGCAGTGCGACCGCGCCTCAGTCCAGCTCATCCTTGCATGCTGCTTCTTTCCTTGCCTTGCATGCGCCTCTCCGCAGTCATCAGTTGAGAAACTTGCGGCACTTCTTTGATCCACACTTGCACGGGATGCGGATTTTACTGTGGGGCCGCTTGGAGTCCGGCGTTGCTGAAAGGCAAATGGCAGTGAAGGCGTGTGATCCGGCACCAATGATTAAATTTGTTACACTCCCAAATGCATCAGACACTGCTCAGGGCATTCGGCACAGCAATTAAATGTAATGCGCCCTGACCGTACTCTGCATGATGCCATGATTGGCTTTTTGCCAATAAGGGCCCATGATCCACAGCATCTTCTGCAGCCAAGACTGATTTGTTTTTGATAAAGCAAGAGCACAAGTAATAACTCTAGGCCTTTTAAATCGCAGACTGTTGCACAACACTTACTAGAGGGGACTATGGCGCTGCAATCGTTCAGCCATCAAGGGAATGACGGGTAGTACACGGATTTGCCTAATCTTCGTGCTTGCGGCTTTGAATGCACTTGTGGCTTCGTTTACTGTAGTGTTTTGACGTTTCTTTTCGACGAAACAGTGGATCGTTGCGAACTTCGCGAGCTGATTTGAATCGGTGAGCCTAAAACGTCAAGGTGGTGAAGCGCAACTGCTATAATTTTGCTGAACTTCGTCGAGCCACAAAGCTGCTACAGGTCACATGGACAACGCTGAAAGAACGAAGCTTAGACAAGTCGGTGTATCACCTATCATTCCCATGCTGCTTGAAGCACGATGCATTGCAGCTCCCATAGACAATAGCACCAAAGTTCCCTATAGTGTATTATTAGGAACTCTATGCATTAAACAACGACAGCGTAAAAGGACAACACTTATACGAACTCCCTTAAAAAGACACTAAAGAGCAAAACGATTTTTCGCACATTGGTAAGGTACAATTTTACAATCCACAAAACAGAACTCTCACCGCGGCATGACGCTTGGTGAGCGAGAAAACGCGAGAAAAGCAAATGCAGGGCGAGACGCCACCGTGAGATTCTCGCACCAAACGCTGCGACGTAGTAAATTTGGAAGGTGTCGAATGGGTCCTACATAGCTTCTACACTCGAACCTTATTATAACAAACTTGCACCTCACGTGAAAATAAATTCGTAACATCTGAAAACTCGTTATAAAGGTTTATTCTTAACACTAAATCTACTGCAAGACTATTTTTCATTTACTTTGTTATAACCAATATTTCATTATATCCAGATTCTTTTTATCGAGGCTTGAGTATACTCAGTAAAAATGAAGTACATTGTCACCTGTAGGTGCCATAGACATAGAATATAAATCTACGGAAAATTTCACTGAGCCCATGCCGCTAAAATACGAAAAATAGATTTCGTAATTTGTTACGCCGTGCGCGGAGATTTCGGCGAGAAATTTAAAAATGACATTTGTACATTGATTGTCTCGGTTGATAATGAACTTGGGACAGTGAGACATACGGCCTTACAGTTCTCTCAGAGCGCAGTGTGTAAATCTAAACCAAGTCAATTGTTTTTCTTTAATGTCCCTTCAACTTACTTATCAAATTAATTCTATGGAATCTCAAAAACAAGTTGGCAAAGTGGTTACGAAAGGGAAAACTGATGTTGGCATCAACCCGTTTGTAGCACAAGGCAACAAGGACGTCGATGTCAATTTCTTGGGAATAAAACTTTCAGAAGAAAATGCTTTACAGGATGATTCCTCTAACAAGTGAGAAAACTAGCATGCTAGCAATCTGCAGTGCGAGGGCGAATTAATCAACAACTCGAAGCACGGATGCTTCGAGTTGTTGATTAGCGCGGGTGCAGTGAATATTTCTTATTGGTTCAGTGCAAATCCCATAACGCAGGGGTCTCACACTCACATCAGGTAGAGGGCCACAGTGACGAAATGAACAATATATCACCCAATGCCACCATTTGAGATGTGTATTTACCATATCTCATATAAAGATGATTTCGCAGGAACTTTGGCGCCAGGATTCGAAAAACATGCAGATCCCGAGAATCATGCACACCTCAACGGTGATTGTGAAGTATAGACATATCAATCCGCGATTACATTTAACAAGATGACACCACATGGAGTGGCTCACGAATGAAATGCTCGAGACCGACCGATCTCGCCTCTCTACCTCACGCAAACAAAGTATTAATAGTCGCGACGAGGGAGCAAACAATGCGAGTATGGTTCTTCATGAAAAAGAGCGCAAAAACCCTGGGACAGAAAGAGGTTAGGTCAGCGCTCAACAACTTGAGCGCTTATCCTGACCTCTTTCTGTCCCGTGTTTTCTGCGCTCTCTTTTATGAAACACTATGAATAACCAACACGCCCAAACCTTCTCCCTTTTTGAATGTGAGTATGATTTGGCAAAATCACGAACATCTTATTTTTTGTGAGTCTGAGTTTGAGACCCCTGCCATAAGGCGATTCTAGAGTTACTGTATAAGTAACCTTTGGGTATCAGAGCTGCACATCTGCACAACTGCGGAGACGCTGATGCAGAGGCACGTCCCAAAAACATGGCTGCACCGCTGAAAGCAGTCACCATCCACCTGGAATCTATCAAGCAACCGCTGTTCGCTATGTAGCTCGTTAGCTACGAACTGGTACTTCCATTTGCTTTAGATTCATGTCCTTAAGCTTCAACAGCGAAGTACTTGCGTGGATTCGGCACCATTTTTGAAAAGCATACTGAAACAATCGATACTGTAGGCTTAGCCAGATGCTCTCCGCATTTCGGAGGACATATATTGTATGTTTATCAGCTGTTGCTTATCCCCTACAGCTGGCACCACTTGGCATGGCAGCAGCGGCGATGCGTGTTATTCAGCACCATGGTATGCATTTGCGTTACCGGACAGACTAAAAAATGTTTTTGTACTCTCGTGGCACAGTGCCAAAAGCAGGCATTTCTTTTATCGCCACTCGTTGACACGCCAGGCACGTTGACACTGAAGAGCAAAAGCACGTTGACACTAAAAAGCAAGAGCACGTTGACACTAAGAGCAGCCATAGTAGTGCGGCAAAGCCACACTACTATGGCTGCTAGCGAGGCATGATGGCGGACCTGTGCGCAACTCTGCTCCCGTAGGGAGCATATACAAGAACTCCATGCGAATCATAACCGCTCCACCACCTGGCTGCCAATTGCGTAATTATGCTAACCTGCTCCAGGCGACATCTTGTAGTCCACAGTGAGCTCCTCGTGAGTGCAGATATCCCTGTTAGTGAAGAATGCCAGGCGGGGCATCCGGAGGTCCAAGTTGTTGATCCAAACCATGCACACTGCCATGTTTGGCTCACACTGCAAATGCAAGATGGCCACCGCAATATTGTTAAGCTCAAACAAAGGTCATAAGAAAGCACACAGCCTGTGAAAAATAAAAAAAAAGAAGGGGGATTCTGATGTTTCATGTACTGCACTTAAACCTCCTTATAACAATGTTCCATCTTACATGAAAATAAGTTCGTTATACCTAAAAATTCATTATATAGGTACATTCCTAACACTGCGTTTATGGCAAGGCTATTTTTTATTTACTTAGCTATAACCGATGTTTCGTTATATCGAGGTCTGAAGTGTATGTATACGAGGCATAGCACACAGGGGGATACTATGATTTATATTCGTTAAACTTCGTAGTTCCTGCACCAAAACGAAAACACCGTGTCCACTTTTCTATATATAGGTCTACTTTTCTTTGTGAAAAGTGTCACTCACTACTAGCTGTCAACCTATATTCACGATCAAAGCTACCGATAATGCCAAGCCGATGGAGTTCCAATGTTTTGCCCACTGTCAGCCCAAAGCAGTGCCAGTTGCACTGGCACTTAATACAAGTATATTTGAAGCAAATTGACACGCTATAGAAATAAAAGGGAAGAATGGGATCCCGAACTTTTGGAGAGCACCATGGCTGCACCCGCTGGCACACTTAGCCAAGACTTCCTAAGAACACACCACAAAAATTCAGTTTCACTGCAAGTATAAAGCAATGAATGTGATAGCAGCAAATTGTAACATCATACAAAATAAGGCTGGCGACCAACTTTCTTCTATCCGAGAGTTCATACTCTGAGAAAGATTGTCAGGGAGAGATGTTCTTTTCGCAGCTTTTTCAAATTGAGAGCGCAACACACAGAAGGGTATATGAGACGATCACTGATGCCTGTCGAGATAGCCCACGCGCTCACACCTGCAATCGAGCCCTTAGCATTAAAGTTCACAGTTGCTGCTCAAGCGAGACTCCCCTTCTTATGTACTATTGTCAGCTATATGAGCTCGAACACGCGAACGCATGTCGAATAGCTTCGAACCCTACATCGGCTGATTTGCAGCGGCAGCTGTGGGAAACAAAGTGGAAAGGGCGTCACGCTTACGCTAGCTGTTGACACTCCCTTCTCAATATTGTTGCTGCAAAACGCGTGTCAACTGCTAGTGGCTGCTGTCGGTCATATGAATTCACTTCAACGCGCACAGCCACAACCAGTTGACCTAGCAGGCTATGAAGCTACAAAAAGCATCGGCTGTGACGTAGCCGGCCGCCATGCACAGGCCGTACCTTTATTACATCAAGAGCATTTTGATAGGCATTTTTGTTTTCGGTGAATTTTTCATTTTCGTGTTATCATTGCTAGCGGCCGAAGGCACGCGATAAACTGTTGTTGCACAGCAATGATCATACGAGTATCGTGATGTGGGAATGCAAACAGTCAGCGGAAGAGCGCCCTCCTTTCCCTTTCAGTTTCGGCAGCGCCATCCTCACATCCCGTTATCTGTATTTTGAGGCTCTTGGCCACGTACTCGCGAATTCGAACTCATATTGCTCACGATAGTACCTCCATGCTCATTATAGATGGACAGGGCATTTCCTCTCTGCTTGAACGTTCCACGACAGGCCTAACACACAGGGAGATGTCATTGCATGTGCCCTCTCAGCAATGAAAATGGGTTGTCTCATTTGATATTTACTTCAGCCGCACCTTGCTCGCGTGCGTTTACCAACGTTAGACATACGATGCACAGGGGTGCGCACTCAACTTCATACGGAATTGTTTCATATGAAACTTCATACGGTCTTGATATGAAACGCAGTACCGGTGGAAAAAACCCATCAAAAATGTCCATATACTTGCTCTCGGAATAATACTAATAACTGGAGAAGCAAGCTTCTGCAGAAACATTTTGTAGCTCGACAAAACCTTAAATCTATGTGCTGTAGATGTGACATACAATATACATACAAAAGGACAGTAGTAAAATATACACGAAAAGAGACTTCCATGTCATCACTAAAAGTGACGACATAGAAGGGCATCAATGTGTAGCATCAACACTATAGCCTCCCATGCATAGAAAAGTGAGCCGAAGTGACCAGTTGTGTGCATCAACCCAATTTATAGCAAACAAGACTACGCCACCAAGCCTGCCCAGATAGAAAGGAGTGCTCACGGAATGGTTGACGAAATGAGCAATGTTCCCATATGTCCCCGCGTCCACTGTGTACAGTGTTCCTTGGTCCATTGATTCGTCTGCAAGAGGCGTTCCTTCATCCTGCTCTTCTGTGTGGTGCCTTCCTTGATTCATTGAATCATCTCTGCGATGCGGTCCTAGATCTTGTGATTCATCCGTTAGGTGGTAGTCGAGATCAAAGAGGTAAGTCGTGCCTTGTTCATCATACCACCTGCCACGTCTTTCGGCTTCTTCATCTGTGATGACCTGAGAGAGGTAAAAAAAAAACTGAGAAGTGACACAACTGTGCAAACATTCATGACGAAAAAAAAACAAGATCGTAAATAAGCTCAGAGTAGGCTAGAATCGCTTTAAGGAGCATAATGTGGCTATTAAAGACTAGCGAGAGCTTATTGTCTAGAATTTTCTAGAAATTGTCAGTTAGCTGCTTGTCACTACATTTTGCATGAGGAGTTCACCAAAGCCAGATTCTCAAATTAAACACGATTCTTGAGCCCTCATGATGAAAGAAATCACTTTAAAAAGCACATCTTTGCCACATAGATGAGCTCTCTCCTTGTCGTGGTGCGCTATACCAGTGAAAATGATGAATCTCAACCAACTAGCCCGGCAACAGTGCCTTAGCTCGTTTCTACAATTAAAATACGCTTTTCTCAAATTCCAATTTGGGACAACTACACGAGTTTGGTGTTTTTAGTACCTCTGATGGCCAGATCGAGATCGGGAAACTTCCCATAATACTTTTTAATACGTGAAGAGTGCAAATATCCCCTTCAAAACCTGGTATCCTTTATATATTTATCATGAACTTGAAGTAAGCAATCATTTTGGGCTGATCATTTTAATACTTCTCAGATTGCAACTTCTCTTGTTCATTAAAATGCCTTATACACATTTCCTTGTTAGTTATTTACATTGTACAGTTATTGTGGAGCAATATGAGCCATTACTGGCTCATAACCATAAATGTTTTGTAACAGAAAAAGTGTGTCCAAAGAAAGGATACACATTTTCGTGCTACTAATGGAAACTATGCAACTTACTATAAAACTGATTACATATGTGAATTCAGCATAAAAACCGACGTTAACGACAAGAATTTCATTGCCCTAGGCAACAGTTTAATGATATTTTTTTCAGAGTAGCATCTCCCCTAATGATGATTTACTGTCTTGGCGGAGAGGGTATTCCCGAAAACCTCCATTTCAAAAGTCAGCTAAATTTCATTTTGAAATAAGTTTAGTATCGCTTTCAATAACTATTTATATAATAAGGCAAAATGCATTAGATGCACCTAAGTACATGCCAGCACAACCTTGCAATAGCTCACCTGCCCCAAGTATTCCATGACAAATGTGCCCTTTCGAAATGCGCTGCTCCGTTCGAACGCCCCACCCACGACCATTTGTTGTCCTAAATATTGTCAGTGGGATCTAAAAGGAACAAAAAGTTATAAAGAAGTCAGACAGATGGTAAAACAATTGAAGTCACTGAGCAAGTTATAGTAACTTGCCTAAGTAGCCTAAAGAGATAAAAAGAAACAGAATTATGAGGCCCCATTCGCACCAGAATTTCATTCGGTTGTCATGCTTTGCTCCTCAAAGAACAACAACGACCATGCCTGGAAGGAACTAATGCAAACGAGCGTGACATTAGCTATTGTAAACTCTTCGTCGTAAAAATACGAGTGCACAAATTCGCAGTGTCTATTGCAAAAGATTGCAGCATACGCAATGCACTCAACTAGGCTTCATACTGTCGTCGTTTACTCAATGCTCTAATGTGCACCATGCAACAGGTCACATGCACATCATGTCACGTTATCATGCCACGCAACGTGTTCTTTTGGGCCACCCATTTTTCACAACGGAGCGCGATTCTAGCAACAATTGTATAGGTTTCTTGCCAAACTTGCTTCGAAATAATTCTTTAGCGAGGTTGAAAAAGGAAGTAGAATCCGGTAATGAATCAGGGGACATATTGCACAAATGCTATAAGGCTAATGGATTCTAGCCGAGTTCATTGCCATCGGACTAATGTATTGTTTCATTACTGTTATTTTGTATGAAAATGAGGCTGATAAATTTTCGGTAGACCCCAAAACAAAACACAGACATTAAGGGGACACCAAAGCGAAACAATGACTTGGTGACTTGGTTTAGATTAATAAACTCTACTCTAAGAATGTTGTATGTTTCTCTATCATAAGTTTATTAATAAAGAAGAAAATCAAGGTTGAAGTTCCATTTTTAAACTTCCCGCCATGATTTCCACATGTGACGTCACTTATTTCAAAATGTACTTTTCGTATTTTCGTGACATTGCTTTAACGAAATTTTCTTGGCATGTTAGCTCTACAGATGACAATGTACTTTAACCAATCAGGAACTACGTAGGATTCAGCAAACACCTTCAAAATATATGACGTCATAGTGTTTTGTGGCGGAATGTCAGGGTGACGTTTTGACCCGCACTGTCTTTTTTTCGCATCTGTTCACATGCCAAGCGTCATCTCGTGGTAGAAGTGGGGTTTTCGGAATCGCAGAATCATGCTTTATTGATACACAAAAAAATCCTCTTTCTTTGTAGTGCCCCTTTGAATGAGCACGGAGTGGTGAAATGATTCATATGACGGTTGACACACCTTGCACCCTCGTTGCACTACTCGGTTTGGACAGCTCATGTCGCAGCTGCAGAGACGGTTGCACTCGAAGATGGGGCTCCCAAAAGGCGCACTCAAGGTGCCGTTAGCCGTGTACGCAAACCTCAGGTCGTTGAATGCCGGACAGCAGCCCTTGCGGTCTTGATAGCAATTGGCACAGCTGCAGCCCATCTTGGGGTCATCAGGGAACACCACGCCAGGTCCCGGCAGAAAGTCCTGTGTGGGTTTCACATTGAGGGTTTTGCCTTGACTCAAGGCTAGCAACCGCTTTTAAGAAGTATTGCTTTTTCAAACAAGTTCAGCCACTATAGCATTTCTAATGGCTTGATGACCTGCTCGCCCTTTGGACACATGCATCTCCGTAAATGCAAGTAATGATGATATTCCACAACATCTTTCTGCTCTACACATGAACTAAAAAGAAGAGGGTAGGTAGCACCATTCCTGCACAGCAGCATTCATTTCACTTATGCCTGAGCTAACCATTTGTAACCATAAACACTCTGCGACGGCTCAAGTATACAGAAAGCAGGAGGATGCTCTTCGGACAACTTTTCATTCCAAGAATTGCCAGTTTCGTTAAAGCGATGTCCTATTTCAGCCGAGATAACAACATTCACTTACAATTGATGGTCTTGGAAGTTCTTTTGAGTCAAGGGCTAGCAGTCATTAGGAGGCGAGTTTCCAGCCTCAAGCTGCAGTTCAGTACGGGTGCCAAATTTCTTGGCTCCTCAAATGCAGCATAGTTAAGCTTAGGAAAGGGTTGAGAAGTCAGAGCATGTAAACATTTGACGCTCAGGATCCTGTACACCCACATGTTTAAATACATCGACACGAACCACACGCAACCCTACAGACACAGTTGCCAAAACATGACTGGACTGCACCAAGTTATACATATACAGTTGACGTCCAATTTCTTGAACGCCCGAAATCGATCGATGGCACAGTCATGTTTCCGAAATTCCAGACGTTTATAGCTTTCACCATCCGATTTTTTGGGCTTTTTACCACTAACTGCAGATTTGATGTGAAGGCCATACTCCAGGTTCACGAAAATGCACGCGACATAGATCGCCTTCGCGAAAGCGTTCACTTGCATGGCCAAACCCCATTCACGCGACCGCTTTGGCGAGCGATCTCCCTTATTGCTGGCATGAGGGCGTTAACACGCACCAACAGTGGCACGTTGTCAGTCGTATGCAATGTAAAACACAATTTTTTGTTGCATTATGGTACATAAGATGTTTATCGTTTTCTTGTAGCGTTTGTTTTGATTCCGTCAGTGCTGCTACGTGCCGCCACACCACGTCACAAACAGCGCGGGACTTGTAGTTCCTGTCCTTGCACGTTCAACGATGTCAATGTCTGCTCGTCATTGTTGCCCATATATATGTTGATGAACATTGTTTTGGTGCGTGTCAATAAGCAAGAAGCGACAATCATTAGTACACACTGATGTAGATCATGTTCCGGTGCTTAGCTGTCGGCTGCTTAGTACAACACGTCCGGGCGACGGTTTCCGAATCCTAAAAACCGAGCGATCGCTCCAAAACAACCAGGCGACATATTGTGCGAACGTCCTCTTTCGTCCCACATAGCATCGCTCGTCGCTGTCGCGTGCATTTTCGCATTTATAGGGTTTGGTCTTGACTAGTGCCACCCCCATTTTGGTTGTTTTCGCACCCCCGAACTCGGCATGCCGCGGCTGCCATACTCGCGAAACGGCAATTGCCGCAGTAGAGCGCATGTCAACCCTTTGCCAGCCGTAGCTCACTCAAACCTGTAACCACAGCCGCATGGTGCTCTGCTCCGACAGAGGGTCAGGTTACGTTGCCATCAGCACGCTTGCAGAATTGTGGACAGTGGTTACGCAACACACCCTCCGGAACTGTTTTCGGCACGCGAGATTCACACTGGATGCCCAGACCGCCATCTCGCCAGAGTGGACAGTGTGTGCGTGGACAGTGTGTGCGATGACCTTCCACCCGCAAATGTTGCCTTCGACAATCTGCACGCTGCCGGTGCTTCGATCCTAACCGGAATAACCTTTGAGGGCCTCGCCGACGCTGACAAAGACCTCAAGCTGTGTGCGGTAGATCATGGAAGGTCGCGTTTCGTGAGAGTCCTGGCCTAATGAGTATACAACTTTTTGTTTCTATGCGTAATGATCACAAACACAAAATCCGTGAATACCGGCCCAGGACGTGCATGTTTGCGAATTCTTTTTTTCCGAAGTGTGCAGCCGAATGAAACAAGCTTTCTGTTAACAAGTCTGTTGTGTAAATGAAGATCTATTTGTATCTCTGTTGTAAACCCCCGTGCTGTAACCCCCAAGGGCGATGCGGGGTAATTATTGAATAAAGAATAAATAAAAAAAATATATCTTACACTGCTGTTCAGAATTAGGGTCTGCACCCCTTGATCCCCTGGATTGATTGATGACGCTAACTACAGGTAGCCAATGAGGCCTCCATTTCTAGCTTAAATTAGCGCAACTGAGAATTTTTTTGAGGTTGGCCACGCATTTAGGTGCAGCGTGGCACAATTTCGGCAAATTTCATGGTTTCGGAGCAGCTCGGCCCGAAAATGAGGAATGGTATCAAATTAACCAATTGGCCCAGCTGTGGCACCCCTGCAAAAGGCAGTGATCGTTTCAATGCGCTGTATCGCTTTGCAAATGTTTTTCTTGTCCAGAAGAACAAGTAAACAACCCTTTCTGTAGTGGTTATATCAAGTTGTTGCAAGAAACATGCTTGTCAGTGTGAAGAAAAGGTGCATGCATGAATAACTAAGCCTTTCAACACCACAGGGCAGTGCCAGTCAGTGTTAGTTTTTTGTTTCTTAATGTGCGGGGCCATGTTATCAATTTCGACTTGCTACGGAACAAGGCGGCAATGACAAAAACTCGCCGAGAGTGTCCATGTAGTTACTATCGCAATAATAATGCAGTTGTTTTACCGCTATATAAGTGTTTAGGGTTAGCTCTGCCTTCAGATCTCCCTTTGTTTAATTTGTGCACTTATATTTAGGATTTTCGTAGTGAACCTGCTTATAGTGAAATCATATTTATAACGATTTTTTCCGGGAATTTCTCAATTTCGTTATATCCAGGTTTAACTGTATATACTCTTGACAATCCTGAAACGTGGATATCGAACAATCATGGAACATGGTCGATCGTCACCAGCGAAGTGGTCCTCTGCAGCAATACACAGCACAACGAAGTTAAATGACTGTTAGTTGTACATTAAGGAAGCCAGTAAGAATGTGGTGCCTGCATTTCATGCCACTTGAAGGAACACGCTGGTGGTGCATCTTTGAAGTTTGCCAGCTGCTTGAAAGAGATTGACGGTAACAGGAGTCGTGTATTTCGAAACAAGGAACCCAACTGTCAATCCAAGCCTACCTTTATGTACACAAATCCAGCCGGAGGTGCCTCTTCATCGACGTAGTTCTCTACACGCAGTAGAGGTTTGCTTGAATTGGGGTCGTACGTTCCTGAGGCAACTTGAATGTACTTTTCCCAGTAGGCCAGCGTGGAAGCTAATGCTTGCCGCTCTTCAACCGTGGACACGAACAACTGCCACGAACCAAACGCCTTCATGATGCGTGACATCTGTCCAGACCGATGCGCGGACATCTGCAGGACCTGCAATGTAGGTGTAGCCAGTAAAGAACTAGGGTGCTTGTAGGAATTGAACAATAATTAACAGTTGTTAAGACCACTAATCAAGAGTAACTGTACACTAATAAAGAATGCCAATTAAGTACACTTAAATGCTAATTAAGAGTTTAAGAGATAAATACTTGCACTCCATTTTAACCGCCTTCTCAATCACTATACTCAGCGAACACTTATCCTGACAGTAGACCTGTGCACCGGTACGAAAATTACCGCCGCCGAGTGACCGGTGCAGGGCTCATCGTGTCGGCGGCGGCACGGCGCGAAAGGGGGCGGGGTATATAGAAATTTGCTAATATTATGGAAATATGGACCATCTCCATGAGCGAAGCACTGTATTGCTATACTACGCTTCGGTTCTGCGCAGCGCGCCGGTGGTATTCTGTTGCTCCGAAGTATAACAGTGAAAACCGCCTTGATTTCCCTGTACTGCCGCTTGCCCTTTTTGGCAGAAATTTGATAAGGGCCGAGAAAACCGCCATCGGCAAGATGAAAGTATCCGATATAAAAAAGCGCCTAGTGAGCTTTCCGCTAGGGAAGAGAGCATGCGCTGCCGCATCGGGAAGAGGCTGATTGGACCCTCCAATGTCTTTGCCTCCGTTTCTTATGATGTCAATATCCTTCTAGTGACGTTACGAGCAGTTGTGGATACCTTTTGCATTGACTAGCACGCACATACTCAGTACTGAAAAATGAGGTGCATGGAAGGAGCGTCGGCAAGAGCATCAACATGCAGCAACATGTGACCGGGCACTAAAGTGCCCGGTCATACGCGCGCGCACACACACACACACACACACATATATATATATATGTGTGTGTGTGTGTATTATAATGAAGCGTTTTAGAGTGGCACTATTTTATTAAACAGGTGAGCGGTCACGACACGTCAAGCGGTAATGGCAGAACTAGCCCGAGTACCCAGCCAACCAAACGTCATCTTCTTCACCGACTGAGTCGTACCTCCTGCCTTTCTGAGTAGCACTCATCTTCTTCACTACATTTTCCTCCCCTCCGGAAAAGAGCCATCCTGGCGACTCATGGGCAGGAGACAAAAGAGGGATCGTAATACGGTTTTAGGCAGTCTATGTGGGCGGTCTCACGTCCACGGCGTCAATGATCATGAGCTGCTCAAGCAGCTCCACGATGTGATTGACAGGTGAATTTTGTTTAAACACACAATACGGTCCGTCATACTTGTACATCAGTTTCGTTGAGAGACCAGGGCTGGTTGAAGGGATGCGAAGCCAGACAAGGTCATCTGATGCATAAGAAGCCGGAGGCGTCAGGCTATCGCGGTGGTGTTTCTGGCGTTGCTGTTCAGCACTTGTGAAAGAGCGGGCAAGCTGACGACACTTCCGCGTATTTAGCAGCTTGTGACATCGTCGTCAACTCAGCAACATCCGGGAGGTAAGGAAGGATGGTGTCTAGCATGCAAGAGGGCTCGCGAACATAAAGGAGGAAATATGGAGAGAAACCAGTGGTTGTCTGGACAGCAGTATTATGCGCGTAGGTTACAAAAGGGAGAATACTGTCCCAGTTGGTGTGATCGGTTGCGACGTACATTGACAGCATATCTCATAATGTACGGTTGAATCGTTCTGTAATGCCATTAGTTTGAGGAGAAGCGATTCGACGGCGTCCGACAAAAACACACGCCCTCGGTCACTCAGGAGTTCACGTGGTGCACCGTGACGTAAAATGATCTGATGCAGTATGGCTGACGCAGAAGAGAGGGGTGAAGTTTCTGCGTAGCGCGTAAGGTGATCGATAGCGACAATTACCCAGCGATTTCCAGCCGGTGTAATCGGAAGAGGTCCATACAGATCAATACCAACACGGTCAAACGGTCGGGCAGGACAAGGTAAGGGTTGTAGTGGAGCTGGAGAACTTGGAGTGGGATTCTTCCGGCGTTGACAAGCGAGACAGTAACTTACATAGCGACGAACGAAGCGATACATTCCACGCCAGTAGTAGCAGTGGGACAGGCGAGTGTAGGTTTTTAACACTCCTGCATGGGCGCATTGTGGGTCGGCGTGAAAGGAGGCGCATATGTCTGAGTGAAGACGTCTGGGAATGACTAGGAGCCATTGGCGTCCTTCAGAGAGATAATTCCGCCTGTATAGCAAAACGTCTCTGATAACGAAGTGCTGTATTTGATGGCGCATATTTCTAGGGATATTTTGCGAGGGAGTTCGACTCAACAAGTTGATAAGTGAAGCGATCCAAGGATGTTTTTGTTGCCCCTGTAGCATGTCGCTGACACTAAGTGCAGTTACGTCGGGGGCAGGCGAAGACGGCGACTTGTCACTACATCGTAGAGGTGATCGGGACAAAGCGTCTGCGTCGGAATGTTTTCGGCCAGATCGGTAAACGACGTAGATGTCGTACTCTTGTAGCCAAAACGCCCAACGGGCGAGCCGGCTGGTGGGATCTTTTAACGAGGAGAGCCAACATAATGCATGATGATCTGTAACCACGCTGAATGGCCGCCCGTAAAGATAGGGTCGAAACTTGCCTATGGTTCGTGTGATGGCTAGACACTCTTTTTCGGTGACTGAATAGTTGGCTTCTGCTTTTGTGAGTGCATGCCTGGCGTAAAAGACGACGTACTCATCAAATCCAGGTTTATGCTGGGCGAGCACAGCACCGAGGCCAACTCCGCTAGCATCCGTGTGTATTTCCGTCGGGACAAGAGGATCAAAATGTCGCAGTATAGGAGGTGACGTAAGAAGGTGGCGGAGTGTGGCAAATGCATCATCACAAGCTGACGAGCAACTAGAAAGGTCGTTGTTGCCGGCAAGAAGGTCAGTCAAGGGCGATATGATGGAGGCGAAGTTGCGAATAAAACGACGAAAATATGAACATAAACCAAGGAAGCTGCGAAGTTCTCTTAAGGTCTTCGGCTTAGGAAATTCGGCAACGGCACGGAGTTTCGTCGGATCCGGAAGAATGCCATCTCTAGATACAACATCGCCCAAAATTAGGAGTTTTCGAGCGCCGAAGCAGCACTTCTTCAAGTTGAGCTGTAGACCGGCGGCGGCGAGTCAAGTAAGCACTGCCTCGAGGCCGCTGAAGATGCATTGAAAAGTCGCTTGAAGATATCACGACATCGTCTAAATAACACAGACATGTCTGCCATTTCAGGCCACGGAGGATGTTGTCGATTATGCGCTCGAAAGTGGCAGGCGGATTGCAGAGCCCGAATGGCATGACGTTAAATTCGTATAAGCTATCAGGGGTAACAAAAGCCGTCTTGGGGCGATCAGCCTCAGCCTCGGGAACCTGCCAATAACCTGAACGCAGATCTAGTGACGAGAAGAACTCCGTGCCTTATAAGCAGTCAAGGGCATCATTGCGAGGTAGTGGGTAAACATCTTTGCGCGTGATCTTATTCAACCGGCGGTGGTCGACGCAGAATCTTATTGAGCCATCCTTTTTCTTGACCAGAACGACTGGGGAGGCCCACGGGCTGTTAGAGGACCCAATAACACCTCGCTTCAACATGTCAACTTGTTTCGCGATTATGCGACGCTCAGATGCCGATACCCGATACGGACACTGACGTAAAGGAGCGTGAAGGCCAGTGTCGATTTCGTGAGATACTGTGGAAGCACGGCCCAAAGTCAGTTGCTGGTGGTCGAAGCTGGCGCGGAAGCGCTCGAGGAGGGTGATGATGTCGGTGCGCTGCTGGGCCGTAAGGTTGGTGTCGATGCAACGCGAAATTGCGTCGGTGAATGATGGGGAAGAGGATGATGCGCAACAATCAACAGCGTCAATAGGTAGCGTAGTCGAGTGTTAAGAAACTACACGTGCCCTCGTGGGATCAATGTCATCGGCGAAGCCCAGGCACTCTCCGCACAGTAACTTGGAAGATGAGGGAAACGGATTTGAAACATAAATTGCACTTGATCCATCGTGAACATTCAGAACGGCGAAAGGAATCAGGAAGCACTTGCGGCGAACAGTGGTTTCAGAAGGCGTAAAAAGAACAGTCGAGCCACTAGAGACGTCACAGAAAAGCGGAACTAGGGCGGACGAGAACGGGGGTATCGAAGTGTCCGCGGCAACGAAAACGTTTGCAGGTGAAAGGGACGAGTCGAGTGAAGCAGCGTTGCAAACGGCGCGAACTTCACTTCGGCGCGAGCACAGTCGATGACGGCGTGATGAGTGCAGAGAAAGTCCCAGCCCAATATAATGTCATGGGAACACCGCGGGAGCACTACAAACACGCCGACATAAATATTGTCAGCAATAGCGACACGTGCTGTGCATGCAGCGAAAGGGCAAATTCGTTGCTCGCTCGCAGGGCTCAAAACAAAGTCGTGAAGAGGCATTGTGACTTTTTTAGTCGACGGCAAAGTTTTTCAGTCATTACAGACACTGCGGCGCCAGTATCGACCAATGCAAAAACAGGTATACCTTCAACGGAGACAGCAACGGCGTTAGACGGCGAAAAACGAGGTCTTGTGGAGTTCGAAAGATCCGCAGTTCTTGCCCCCGGAACTGCGGCTCCTAGTATTCTTCAGGGACAGGGCGAGGTCGACGTAGCATAAGGGAAAGGGAACGGGGTTGAGGTGAAGGCGACCGGTGTCTGTTGAAGTTCCGGCGAGGTGAAAATGTGTCCATGATGGCAGTGTCGCCATATACAGCAGGCTCCGGTCATGGTGGGAAATCGTAATTGTGGGGCCTGGCATCGTCACGCAGGAAAAACTCGCGCCGTCGACAAAATCGTGCCACGTGACCCGCAATTCCACAGGCGAAGCATATGGTGTGGTTGTCTTGAGTGCGCCAAGGGTTCTGAAAAGCGTGGAGGTGGTGGTCTGAAGAAAGGACGGGCAGCCTGGTACATAGGCTTAGTCGGTACGACAAAGGGGCGCGTGGACGTAGGCGTTTGCGACAAAGAAACGTGGCCATTCCTGACAGGCGGACGGCGGGTTCCGTTCAGTGCTTCGGCATAGGTCAAT